TGCTCATTCTCACTATTGGGTGCTGGTAACGTCGCTGCTCTGCTTCAGCATCAGCACAGACGCTTTTATTCTGAACGGCGTTCGGCTGGGATAAGGTCAAACGCATATGTGAGCTGGCTATATTTTTTGGCGTGTCAGGGTGCGGGCGCTGCGTGCGTGGGACGCGCGAGTGACTTCTTTCTGTGGCATGTAGATCAGGTGTTCACTCCCAACTGGCACAGAAATACTTTCTATTGTACAGTGTTTCTCGTTATGAATGTTTCCACATTGATGGGCTCGATTCATGGTACGCCTGATTACAGTTTTTGGCTCCGAGGCGTGAAGAACCTCAACAGCTGTTTCACGCATATGTGCACAAAGTAAAGCCAGTGAACATTTGAGGCTTCACATTTAATACAAAGTAGTGTAGATTTATGAAACCTAGTATTTCCAATTAATTAAGATGCTCAGCTATTCATGATTGCTGTGTTTTCATTTGGGTGAAGACCATGAAGTCCAGTTCACCAGATCTGTCGCTTTCTTTGGTTTTGGATTTAAACTTGTCTTAAAACATAAATGTTGTGGAATAATTAGATTTTAGTATGGCCGTTGCTTCATATTTTGTTCTATGGGAGGTTTCTGTGCCAAGTCTTGTGGAACTCTTCTCACAAGGATGTTTGATCAACTTATCATGTGTAATGGGGTACATTTCTTTGAGGGCTTTGTCTTTTTCATCATTGCTTTAGAGAATGGGCTCAGTGAAATAAGATTTACTCCAAATTCACATCTTTCAGGTGACACTTCTTGAGTTCAGTTTCCTTCATTTACTCTGAATCTCCTTAGTTTAAATTATGTTTGTACATACATTTAGGTTAACTTGATTGATTTAATGAACTGTTGAATATAGTAAACTAAAATATTAAAACTTAGCACAGAAGTCTCTGTGTGCAAGTCCCATTCTAAAGGTTCAAGGTAGTTTCAAAAGCACTGAGCTCCAGTACCATTTTATTTTGAGCTTTCAGTTCATGTAGTTGAAATTGAGGGGGGTTGAGGAATGGCCCATTATTGTCTTTTTTTTCTGGTTCAATTTGAGTTAATGTATATGATGGCAGTTTTAAAATGCTGCTAATCATTTTTGGATGAATGTTTATTTAGTCAGATAATTTGGAATGTTTATTAAAGGGGAAGATCATATTATGCTTTCACGTAATGTGGTGACCATACCATGTTTAAAAGTCTAATTTCTCCACACATAAATTTTGATAGGTGGCAAAAGTTTAGCCCTTTCACTGTCTTAACAGAAGCTGTGTTATTAGCCTATGGCTTTAGTAGTTATGTAAAGTAGTGAATATTTATTCTTGTCAAAATTGTTTAAAGTATTATACTGTTGTCTTTTCTGCTTGTAGTAGTGTCAAACCAGATCAGCATCTACAGAGAAGTATTTTTCCCTGTGCACAACTGTTTAAATTCACCATAAATGGATGGAAACACAGTCATCAGAAGAAAACTGTACACATCCTCTGATGGTACTTTCAACATTTAATCCCCACCAGTGTCCCACACTTGCAGATATTGATAGAGATGCAACACCTATTTCACACACATAACCACACACATACATACACAAACATAACCAGACACTCACACCTTGAATTAACTTTTGAATCTTCACATGCAGGAGGGAAGATGTTTGACTTCTACATTGCTGCCAGCTTTGGGACCTCTGGTTACCTTGTAGAAATAATAAAGTCCCTGTCAAATCTGTTCAGTGCAGACATAAATGGAAGATTCTCAATACCCGCAGCTACATTTACCGTTTTTCACCACTTTTCAAGAAACCATTTACAGCTGTTTTTGGAACGCCATATAAAGTTAAGCTCACAAAGGAATCTTATTTTTCCCTTGGTATATTTGTCAAACACTACTGGATTCTAGAATTCCCTACACTAGTGGCAATGGTTGTTATGTTAGGTTTCTGCCTTCCTGTTTTTATTATTATTTTTTTTCCTTTACCGTGTTACACAGGCTTTTTGTCATGACTTAGCTGTTATAAAACATCCCAAATATATATTTTTGATTACTCCCTCAGATTGATAAAGCTCCCCTGGAGAAATGGAAACAATGAACTGTTTACAGATACTGAATACTACTCAATGAAAAGAAGTGGGCCTCTTATGACACAGTGGCAATGCATGCCACTGTATGTGATATAAGTGGATTCCTCTTTAAGTGCTGAGCTGAATCACCAGACCCGGCTTACCTGTAACACAACACGATTACAAATAACAGTCTGAAATCTTTTCAAAGCACTACAGAATACTTGTTCTTTTTTTAAAATATATATTTAAACAACTACATACAGTAAAACCTTTTTCAATAAGCACATTTGTTTAAATACTTTAGTTGTTATTGTCCAATTTATGTTAGTTAAACTCATAACAAACTGGACTTCTGGCATATGCTTTAAGAATAAGTAGTTATAATTGATGATTGATGTTTGGTTGTTTTTTTTTTAGTTCAGTTACCTATTACATTTGAATGGGAAATAATGAAAAACTGGGTAGCTTTTCATGGGCAAAAGGATTGGATTGCATATTCCATCAATGTTAACAGCTTTAGTAGTAGTGCAGTTTTATTTAGAACTATGTCCTTTATCATTCTGTTTTGGCCACAGATCTCCTCTTTCAGTACTTGTCATAATCACTGAAATGAGTCAGTAGTTTAGAAGGTCCTATCTCCAGTTTCAGTGTCAAAATTTTTCTTTTAAGAAAAAGAAATGTCTGTGCATGATATGACCTTTTCCTTCCATAATAGTGCCCTCGTATCACAGATGTAAAAACTATTAAAAACCCATCTCAACAAATGAGACAATCACATGTTAACAACTTCCAATAAAAACCCTCTCTGACAGTTGGCATCAGCAGCTGGCCTCTTTGAGGATTTTGTTATTCTTTTCATAATTGCCACAATCTGCTCTACATGCAACACCATCTTCATACTAATGGTGCTTAAGTGAGTCTTAGCCAGACATAGAATTTTGAACAGCACCATTAGGCTGTGTTAATTGCATTTTGTGAAGTCAAACTCTTGTATATCATTTATAGACCCAATAGATGCAATTTTGTGCTCAAAGTCCATGTTTGAAGAAAACATCATTCTGGAAGCTTTTACTTGTCCTTAGTAGTGAGCCATTTCCAGGTTAAGGGGAAAGTTAAAGAACAGTTTAAACAAATTATATTTTTTGTCATGTCACATGGCAAAAGTGAACATGCCCAGTTGAATAGAGCTATGGTCACTGCTCTGCTGGGTCAGTAACGTGACCAACTACGCTGTAACAGTGTATATGTTGAGGTTGGAAATTATTTCATGGCACAAACATAATCTTTAAGTTATGGAAATGGAGATTTTGCTAGAAGATGTTGTAGTTAGGCAATCTTGATTTCATAAAAGCAGCAAGACTGCATTAAAATTCTGTCTGATATCAACTATGATTTCATTTGAAGTCTTACTCGGGTCATTTTATGTCCCAGTTTCTTATGCGCTCAGCAGTCTAACCACAAGAATCCCGCTTAAACTTAACTTTTCTTTAAAAAGTGGCAAAAAGAAGGAAGTTTTTAGCACACTGGTTAGTTTTCTCCTCGTGTCAAGTAAACATTTCTAACACCACACATCGTTCTTTATGACTCAGTGTGTTTCATAGACATGTGTTGTGTGATCGAAAATCGATAAAAGCCACTGAAAGACCTCTTAAATTAGTCTTCCTTAAGAATTTTCATTTAAAAAAAAAAACAACTACATTTAGTTCCTCTAGCTCCCAAATGATTGTGAAGACTAAGGTAGGAAGGTTTCACACAACACAACAGCAAACATAACTCTGACATAAGTTTCATCATATTCATATCATATTTGTTTGGTACACAGTGAAATAATTCATTTTCATTCATTTGAACTTAAAAAAAAGTCTTCCAACTTTTCCAAAAACAGGGTTTATCCATTCACTCCTCCTTTTTTACTCCAGAGCTAAAGTAGACATGAACTGGACTGCAGTCATCATCTGTTGCCTGTGGGACATGGCATGGATCAGAGCTGACACTAGGACACGGATGAGCTTAAATAGTTTCTTCAAGCTAAGAGTGGATTGTGTGTACTAGGGGGTTTGGGATAATCTGATTGCGCAGCATTTTAATTAATGTTGAACTTCACTGCCTGCTGACAAACGAAACGGGCAGAATGTCGAAGCTACGATGAACCTGCTGCTCCACACACACGCATCATGAGATTTATCCTGAACAGGGCTCCCTGACTGCTCAGACATGCAGACACGCATTCCCTCCCTGAGCCTCCCCGCCTCCTTGTACAAATTAGTTAAATCACTGGACTCAAACACCTCAAAAACATTCAACCTGTTACTAATGTTAGCGCTGGCGTGTAATACTGCTGCGGCGTGAGTTTCGGCTGGTTTTCAGCTTGTTACTGATTCATAGGTAAGAATCACTTTGTCATTTTGCTGGCATGTTATTTCTTTGGCACACATGCAGTGTATTCCTCAGGTAATCATTGTGTTCATTGTCTGTGTCAGGCCTATCCAGGTGGTCTTAAACTTGTAGGTGCTGTAATGAATGCATTATCAGCCATGTACCTGCGTCTTACTACAGCCACCTCATGACCTGTTTTTACGATTCCTTTATTATGCTCTGAGAAATTAAAGCAGCACAACAAAAAATCGTCAGATAGCAGCTTAGTGCGGTATTTGTTGTCATACAGAAGGTTGCGTTTAGCAGTGTTTAGGGAGGATGTAGCCTTGTTGCAAACCTATACTTCTGAGTGTACTTTTTTCTTTGTATCCACATTAGATTGGAGCTTTTCAAAAGGTTTGCCAGTTTTTGGTCGGTCAGCACTGGTTTGAACCTCCGGCGTCTCCAGATTCTGTTGATCCGTTGACAAATTAGCTGTTAGAAGGAAGGATGCGGTTGTCGTTCCCGGCATTATGTGTCACTCACTATGCTATGCGCGTGAGTCAGGATATTTGCACCTACCACACAGCTTTATGACAAAGCTGACAAAATAATGAGGTCACTGTGTCATGGGTGGCTCACCACATTATGACAAAGCGCTGTCTGTAACAACAAGATTTCCACTTCCTTGTGGTTCTAGTGGACAGTTGTTACACGGCAGTTTACAGTCTGTGCATTTGAAATAGTGACATGACACGAGAACAGTTCACAACATGATTTCAGCTTTCTTTTGTTCTCTTTCAGAGAAAACGAGCCACATAAGGTGGCCCATAAGGTGATGCTGGGAGCTCGGTCCCATTTGGTGTGCCTCCGGCCTTAGAAAACTGCTCTCTCACTTCCCAAATATCCTGAAATGCCCACAAACACTAAAAGTGTGATTTCCAGAGTACAACATTTCTTTAATCTTATAAGTCAAACCGTAGCTGTAGAAAACTGACTAAATAGTGAATGCGGAAAAATAGATGTTGCTTCTCATGTTTTACGATAAAAAAAAAAAAGCTCACTTGTTCCGTAACAGTAAGCACGAGTCATGAAGTAACATTTCTTGAATGCCAGAAAGGATTTTTTTTTCTCTTCGTTTCTCAGTTGGCTCCCCTGCAGACACAGGCTCGCTACTGAAATGAGAGGGATGTTTATGGTCGTATGAGAATCATATGAAGCAGCTTAGGGGTCAAATCTTCCACTGGTTTAAAGAATTTACTGTTATCCTTTTATCCTCAACAACGTAGAATTTTTACGATCGAAAAAAAGAATCATTGATGATTGTTCATGTGCACTACTGTTGCAAAAGATAAAACATCCAGTATCTTATATTTCTAATACTCTCTGTAATGTGGAAGCATATACAAAAATTCCATATTTTCTAATTGGTCTAGCTATATCTATCAAATCTGTTCTAAGGGCAGCACCAATCTTGATAGACATTTATCTTGCATAGTTTACCAGGAACTATATGTTGGGGAGGTTGGACTGACTCTTGCACTGATTTATCAAACGGCAGTGTTTAATTCTTTTCACTTCAACACTGGCATCACGGTGCTTAATCATAACAACAAGGTGCAGTCAAGTAACGGAAATTTGGACAGAGCTTAAGCTCCAGCAGAGTGCAAGGTGCTACGATGGTAAATACACCTTTAAAATCCTTCTTTTTCTTTTCCCTTAAAGCGAGAAAATAACAGATTGTTAACCTGAGATGATATTCAGTGCTCATTTAGATGTACTTTTACTCACTTTTAAATTTTCATTTCCAGTAGCGTTGTTTTCTATACTGCTGTAAGTGGAAGTTTATAGCATTTACACACTAATTGGGACTTTCCCACAACTTGCTTCACTTGTTGATATATTGTGGAACCGTCAAAGCAGTTTATAATCCTTTGTTTTTTCTTCTCATGTGATGGGGTCGCAGAAGGTGAAACTTTCAGTTAGATGTTGAACTGGTGCACTTTAAAGTGGAATGATGGGATTTTTTAATTGTATTGTTTTGAAACAAAAGCAACTATAAAATATTTTTTATAATTTGCAATGAATGTGTAAAATCAAAGCGAATTAAGATTTAAATGGGAAAACTTACACTGAAACTAATTTCCTGTGCACATATCACATTGGTTTGTGTAACACACAGTTTATCCCATGTCGAATAAAGATTCACTTGTTTCCTGAAAATGTCAAGCACAACAAAGACTCTAATGAGGAAGTGCTCCAGGCTGTGCTGTTGCTTAAAGGGTGTGCTCTTAAAAAATGAGTTTCTTCCCAACCTATCTGCTGTTAGGGTTCATAGGTCAGTCACATGTTTAGAAAACACTGTCCTGTCTGCAGTGGGGTGGGTAGATTTGTAACCACACAAACCGTGAAATCCTGGTCATAGTACCAACATTCTCGTCCTGGCAAGACACAAATTGACACACCAGTAATTCAGGAAAAACCTTCAGGTAAACATTTTTTCTTTCAGTAACAGTAATCTTGAGTCATAATATTTCAGTGTTTAGTATCTTACTTTATGGCTTTGAAATGAGATATTCCCTGTGTTGGGGGCCTTTGAAGTGCTGCATGTAAGGTGAAGAAGTTGGGTTTATTGTGGCTTTGATTTTTTTGTTCACTATAGTAATTCTCGCAACAACAGTATTATTTCTATTAATTCTAATAGAAAGCACATATTGGATGGGATTACATTGCCAAGTTATTTAAACTGGAGAGAAAAAAGGACGCAGAGTGCTGATTTTGTTATCTATTGAATGAAAAATGTGTTTTAAGTTTGTAGTGATCAACTGATAGGCTTTTGATGTAATCGGAACCTTGATTAAGGCTTTGATGAATAAACAAGAGCATTGTTCTCATTTTGATGGGCCTTCTGTGTGTTAACTTTGTTAAGCCTTTCACTGGGATCAAGAGGAATATGTTATTTTTACCCATCCTGAGGGAGGAACTAAAAAGATGGGATTATTTAGCTCATAGTATCTTTGTTTGTATTGTGAAGTGCTTGTGAGGAGATTTTGTTCAAGAATATTTGTGTCTTGTATTATAGAACGTTGATTATAGAACACCAGTCAAAAATGATATTACAATCAAATTCACAATGCAAAGTTCTATTGGGAATGCCTGAGTAAATCCCAGCTAGGCCTCTTCATAGCAACAGCCCTCCCTCGCAGAGCCCTCCACAGGACGAGCGCCACAAAGACTCAAAGCCCTATAGATGCCAATGTGATGGTGCAGCAGATGTTCCAAAACACAGCATCAAGGATCCAAAATAATGGGCTCCCATCTTGCCAGTCTCTTCCCACTTAGCCCTGGGGCCATGTCATTTTAAAATGGAGACCAGTGTAGTATTAGAAAAGTGTCTTTTTAAGACATTCTTGGATAAGACTAAAACATTTTTGTTTAAAGTTGTGTTTTCGTTCTGGTTGGAAATTGTATTCTGTCTCATCGAATTCTGGGTGTCAGGGTAGAAATGAGGGAAGTTATGTTTTTTATATTTTTCTTAAACAGGGATTTTGAGCGCTCTCATACTAACATTGACAGCTTTGAGGTGCATCTATTATTCTCTTTTTATTACCCAAAAGTAACTGTGAAATATCTGACCATTTTATCACATCATGATGTGACAACTTTCTAACAAGCTGGTGGCCAGCAGCACAGTTGTCTATGTATGCGTGTGTGCTCGTGCATGCATTTATGTGCAGAAGTATTTTTCTTGTCTAGCAGTATTTTACATCTGACCTCTCTTTGTTTATATCCATCCCAACGATTCATGCCTCAACCACCCACAGGCTTCACAAGAGACCTTGTGAAGATCATTTGACTGAATTGATATTGCTGCTTCAGGCCTTTTTTAAGAGGGAGAAAACAAACTATTTGTTACCCAATAGAGAACTTCCAGTGTCTCAACTCAGTTTAAGACAAAAGTATAAAAGCTTTGTCTGGAGGCCTCTTTTCCTCATTCTCTTGTGCTTTTTGTGAAATATAAACTGCTGTTAATTTCTTTCCCTGGAGTGCATCTTTGTCTTTGTCAGAATATTTTTTTATTTGCTGACCTGCTGAAAGAAAATCTTGCATCTTTGAGGAATATTACCTGATGTCCATGCCACACCTGGAAGTCACCATTTCTCTACATTACTTTGATAATGAAATCTGTCTCATTCTGGATTTCAGGGGACCAGCAGTGAGGGGACAATGCGAGTCCATGTGCATCCAAAGTTCTGTTTCCTGTGTGTGCTCACCTTCCTCTTCCACCAGTGCAACCACTGCCACGAAGAAGGACACAGCCACCAGCACGACGGACATCCCCATGGCGACCACAGCAGTGCTCGCAGCGATTTGCAAATCTCTCAGACTCCATATGTGAGCGCAGCCACAGTGGCCCCGGTGTCCAAGAGTTCCCCGGGTCCTGAGAGTGGCAGTCTGGAGGAGGAGCAGCTCTTCTACATCCAACAGCTGTTCAGTCGCTACGGTCAGAAGGACCGTTTAGATTTCCACGGATTTCAGAATTTGCTGGTTAGCCTGGGTCTGGGAGAGGTGAAGGTGGTAGGTGTGGATCACGAGGACCTGGGCCACGACCATGTCGCCCACCTTGAGCTGCTGGATGTGATGGAAGGGCTACACTCACATTCATCCTCGAATGACGACCAAAGTCATGGCCACCACCACAAGCACGATCATACTCACCACAAAGCAGGCTCCCACCATCCACACACAGAACGAGCCCCAACACCCTGCAGCCAGACTACTGCTGTACCCACTAAACACGACCACAGCCATAACCATGGACATAACCACGACCACAGCGATGTGGAGGATAGTGATACAGATGATCATGATCCCGACCATGACCATGATGCCGAGCACAAACACGAGCAGGTACAGAAGCAGGCCAACCACAAAGACCTGTCTATTCACCAGCACAATGACCACGGTCACAAACATCACGTTCAAGAGCACACAAACGCAACCCCCATCAACCCCGAGCAGCCGCCCTCAGCCCACAGAGAGTCGTCAAGAGCCCCTCACTCGTCTCCTGCCCCCACCGAAAGCCACACAAAGAGACCCAGGAAATTAGCACGGGTCAGAGGTCAGCGAGGGCGGAACAAAACAACCTCTTCCCACACCGCGGCACCCGACGACCACGGACACAGTCATGATCACCATCACCACAAACATGACCACAGTCACAAAGAGAAGAGAGAGGCTCTGGCGGACTCTGGCACAGCTGGTTTCCAGGTGCTGTCTGTGCATGCAGGTGGACTGTCGCATCAGCATGAGCAGGTGGGACTTTTTAAATTCATCCGCTTGTTCCACACAGGCATTAGTTATTCACTTGTATCGACATACCGAGTATTTGATGTCACTTTTTGGTTGGGGGTCGTGCTGTGGCTTTGCGGTCGGAGCTTTCTTCCTCTTATATTTTTCTTCCCTCCCTTTCATTGATTTTCCAGTGTTTGAACCTCACGCAACTCCTCACCTACTACGGCCTGAACCCCGAAGCCCTCATCTCCCCAGGCCAGTTCACCTATCTGTGTCCTGCTCTGCTCTACCAGATAGACAGCCGCGTCTGCATCCGCCATCAGATGGATGTGACGCAGGACGCCATGGGCGCCGTCAGTTCTGGTAAGAGACGTGTATCGATCTGTTTTTTTTGGGGGGGCCAAAATGACTTTGAAGCTAGAAAACAAAATATAGAAATATCCATCTATCCATCCATTTTCCACCGCTTATCTGGGGTTGGGTTGCGGGGGCAGCAGCCGAAGCACGGAAACCCAGACTTCCCTATCATGAGGTTTTTTTTCCGGCCATGTGGCTGAACACACTGTAAGTTTATAAATAATATTTCATAACATTTTTGTATGGAGAGCACAAAATGCAGGGACATTTCCGCACTGTTCATTTCAGAGATTTCAGGTGTAGCCAGGTAGTTAAGCAGTAGGTCATCACACTTTGATCTCAGTAGATCCTGTTTGATTGATTGTTATATCTTTGTTGTGTGCCGTAAAGCTTATAGGCCAGTGATGGCATCATCACTGTGAGCGCACTTCTGTCAGCGATTAAGCGGTCTGAAAAAGTAAACCTCGAAAAGGTAAAATGATCGATATGATTACACTGAATGTAATCGTGTGGATGAAACAAGTAGGACTTTGCCTCACACCTGTTCAGTCTGCTTTAAAGTCAGCCGATGTCTCACTGGGGACCTGAGGGAGCGTTGTGTTGGGTATGATAACATTCTGATTAGAACACACGTTTGGGGGGATTCTCTGCTGTTCTGTGGTTAGATTTAGGGCACAGTCTATGACTTAATCCCAATTCGTGGTTATTTTCAGTTTTTTCTTAGGATGGTACGGGCCTCTTTCCCTTTTAATAATCAACCTGTAGCCTTTCAAATTACACCAAGACCATGTTCAAAGAGCTTAATGACCACTGTATCCTCAAAGAAACCGCAGGACCTAAGCTAATGGGAGAAACCTAGTTTCCTAATTGCAACTTTGTTAATGATCATTGTTCTCATCTGGGTCAGTGTAGACTCGGGTTTATGATGGCGCGTTGCTCTTTTCCTCGTAATGTTGGCATCTTAAAAAGCGCACGCCAAACAGTGACGCATGGATATGTTGTATTCAGCTGAAGTGGTGGATACAGTTTGTCTGTACCATCTTCTCTCATTTTCAGTGACTGTGTGTCAGAATGTCAACTTAGAGATATTTAAGTTCGAGAACACAGAAATTTAATCCATGCTTTAACTGTTGATTATTAGCTATGATCTTTATTAAGCAGTCTAAAAGCTAAGTTATGTCACTCGGATCACACTTGTATTTATGTTCATTAAAGATTTAATTGGTATTATGTGCATTATGTTACAAATGTTACAAATACTGTGAAGTGCAGTACCAGCTAAGACAACATTTAGACGTGCATAGCACTGGCTTTAGTATGGGAGCATGGCTCTGACTATAATAGAAAAATACAGTTTCCTGGAAAGTTGTTTGAACGACATGACCTCAATGCTTTTAGTGAATGGCAGACAGCTCTGAGAATGTTCCACAAAAGTCACAACATTAGTTTCTATGCTGTATTTTCACTGTAGAAAAAGTATGTGTAAAAAAAATCTGCTTAAGACTTAATCATTTTCTGCAAAAATATGTGTTATCTTTCTTTGTTGTCATGATATATATCACAGGCATTTTCTATGATTTGTCTGGACCCCTGCTTGCTCCAATGTGTGGAAGATTCTCAAAATCTGAATAATTTGGGCTAAAACGAGCACATTTTTTAATGGAGATCTCTGCACATTGCAGCATTTTGTTGCCATGACAGTAGTGCTGACCATTTTGGAATGCAAAAAGAGCTTTGTGTGTTATTAACACACAGGCTGTATTTTGAAAACAAGAATCATTATTACTCTAAGCCCAGAAATGAATGATGCCTAAAGGCACAGATAACGAAGGTTGAAGTTGAGCGGTGCTCTGAAATTTCCTAGTGCTTTTACTTTTATGAGACTTCAAAGTATAAAATGACTGTGTTTTAAAGTTAATATGTTACAAGTAGATAAATAAAGCTCATAAAGCCATAAAGAATGTCTGACAACACAAGCTATTCCAGAAATAAGTTGGCAGTTCCAACATGGAAAGCATAGAAAAAGTTCCATAGCTTCCAAAGGACCGTGAGGAGCTATTGAGCTGTAAATGAATATATCTCAGGGCATATAACTTTACTAAATATGTGTGTGCCTGCTCAGTTTATTTTTCTTTATGATCTTATGTCATTAATGCATTTTAGTCTTTAGTCTTTTTTGTTTTATGTATAATATGGAATCTGTCCGAAATTGTGTTTCCTGGTAAACAAAGGTCAACAAGGTGAGTGCGAGGTCATGAGATATTCTGTTCAACCAGATTCAATTTGGACCTAAGGTACAAAGTTCAGCTTTATTCACAGAAACTTGCTGCAGCTAAAAAAGGCTTACATGTGAAAGTTTTGCAGTTGAGATAGAACAAGGTAACAGCACCTGAGTTCAATTGTGCATACATTTAATTATTAAACACTCTCTCCCTTCTGGAGAAATCTGCATCACGCGTTCCTCGGGCAGCAGTGTGCCACCATTCAAAACAGTCATAAAAATTGTAATGATGGCGAAGGAGACAGCACAAATAAGTCATAAGGGCACCAGTGGTTCCTCATTACAGGCCTTAGATTCTCAGAGATGGTGCGCCAAGATTCAACCGTACACATCATCACACGCCACGGAGCTGCCTCTCATCTACCTCCTGCTGGCCTTCACGGGGGAGCTCAGAAAATGCGCCGTTTTTTCTCGCCTGTTCCCACTCCCCCCTCTTTTTGCACTGTGCCAATTAGGGGAGCCTAAGAGACACCATGGGCCATTTTTCTGAGCCACGACTCACAGGAGAAGCGTAATTGGAGAGAAGCCATACACACCAGTTGGTCTGCTGTTCTCCTCTGTTCCTTTATCACCACATTTAATCGCTCCACTGCAGCCGCCTGCTCACCTCCATGTCTGCATACACACCGAACCACAACTGCACAGGGGTAATGAGATAGAGAAGTAGATGAGCTGCACGAGTGTGAAGGACCTGCAGTGATGGACTGTCTGACTGATATACAGTTGCCTCTCAGGGTTATGCTGTGTTCTGCCCGATGGCGACAAATAAGAAAGCAGTCAGCTGTGGAACCTTAGTTTGTAAGGCACATTGAAAATGGTGGAAAACGTGAAAGTGAAGGCTGTTTATGACTCCTGAAGAACAATAAGTAAATGATTTCTTCTTGTGAGGTTTGTCCGTCTTTAATGACAATGCTCTCATATAATTCTGTAAATTTACTAAACTGGAGCTGATGTCAGGAATGAAAGAAAAACAACTGTAAGGAGGTTGTATGAAAAGATGTTTTAGTTTTTTTTCCCCCAACACATTCAGATAAAGCACTATTGGAAAGTGTCACTCACACAATCATGGTGTGTCTAAAGGTTATCTTAAATAGAGAAGAATATTCTTGATTCCGACTATTATGTAGGAAACGGAGTACAAAGAACATCAACATTAATGCTTTGAAGGCGTTTCCACTTTTATCTACTAAAGTGGACTCAACTGGTTTTGTTAAACACATTGTTTCTGTGATCACAACAGTGGTAAATGCTTAAGACTTAAACCAACACCGAGGTTTAGCCGGTGTCCTTCATTGTTGTCTCGCGCTCGTGTCATAATAACAGAGTCTGGCTGCACAGTGCGGAACACAACTCAGAGTATCTTTCCAGGGATGTGCGCAACTCGCATAGTATTTTCGTCAATGGACTCAGCTGCATTTTCTTTCTCTAAAGGAGGAGAAACAAGGAGTTGTGACAATCACAGAGATCTCTTCGCCTCCCCTTGAGGCACAGCGCTTTGCCATGCAGAGGAGTGTTTTCCTCAGAGGGGAACTTATCATTGTTGGATTCAGGCAGGCTTTCTTAGATGACGATGCTTGAATAAACTACATATATTCTATAACCGGAGGGAGATGACAGTCTTTTAAAAGATTAACACAGATTATTGCAGTAATTAAAAACCATCTGTATTAGGAATTCACTGATGCCATGTCATATCAACTAAGTAAGCTTATATTAAAATGCACGGTGGAGTTTAATACCTTCTTATCTTCAGTTTATGACATTTTAGAATGCAAAGTGATTCAAATTAAGAGATGCAAAACGATCCTGGAAGTCATCTACTAATATATGAGTGATCTATTAGAATCCAACTCAGTTGGGTGGTTCACGATGCTGGTATGAGTTGTCCAGTCCAGTCCAGTCAGTAATGCAGACCTCAGTTTAGCCAGTGTGGAGCCTTTGGAAAACATGGTTTCATGTGACTGATGTTTGTGTTTCTTAGTACAGAAACACACCCAATGCACCTGCTGTTTGAGAAAAAAGCCAGGCGTTGTCACAGGATTATCTGAAAAGCATTCAGCTTCAGAGGGCGGCAGTTTAAACCACTTCCTCTGGACAAACTTAGGTGCTTAGTGATTGGTGGGAGATTCTAATACAGCGACGGCTCCATAAAGCCTCTGAAGACAACGTCATTGACATGAAACATGTTTTCTGGTCATCTCAAGCCACACCACCTCAGACTGATGTCATTAAAGGGGCTTTGCCTGTATGATCATACACGTTTTAAACATGTTTTCTCTCTGGCTCTGTCATCTTTATATGACGTAAATACAATCAGAGTTTTGTATATGCTTACCAGTTCAGGAAAAATCTGATTAACAAGTAACTTTTGATATGTTTTTATTGTCCTAAAAGTGATTAGCTCTTTCTTTTACACAGGAACAATCCACTGAGTATAGTGCAAGCTCTTGGGTGTGGCGGCGTGCTGCTGAGATGTATCCCTGAAATAAACTGCCAGAGAGATGCTCATGTACAAGCACGCACTGTTTTAGTGAGCAGACGTTTTTTAGCTGAGTGTCAGCAGTGAAACTGAGCATCGCTGCAGCAAACAGCATCCGCTTTGGTGTGACATCGAATTTCATACCACATTAAACATTTGCTTGCCTTTGACGAAAGAATCAAAAACTTTGTCTCGCCGTCTCGTGTTGTTTCGAGATGCGTCCTTAACTGACAGTTTAAATGATCGTGCAGCTTTATCTTTCTTTTGTGTGACATGGCAGCAAGTTTGGATGAAAAATTAGGTTGTTAGAATTCTATGGGAATGTCACAACATGGCTTTTGGCACTGTGTCACCACAAGAACACCTGGATTGACACCCCCGTCATCTACATCCAAACGGGGTGGGCAAATTCAGTTTGTGAGACAGTGATGGAACCAATGCACTGGGATTGTATTTGACTCAACTGTAAGTCTGAAAACGGCACCAAGGTTTCTTAAGAGCACCGTCCACGTCTAACGCTGTTTCTTTCTTTCTTTCCTCCAGTGTGGGTGTGGATCTCGGGCTTCGTCTCCATCACCATTATCAGCCTGCTGTCTCTGCTGGGCGTGGTGCTAGTGCCTATTCTCAAGCAATCCTGCTTCAAGTTCCTGCTCACCTTTCTAATCGCGCTGGCCGTGGGCACGCTCAGCGGCGACGCCCTCCTTCACCTGCTGCCTCACGTGAGTACGGCACACCTGGCAAAAACACAAATTCTTTTTCTTCAGTACTGTATTTAATGTGTGCAACTTGCTCCCACCTTTGCAAGTTGGATGAGACCTACACGTAAATCCAATAGTTTGGAGTTAAATGCAGCAGCTCTCTAGGGTAGATAGAATTTTTAGTTTTTGTAATCTTTACATATATATATATGTATATATATATATACATACACACATATACACACAAACCATTAATTCCAGAATATTAGTAGCAACCTTTTCCCCACGCTTCAAACACTAATAGACATCAATAAAGCCAGCTATTATACGTCATGATTTCTTTTCTAAAATGAGCTTCATGCCGCAAAAATATTTCCCCTCCTAAAAAACACTATCACTGACGGGAAAAGGCTGGAGTGCAGCTTGATTAAGACGATGGCTCACTCACCAATAAGTGCAAGGACGAAAGAGACCAGTAGTGATTTTCAGGCTCGTTCAATTCGGAAGCAAGTTCAGTAGTTTCAGGTTCTGGGCGCACGGGCAGGATGAAGAAAGCGATTAATGACTTTTCTTGGTAGCTTACTTCATTTTGTCATTTTTTTAAATCCACATTTTTACTGGCGCTGTTCAACATAAGTATCTGTATGCGTTTATTTATGTTACAGCACATATTTAATTAAAAGTATAAAAATATTCATGTGCAACATTTCTCCGTGTGCATATCTCATATAACAACATGGACACTCGCGTCTCATAAACCAGTTTAACCTATATATGTACAAAATGATTTGCTTTCATCAGTGGATGCAACTTACATTCAGGTGTCTGGAATTTATGGTAATTCAGTCAAGCAAAAGCAATATCATCTGTGAAATAATAACAATCTTCTGACATCCAGTGGTTGTTCTTCTAAGATGGTCAGAGTATGATTCAGTGGGCTCTGTCTAACAATTTACACTTGCTTTGTGGACAGCCTTAAAATGAGCAGTGTCCTGTTCAGACTTGCTTGATAAATTCCACCCTGTCTCTCTAGAGTTTGTGTCTAGCTCCGAACCACTTGGCTCTCCATGTGACATTGTTCCTTTTCATCAGCTCAGGGAGACTTTCCCCACTCTGGAACCATTTATTCTTAATTAACGGCAGTCTGACATCAGGTCAGATACCAGAGGGCTTAACGTATGCAGCGGTTCATCCTGTGCTAAAGAAACCTGGTTTAGACTCATCAATTTTTGCCAGCTTTTGACCCGTCTACAAATGTCCGGTCTGGTAAAATACTGGAAAAGATTGTTTGCAGTTAACTGAAGGATTTCTTGGATGGACATAAACTGGAAATATTTCAGTCTAGTTTTGAAGGATTCCACAGCACAGAATCAGCTTGTTTGATAATAGTTTTTAAGGTTCAATAACCAGGTGTAGTTCACATGTTAACTTTATGTAACTTTTTTCCATCTTGTAAATGTAAAATACAACATAACTGTGAACATTGCAGAAATATTGTCTGTAGTACATTTGACTATACTAAAAAAAATCAACAGTATGTTTCAATAGGAAGCTGGTTGATATGACATGAAACAGTTTGATCGTGTACTGATTGAACAGGGACCTGGCAGCATCCCCCCAGATGAGGGGACTTGACCTGCTGGTTTCGAAAGATACAACATCAATTTTTTCGGACAGTGTCTGTTAACCGAATGCGTTTTTTAAAAGTCTGTGGTGTTGCCATCCCTATGCTAGCAGCACAACTACAGCTGTTACTGCAAGTCCAAAACCACGCACAGGAAAATCCACAAACTCCTGTAGTGCAAAAGGCAAATGGAAAACAGCTCAGCCTCTGTTTCTGCCAGCAGCAGTTATAGGCTGACTCCACATGGGGAAGAAACTTTTTTCCCCTTTTTGTTTGCCTTTAACCAAAACTAAATAAAAAAAAAAAAACTTTCAGCATTAAGATTAATAAATCTACTTACTAAATAAGCATAAAGATACTAAATTTCGAAAAAATATTCTGTGCTTATTGTTTTGAAAATCATGTACATATTTTTTGAAAAGCACCATTTAGAAAAATGGCCTAAAATTGCTAAATTGTTTTATATCAGAACTGTTTTTTATTTTTATTTGTCTTTTTGGCTCTTCATCAGCTAGGAGACAATATCATGCCTGATCTTTTGCTATTTTAAAAGACTTGTCGTGCTGGTATATATGTAATGGCTCTCTGCTTCACGGTCCCTCCACAGTCCCAAGAGCAACATGACCACAGCCACCACGCGTCGAGCCACGACACTGATCTGGTAACAGCTTTTGATGGCGTCTGGAAGGGCCTGATGGCGCTGGCTGGCATCTATCTGCTCTTCATCATCGAACACTGTATTGGCATGTTTAAACACTACAAAGACCAGAGGGTGAGATAAATGTGGGCGTGCTGTTAATTAAGCACTCAAGCATCATCAAACAATTCTAATAATGGAGTTTGTTCTATTTGTTTTGAACCTAAGTTTTGTTAGGCTGAAACTAAGAGGGAACCTTTTCTGTCATGGACTGAATTTCTGTGAATTGGACAAAATCATCTAACTTCTTGCAGGGCATAAAGAAGGCCAACGAGGAAAGTAAGATCGGCAGAAAGTTGTCGGATCACAAGTTAAACCGGCGCTCAGATGCAGAGTGGCTGCACCTGAAGCCTCTCGGTGAAGGTAAGACGCACTCGCTCACTCGGATGAAGCAGCTTTGCGTCCTGTCGCTGAACATCCCCCTCATTCAGACCCAGACAGCACGGCCGTCTCCTGTGAAAGCGGACACAACGACACGCAGCTCACAGAGCTCCAGACGCCCGACTCTCCCACCAACAAGACACCGCTGGCAACCACTACCCCCCCAGAAGACCAGCAGGCGTCCACCAAGGAGAACGGTCGCAAGGCCAAGCAGCACAGTCACGGGCACGGCCATTCGCACGGACACGGTCACTCCCATGGAGGGAACTGCCACTCCGACCAGGAGATGAAAGACGCTGGGATAGCCAGCATTGCCTGGATGGTCATCATGGGAGACGGCATGCATAACTTCAGCGATGGGCTGGCTATAGGTAAGGTTCCACTGTTGGCCAGTTATAGGACATATGGAACTAATAATGAAGAAGTAATTGTAGATAAAAAGTTTTAGATTTATGTCCCTTAAGCCTATCTTGCTTAGATGGCATTTTAGTATTATTTCAAACCATTAATAATGGTTTCATACTCTTAAAATTTGTTGCAGGAATTTTCCTGGAAGAGCACCTGTTTCTTGTCATTACGCTCTTTTTATCTGTATGGAGGGTTTGTGTTTGTGTTTTGGAGATGCCACCCTACTGTCTACTTATTGATGTGTTTAGATAAATGTATGAAATTCAGTTAGCAGGGCAGGGATAGTGCAAAACTGCTCATAATGTAGGATTTAGATTTTCATAAAGAGACTAAAGGATGCGTTGCTGATTCAAAGCTGTTCCCCCAAGTGTTATATTTAAGTTATGAATTGAAGTGCTGTAACTCCTGCTTTTCTCCGACTCTTGAAACTTGTCTTCCAGGTGCAGCATTCAGTGCAAACATGACTGGAGGCATTAGCACATCAGTGGCTGTTTTCTGCCACGAATTACCTCATGAACTCGGTGAGTGCAACAAGAGCAGATTTCCCCAAAAGCGAAGTCATTTAAACACTGTGAACTTCAAGTTTTTAACAAGTCAGAGGTGGTTGTGAAGGATTTATTTGTTCACATAGCGGTCATCAGCCTGGCAGTCACAGCCTTCTGCCAAACTGAATCTGGAGCTTCATATGCCTGCTTCCTGTCCTCTGTGGATACATTTGATTCTGATCCACCAGATATGTGTTTTGTCTTTTTGGCTCTCTTTATGTTGAGACAAAGAGCTGGTGGAGTTTGTGTGTTACAAGACTGATTGACAGAGCCCATGCGTGAGGCAGTTCGTGGTAAACCTCTCCAGCTTGTGTTTATCAACAGAATCCAGTCCTCGTATGACTGTCTCAAGGGGAAAAGTAAGGAAGGGTTATAAGAAAAATAAATGGCTTTATATATTTTAATGCCGCTTTTAAAGTTTACTAACAGGTGCCAGAAAGTCCAGCTGCGTCTGTAATAGCACTTGCTATAACAGGTTATAAAAGTCCTTTAATTCGCCTCCAGCACTTTGGTCTTTAATCACTCCGCTGTAGCCAAGCTTCCAGATGGCTAACGGCAGCACTAAAGTCCCCAATCAAAGTGCATGCGAAGATTCTCGGACTCATTTTCTTTGCCTCCGTGTAATTTCCTGTTGATTCGGCATTCGCTTTCAAGCAACGGCACGCTGTTGAGCTTTTCGTCCCATCGAGGCACTTGTCTGACAAACCCGGCGGTTTGATGAGTGCACCTCTCAGCTAAACCCGGACACAAAGCCATCCCCGACTGGCATCTGGGTGGAAAAATATGACGATTAGGAGGGTTCTTTAACCACCAGGAGTGAAGCTAATTGGCAGTGATGGGTGTGTTAATTGCAGTAGATGAGGCGGCGACAGGCGTGTCTGAGTGCCTGACGGATTGGAACTGGGAGGAAGGAAGTGCTGCTGGGGGGGGGTCTAGAATGCCACTGAGATGAGGTGTGTGGACTTGTCCTCTCTTTTTTTCTCAACCACTGATTGATGGATGAGAGCAGAGCGGTAATATATTCATTGTGGTAATTAGCGAGGAAAAGAGGCCGCCTGTTACACGGTGGAGGAAATGTAGGCCACCCCTCTTCTCCGCATCCATCTCTCTCTTTCCAAATCCGGGGCGTTTCCGCTGAGACTCGGGCCGCTCCTTGCATTTGGCCCAGCAATGATTGAAGAGGCTACAGCATGCATATGTAATCATAAGCACATCAGAGGGGAGCCGAAATAAATTTCTTAGAGAGCGTGGCTGTGTTTTTCTCCTCCTTGAGGACGGATCGAGGTAGAAGGAGATTGTTCATCACTGGTCTACGTTATTGGCGTAGACCAGTGATGAGTCGGAGCGGGCCGGGGAAAATGATCTTCCAAATGCTTCTCAGGGAACAAGCATAGCTGGCGTCGCAGTGAGCTTTGGATGCCAGAGAATCAAAGACGTGTTTGCTCTCCCTGACAGGTGACTTTGCAGTGCTGCTGAAAGCCGGGATGTCGGTGAAGCAGGCCATCGTCTACAATCTGCTGTCTGCCCTCATGGCCTACGTTGGCATGATGATCGGCACAGCTGTGGGCCAGTACACGCACAACGTCACCAGCTGGATCTTTGCCATCACGGCCGGCATGTTCCTGTATGTGGCTCTGGTGGATATGGTATGTTTGGAACAGCACATTCAGAAGTCCCCACATGATGAGTGCACATGGTGACCGGTGGCTTCGTTTGTTCCACAGCTGCCGGAGATGCTGCACGGTGACAGCGAGGAGCACAAGCGCTGCCACCTGGGACACTTTATCCTACAGAACCTGGGCATGCTGACCGGATTCGGCATCATGTTGCTAATTGCCATATTTGAAGACCGCATCGTTTTCGATTTTGGCTTTTAGCCGAGAAGAGAGGAGGAGAGGGAGGGGAGAGCCGGACGTATCAGTATTTTTCTTCTAGGCCTTAACATGCTTTGTGTGTGAAGTAACAGCCTCGTCTTGCATGTACTGTGAGTGTCACTCGTGGCCCGTGTCTCCATTCCAAACATGCAGCGGCGGCTTCTGCACATGCACATGACGTTTACACTCTGCTGCCCCACCACCGTCTCGCTGTCACTCCCGACCTGTCTGCTCCCTGTGAAGGTAAAGAGCAAAGCTGGGCCAAACCAGGACACACCCATCCGCTCTGAACCGCCTTTAAACCAGCTGCAGACGTTTCTGCAGAAGGCCGCTTGTCAGGCCCTACAGCTCACTCACAGCCCATCCATCACCGCTCGCCATCGCCTCCGTCGTCTCGTTCACTCCGCGCCGCGTCCCGTCATCCCGCGCCTGTCCTGCTGCGCCTGCTCCACGAGCCATCCATCATCACTTTTCACTGTCATCCTGCTGCCCATCAAACACCTGTGTGCCAAGCCCCGGCCACTGGAGCGGCTCCGCCGTACGCCATCAGGCTCCTCAGATAGACGCACAGCTGCGATTAGCTAGCAGCTCCTCCCCCAACAAACCCCTCAGCTCGTGTTGCTTCGCCTGCAGAGTTGGCAGCTTTCAGAATAGAAATGTTTCCCCCACTGTACCAGTGTTTTTTTTTTTGTCTCTTTTATTTTCTATTCAGATTTTTTCATGTTCAACAAAAGCTAGTTGTTTGTTGAGAGAGCTGCATCCTTTACAGCTGCCTTGACAAATTAGAATAGTGTTATTTTCCACAAGAGCAGCATATCAGAAATGTCTGACCAATTTTTGTAGGAGTTTGACAATCTGTAGCCAAACCGTCTTTTTCTTTATGATATTCAACTTCAAACTGTGAGTTCAGATTGATTTAGTCACCTCTGTCACAAAGTGCTGTCATTTACTAGATTTTTTTAGGGAGCATCAGTTGGACCAACCTGTAGGGAAAAGGAAATCATAGAAGGTTCAGTTGTCATATCAAAGCAGATTTGTATGCGTTGTAAATGCTTTCAATTTGCATAGTGTCTGTAGTTATGCAATTAACAGCATATTTCAGCTATTACTAACAATTTAAAGTAATATTTAAAAAAGTATCTTCCCGACAATCTGAAACAAATTATAAGGCAGTAAACTTTGTCAGAATAGCTTGTATCTGCTGCCACAAGCATCTACAACTTTAACTTAAGATCAGCCATTTGTCAGTTAACCAAACGAAAATAATACTTACTTTGAAGCATTCCTGTGTTCCTGGGAGCGTCATTTACAGTCACTGAGCAAAGCCAAAAGTATTCATTGCGAGGACTTTCAGTGGCTGGCGCTTGACACGACTCCTCCTTCCCCACCCCGACATTCCACTGGCTGCTCTGCAGTCCACATGCTAAGCTGCCAAACGTAGCTTCAGCTGCTGGAGCACACGCATGAATGTGTGTGACGTCATTATCCTGTCACTGTGTGACATCCATCGTCTGTGTCTTAAATGGCTGTAAATCATGGTCAGTCTTAACTGAAGTCATGCCATCGTATTGATGGAATCATGCATGAAGCATGAGTGAAACAGTAGATGTGTCAAGTGTAAAAGTGTTTCTTTTTTTTCCCCCCACAAAGTTGAAATGTTGAAAACGTTTGCTACCTTTTAAACGGTGGAGTGAGGATCATGGGAAATTCTTTGGGGTATAGTGTGACTGGTGTTATGATCCTGTTCGTGTTGTTTGAAAGTAAGTGATGCCATTTGCTCAATTTGTGGTACCTTTTTGAAGGCTTTTTTCTTTTCTTTTTTTTATTCCTAACACCATCAAATGAAATTCATCACTGTCTTTGTTCACTTCCACTCAGTCTCTCGTTTAGCTTTTGATGAAAAGATTAGACGCTATGCCCCAAAGATACCTCACTGCTTATTTGGCACAAAAAACACAATCATTTTCCCATTTGTTGTATGTGTATTTGTTTAGTAATATGCAAATTGTGACATCTTTGCTGTTTGCCTGTCTGTGTATTATCCCCATCATGACAAGAAAATAAACTATGAAAATATATTTAACTCTTCATTCTGTCACCCCTCAGTGACAGCTTCTGTGTCCAGCACTGTAGGCACCATTAGCTTGTGGCACCAAAATAGCAAGCAGGTAAAGATTCTAAACTATTTTATTTGTAATGTAAAAATTTGAAGTTAAGTTGAAAGGAACAGTGGAGATTAAACAGAAACTGATTAAAATGCTTTCAAAGAGACAGTTAACGATCCAAAACCTAACATCTCCAATAGACTACCTCGGGAGGCACAATTTTAAATCTTGGCCCAAGCTCTTTCTCAGTCCGCTGACCTAAACATCACTTTGAAATCTGTAAATACCAGACAGCAGCAGAGCTGGCAAGATGGCCCAAAAAATCTCAGCTGCAGACATCGTCCAGCATGAAATGGCAGAAAATCCCCAAAACAAGAAATGAAGCACTGAACTGAATACCTTAAACATTGCACAAGCTGGAAAATAAGACAAGGGGTTGTTACCGACCATTCCATTAAATACGCTATGTATGTGCCTGATATTCATCGAAGAAAGGCCAGAGAGCTTCTGAACATGTGTGCTTTGTGATCTTTTTAATGACGTCAGGCCGTGAAGCGTGCCAGGAGCTAAGAGCTTAGCTGGCAGAGCAGAGCGACTCCTCGTCTGATCCAGTGCTCGGCGGGGATGTTGGAGTTTAGTGTCATGGCAATGACGTAGTTGGTGGAGTGTCCAGTAGTGGACAGGGTACCCCGCCGCTCGCTGGTCTTGTAGACGGGCGACAAAAAACACATTCTCTGAGGAACGTCCTGTCGCTTCATGGGCTTCAGCCACATCTGGCAGAAAGAAGCAGAATGTAGCAGCATATTTTCTCTGTTCAAAGAAACAATTCTATCAAAGAGTCACTATGATTGGGGAGTTAGTCTCTTTGGATTTGACTGGTCAAGGCATTCTTTATGTTTCAGATGAAGGACAAAAGGTCCAAGGAACAGGAAGCAGCAATCAAATGTGGATAAAATAGCTAACCTAAATCTCTTTGTTCTCCACGAACTTACAAATGTAAGCTTTGGGGATAAACATAAGGGCTCATTTGAGCCATTAAAATGTCTAGGTTATGCAAAAAGGGTAAACTGGGCCAATTGAAGAAAAAAACCTATTTGGAACAAAAAAAAAAACACTCTAAAAACCAAACAGTTTGCAAAGTTTTAGCCGCTGAAGTTTTCATCTGATTCCATAGCAGGCGCCTCGGTGCAGATTTGCATTTCAAAGACAGCCTTTGTTGTGTTCACACACAAATAATAAACACATTTTTAATTAAGTTCCGCTCTTGTCAAAAACTGATTCTGTTAATAACTTGCCCTGAAATGTCTGAATATTAAAAAAGTCAGTGTAGTGCATTATTCATTGACACTGAACACATTGCGAAGAAGAGAGAACAGAGGGGGGGGAGGAGGAAAACTTGATCAATCGTCACTCTCAGAAGCTTCTTTTCACTTTCTGTCAGTCTACTTTCATATACCACATCAAGCAGTGTGAATTAATAAAAAGATGGGAGGCAAAAAAGACGAACGTCCTGCAGGCAGAATGTAAAACAGTGCTGAAGCTCCGGCTGAGTCCTGAGAAAAGGGAACTGTGAGTAGCTACAGTGTAAAGATGTTCTCTTTCTGCTAGAAATACAGGACAAAAAACAAGCTTTCTCTGAGGGGTTCTTTGGGACACAGCATGGACTCTTTCCCATTTTACAATTTTCCATGGTGAAATCTATCTTCCCTGTTTTCTAGACTCCAGAGAGATTTAGACAAAGAGAATCAATACAACCTGCCCCTTATGTAAGATGACAGGATTATGCAACACATACTTTACAGGCAGGGATTTTGGCATACACAAAAAAAATCAATAAAAGAACCATAAGGTGTGTTAGCACCTAAAAAAATGTCAAATCCACAGTTATGAAAATAAAGTATAAACGTACACATTTCTCTCTCCAGTACCTAAATATAAGTTCTGTGTTTGAAACTGAAATTTAAATTGGATATCAAATAATTTATACAGTTGCATTATGTTTAAATATGAGGACTTAGGCGCTTGCTGTCTCCTCTCAAAGGCATTCAAGTGAAACAGGGCAGAAACCGAGAATGGAATGAAAAAAAGGGGGCTTGAAAGTCAAATTACAAACTCCAGAGGCCAAATGTATAAAAGTTAAGGGTTATGAGGGAAACTGAGTGTATGCACAAAGGAAGGAAAATGGTAGGAACATGCATAGGAATTATCTTTTTACCGCATGTCTGTGCACATCTGGTTCATTTTATGAATCACAGTCGTGAAAGTTTACCGACATAGGCCGTATTTCTGATTCCGTTCATTATGAATGGTGGTGGCACTGCTCCAATTAGCCAATCCTGTTTGCCCCACAACTAAAGATATATGACAAGAGCAGTAACATTAAAGAAGATGTGAAACTGAGATACTCAGCAGTGAAATAGAGAAATATAATAGATCTCAACAGCAAAATCACAAACAAATCGTGCTGGATGTGAAAAAAAGGCCAAATTTTGAGGACAGAGGAATGCACATTTCATATACAGGGTCATGCATGTAAATGTACTAATTCTTCAATTATGAATCCCAGTCTGTGTGTAAGAAAAGGAGCATGTGTCAGTTCAAGAGAGCATTGTTTACAAAGTCTGACCAGTATTTGACTTGAATATCCTCTGTTGAGAGAAGACAGCTGTTTTAACAACCAGAGATTTTCCAGGACAACCACCTACAAATCTGTCTAATATGTCTTAGAAGTTGGACGGAAAGATCAAAGTTGGTTCTTCCTGTTATAGATATATATATCAGAAAACTCAAACAGGTTCACAAAGTGATGTCAGGAATAATTGACAGCACTTTAATAAAATATTGACCCAAACAGTTCAGATATAGAAGAAAATGAACATTTGAGAGATTTATCTTTGAAGGGGCTACACCTCTGACAGGAAAAAAAGCCTCAACCAACATGACTAGGATGTACCATAGTGGCAGACTGCACGAGGGAGGGGGAAAACGCAGTTTAGATTATAATCAGACTATAAAATAAGAAAGAACAAAGAAACGTTCCAGAGTGTATGAGTGTGTTATGATGCAGCATCTTTACGGGGCTACTCACCACCGGCATGGTATCGTGTAGCACTTTGGGGTAGGACTCTGCAAGAAGTTTGGATTTTCTGTCCCAGCGGGCCCCATCCAGGTACAAACCTCTGATGTAAACACCTGAAACAGACACACACAGTTCAGAGACACTTACAGAGGAGCTGCCATTACAGCTTGACCTCCAAACTGGACATAACCGACCAACTTTAAAGAAACCAGTGATCGCACCTCAAGCAGATGCAGAGATTAAATATTAACGGGCAAGCTGAGCTGACGTCTGTCCTATAACACTCAGTTTTCATGTTCTGAAAACTTTCAGAATTTGTGGGGGAAAAAAGGGGTGCCATTTAGTAATAACTGGCTGCTGGAGTCCTGTCAGTATCACACACCCAAATGCACAAACACACTGGGATTTGCAGCTTGGAAGCAGGAGTCGCATTAGCATGATGGGGGCCCAGCTGGGGACTGATTGAGGATGAGGTTTTTATGTGAGATTTGACTGAGAATCTCAAAGCAGCGCTGCACACGCAGCAAGGGGCTGACGCAGGCCTGCATGTAAATGAGAGGTAGGAAAGCCTTTCTGTAACTTCCTTGCTAATTTAATACTTTGCATGTCTCAAATTAAGTCAGCCTATGACAGCTTCCATCTGTTTGATTCTCTTCCACACGCTGCTCATTTTCCACTGCTTTCATTTTCTACTTTGAAAACTCATTTAGTATTCTCATTTTTCCTTTCCTAAAGATGACCTGACATTCAGCTTTATTTGCTAACCTGCCACACCCCCAGCCCTAAACCCATCCGGCAGCTTTTCTCAGTAACACCTACCATCCTCTGGGGGCCGTTTGAATTGTCTGTCATCCAAGACCTCAAAGTCAAATCCCAGCAGGTCAATGGGAATGGTGTGTTTCCTGGCATAGTTCTGTTGGCTGCCCGTGAGGAAGGCCTGGGTGAAGAAGAATCCCGATATCCAGAATACAGCCGGCGTACCCTCATCATACCAGTTCTAAAGGAATATGTCAAACCAAAACACAGAGGATGCAGGGATTAGCAGTGGTTAGCCTCATTTATTTTTAAAAGCCGTACATCTAATGTGTGCTGTCTTGAAAGTCCTCTGATTTGAATCGAAGCACTGCACATAGCTGAATGGTTACAGTATATCAACACACTTACTGCAATGTTTTTGGATTTCAGGGAAAATAAAATCTGGTCTGCATTTTGCAAACTGTTACCCTGCCAGTGTGCCAAATTGTTCCTTGTGTACCATGTGTTTTACGTTGAGGATAACAGAAAAAGCCACAATAACATAGTGGCAAAACTATGATCTGTACTGATCTTATCATTATCATGAATACTGGAATCACCTCAGGTGAATGTTTTTAACATTTCTTCAATAAGCCAGTGACTTATTGGCTTACATGAACCTGAATTAAACATTATTCATTTCAGGCTCCTATTTCCATTTCACCGTCTCTGAAACCTATCAGCTAAACAATGGGATAAACTGTGATTTTAAATCCAAAGATATTGACAGTGGCTTAAGACCACCTGCACAGCAAAATCAACACCGTTCATCTCATTCTAAATTAGATAATGGTGGATACATGAGATGCTGAGAAAATTCCACTTTCTCTTTTCATGTTGGAGAGCAAAGGGTGTTTTTGTGTCTTTTCAAGACATCCCCTGCAACTGCTGTGTTTCATTTAATCACATCCTGCATTGTGTAATATCCTTCAAATCGCAGATTACATCATTTGTTTGCCCTTCACCCCAAAATGATTTTTTGTTTAGTAATTGGTTCTGCAACGGCTCTGCTGGCAGCTCTTGTGAAAGAAACAGGTGTCACAACATGCAGTGAAAGCTCCAGTACAGCATTATATAGCCATCAAGTCAAATGGATGACTACCAAATGAGACAAAGACTGGCGCAGTCCACATAGCCTAATTTAATTACTGCTTATTCCAAATATATCCTTATTTAGGCAATTATGATCAGAAAACACTTGTTTTGTGACAGTGTCTCACTGGGTCTTAAAGAGGGTTATATAGAATTGCTATGCATGTAAACCTTTCCAGTAAGACATTAATCACCCATGGGTGCCACAGCATACTCTGGATTAAAGTATCCACTTATCTATAACTATGGAGACAGAGTGACTCGCAAGGTTACACAAAGTTCAGAAATCAACTGAGAGGGTTTAATCTGGTTAGTCCAAAAGTTTTTCTAAAATGACTAAAGTTTCCTGCTCTGTCTTAGATAAGAAACTCATGAATCCGCCGTTCCCCTTGAAGAGTCAAAAGAAGTCATTTCAGTTGGATAGTACTCACATAGACACACACGGACATTCCATTTTTTTTTCACTCTGAGCACTGATGAACAAGAGGAATATTTCTAGAGTAGACTCACATGAAAGGTCATGTGGCTGCATGTATTATCTGTCTTAGTTTTTCATGTGACTAAAGGGAATTCAATTCCCCATCCTGCTCTCAGTGTGTTGGACATCAGTTAAATGAAGTATTCTTCTGTAACTCGAGAGGCCCACCCTAAAGCATGTTTCAGCCATAGTATGCAATAACATCTTGCTACAGATTAATGTGTTCTCTGAGGAAAAGACCATGTCCTGTCTATAAAACACATTTTTTCACAGTCTTTTTACCTATACCATGTTTTTTTATCAGGTGATTCTGAACACTAATGCACCTGTAAGAACTGGAGTCTTTCAAGGAAATCGTTGACGTAGCTTCCCAGCGGTTTGAGGCTGGGATAGGACTTCTTCATCCACATGCCTGGGATACGGCCCTTCAAGATGCTGCTGACGACCTCCTCCAGCTCTGCAGACATCACTACCAAACCCTGCGCACAAGTGTCAATTCTTACATGAAGTCAATACTTACTCACAAGGATTTAATATTCAACAAATAAAGTTGCTTTAACAAGTTTTTTTTAGTTAAAAGAAATAACTTTCTTTTGAGATACTAGTTGAGAGCCTCATAATAGGAACTCTTGCTGCTCTGTAGGGGGGCTTTGATACCAGCCTGAATGATTATGTGCTCATTCCCCTTTCTGACTCGTTTATGCTCTCCTGAGGACAGCACATAGCAGAAGGAGAGAAACAGTTTTGCGTGTTAAATGGAGACGAAAGCAAGCGTCAAGACACATTTTTTTAATGTTTTGCATGTGATGTAATTGAGAGTGCAATGTTACACATTATCATATGAAAATATTCTAATGGCTGTGTTTGGTTCTTTTGAGGAAGTCTATTGCAAATATAATAGAACTTAATTAGAATCTTATTTCATGATACCAAAAGCTTTAGAAACTCAGACAGGATTTCTTTTAGTCTGAGGATGTTGTGGCATATGGCTATGATTAACCTCCCATTTACAAGAGCGCGCGACTGAGGTAACACAAGAAATCAAACACACAAAAAAACCTGATTAAAATTATGGACCAGGTTTGCAAGCAGACGAAACTGAAGGAGACTTCTGCTCAAAAAGTATGTATCCATTGCCACGGCTAGAAGTGATTTTTCTAACAATGTGCTAATTTATCAACACAGACGCAGGCAGTTCATTGCAGTAATGACCATTGTCGGTACCAGTGAATATTAGTATGTGGCTGAAAACAAGCAAACCTGATGGCAATCAGTGGCAGGTAATTTCCTAATGTAGACACTTCTTACTTTCAATCTGACAAACATAATAAGCATGAACGTTACCAGATTTATGACTCAGTGAGTTATAAACTAGGCTTTTCTCTGTCCTCTGATAAAAAAGTCTTCAGTTTAATTCAACATTTCTTCTTGTTTTTCCATAACTTTGCACATTAGATTAGGGAAATCTCTAAATATCACAATCAGGTAAAGTTCTATTTCATGAATTAAACAGGAGAAGTCAACATTTTTACGTGTCAGTGAGCTATGATCTACCTGTTAATCCTTCACATTCTGTAAAAGGTTGATTTGCTGAAATGTATAGGTATTAGGAACATCAGGAAAACCTACTATCATTTAAAATTTCTGTATGACTATCTTTATGAAACCTCATGTAATCTGGAAACTTAATGTAATCCAACATGCCCCACATTACTGATATCAGGCCAAGGTATATACATACGATTTATTGCAAAATAAATGCAAAATCAATCATTTTTATTTTATTTTTGATTTTATGTTATTTTAAATGAAGTTGCTGTGTATTTCCAGTGTAACTATATGGAGGAAAATGTATGAAATAGCCAGAAAACATGACACAGTACACTCATTTTCTTTCTACCTGTTCCACCCGTGCATGGATGTACCTTTATGGCTTTCTGAATGTTGACACAGGAGTCTCGAATGGTTTGGAGCAAGTTGTTGAAGCGGCCCATCTCCTGTACCAGCACAGTATTCATGCTCTGATTGTAGCTGGTAGGAAAGTGCCTCATTGCTGCCTCCAAGTCAAAGTCTGCAGGCAGTTTGCTTAGGACGTCAGCGGCCACATCAAAGACCATGTCATCGGTGGACTTGGCATCTCCACCTGAGGAGCGGGACTGATCAGAGACACAGAGTACAGTTGAGAAGTGGAGACAGGACATGGGGTTCAGATAGGAAAGATTAAGTTGATTCCTTTTCAGGGAAAAATATCATTTGAGGTGGTAAGACTATTCATGCATACCATTTTAAAGATTCTTTTTAGTAGTGTTATTTTGATCCTGATTCTAAAACAGCTTGATCTAACTTTTTTAATGTTTCATCACCTTATGCCAAATTATTCAAGTGTAGGCATCACATTAAGACACAGAATGATACTGAATAATTTCACCTTGACATTCTTTGTAGAAATTATAGCAATAGTAACACAGTGTAGGCTACATAATATTTTCTACCATTGATTTTTAATGTTATGATCTCATCATAGGGCTTGAGCTGAAAGGCTTTGCAGGATTTTCCATCCAATTTCCTCCAAACAGTAGTTGCACATACTCTCATCAACTATTCTTATGCTCCGTCATGCTGATAATTATTCATCCTAATCTATGATTCCTCCGCTTTCCCCTCAGTCTAACTAGCACCATTTGCGCATACGATGTTTAGTCACTTACCACTTGTAAGGTATTGGCTAATACCACCCAGATACAGCATTAGAATTATAAACAGCTGCCTCGTTCCATTTTAACTGCCTCTCTGTTTAGCAGTCATTGAGACTGATAAGATCATATTAGATGCTAATGACGTCCACACATGAGTGGCGCCAATATTAATACTGTTGCATGGAATGCATATAAATAAATTCCAGACTCCACTGAGTTTTAATTTTACTTCTAAGTCTACCAGCCCGAGTTTGTCTGTGAACAGACACTTCCTCCGCGCATGGAGCTGACAGAGGGGCATGTACATATCCTCTCTTTTCTGGAGATCTTACGCAATGACTGAATATAAACTTTTGATCTAAAAGCAAAAATTCTGCAAAACAAAACACACGGTAAAATATAATCCATACCAAATTAACCTAATCCAACTCTGCAGAGCTGAAACATAAGGATGTGAGATCACACCGTTCCACAAAAACCACTGTGAGTCATTCTATGTATCTACAGTATCAAAATGACAACCTTGCAGGGATTTTTTCTACAGGGATGTTTTCTACTAAATTGTTCTTGTCTTTTTACGTACAGATACAATATTGTCACAATCACTGTAAATTGTTCACTATGTCATCCATATATGCAGGTTAAAGCTTTATCTTTAAAGAAGAAGCCACATGTGAATGTGATATTGAAATGTTTCTGTTTTTCTCTGCCCAAACCAATCACGGACACTGCATCCTTCGACTCATGATGGCAGAAGGCTTGATTCACTCAGCTCAAAAGTCTGCATCTAGAATCTCTGATTGTATGGGGGGAGGGTCCATTTGTACCCCATTTGTACCTACAGAATGGCAGCAGAGTAACATTTGCCCACATCCAATCGATATCATTGCCAGGGAGGCCACGGAACAATGTTAAACCTAAGACTTGCACACCTGGTCTCAGAGATTTGTGAGGCACTGTATTCATTTTAAATACCGTACATCTTGCACATCATCAAACTTAGGGAAATTTAGTTTTGAAATTGTGTTTCAGGAAGTTGTTAGTCAGAGGTGGTGTTGGCATTGTTGTGGAAGGGACATAGGTCGGCTTAAATTTTCAAGCCTGCAACCATATTAAAAAAATCTGAAATGTTTTCTAAACTACCCAGCACATTTAGATTAACCATATATGAGAGTGTGTGCAAGGGCTAATGGAATTCTCTAAATTGTTGTTAAACAGTTAGGTGGATTTACCTGGGTTAATAAGATGCTATCAAACAGAAGTTGAGTTTCTGCCTGATCCTTGGTGATATCTGCATTTGCGTTCATTCCAAAAATCTCTGGTGAGGGGTTGAGAGGAAGTGATTTTGTAAATTCGATGTAACTGTTGTACTGCAAAAGAAAGAAAACCAGAGCTAGAGAAACAGGGTAAGGTAAGAGAACACATTTTAAAACAACATCAAGAATAATCTTGAGTAATAACACTCATTGAAAAACAGCTCTGCTGCTCAGATTACTGACATTTATTTTAATGAATATGTAAATGTGTATTCATGAATAAAAGATGTTGGTGGAGGGGTGAAGTACTGGAGAAAAAAAAGTCAAAGAAAATGCCATAGATTGCACTTGTGTTAACAAATATATCAACTCTCCGTGACAGTTGCTGCCTGCTGTGCCTTGTTACACACATTCTACTTCCTAATGACTTTTTAAAGGTAGCTGAACAACATTGTGAAGGAAAAATTTGTCACGTAACAAGCTTATTTTACAAAGAAAAGAGTTAATATTTTTTCATTCATTTTTTCATTCATTTTATGAAATTTTAAAGTAATCATATGGTCTTGTGTTTTTCTCAAAGGTTTGTTAAATGTTTCCTAACATGTGGCTGCAATGAATTACAATGGGATTTTTAAGAACATTAGGTGGGCAAGTAACTGTTTCCTTGTTAAATATATGTTTGATTAGTAATGTACATGCAAAATGTAGAAAATCACCCATTTGATCTTTGAACATTGTTTTCAATGCAAAAACAAGTGATAGAACTGGACTGGAACTCCAACACAACAAAACAATCACACAGTGTGACTTTGGAAGCTCATCACTTTGTGTTTCTCAAACTTCTAATAGAATATTCTTCCAAATTTATGGAGCCGATTAATGTCCCGAGTGTTATATTTGATATCTAGATTTCTGAGGCCTTGCATCAGCATATCGTCAGAACAAACAACCTTTCATGTAGAGTATTTTATTCTTTTTGTATTTAAGTTTATAATAAAAAATTTCAGAAAATGGTCATTAAAATTGATAAAACTGGACTGCAGTTAAATCAGCACAGAAAAGGTAATAAAAAGCGTGTTGTATTTTTTTACGTGTTGGATTCTGAAAAATCAATATTCCCCCCAAATCTAATTTCCCAGTGAGTCCCAGTCTATGATAAAATCTCAATCCCTTTAAGTACCAAATAACCAAAACATAAGCCAAGCAATGCGGTGGATATGTCATCAATACAAGTAAGCTAAAAAAAGACTATCTTCATCTTACTCCACATGATAGTTGGTTGGTTCAGCATATGATTTGTAGTGATTTATTCTGAAGCTTGTTGAGGAACTTACATCTCCCTCAGATGGTGAGTAGTAATGTCCACTGGGATCAAATTTATACCCAGGGTCTTTGATGATGTTTGGGGTGTAAAAGATTGAGAGGATTGTGCGCAGGGTCCGCCTGTCCCAGTCATCTGTCACACGACCTCCATAGTTGCATTCACCAGTCATGTAGTGGATGGCATCAAATGGAACTTCCTGCAGGACGAAATATAATACACATTTTTTGGAGGATATAACAATACAAGCTAAATACAAAGAAATGGTAGATTTCATCATATCAGTGACATTAGTTATTTTTTATTTTGAATCTACTCTGTGAACAGTACCGCCTGACATATATTCTTAGAACTATATTTTGGATTGGACACTACCATAGCATGAGGAACAGTGTGGCATTTTCTCGAGAAACATTTCACTTCCGAATTCGCTGGGCAGTATTTAGATACAAACTGAAAAGGTCACCCTGAACAGAAAAGATATCTTCTGTATTTAATTTTTGTCACTTTCTCTCAGATGTGGAAGGGAGAGCGCGAGTGGTGGAGTGTTTGTGGGAAAATGTCAAGAGGGGTTCTGAATATAGCCTATGAAAGTGAACCCTTGAGCAAAGCAAAATCCACTTGTGAGTGTCAGTTTCTATTGTAGATATAGCTGTTGAACATAGCATATACAGAGAGGATTATTGTGGATGTAAATATTAATGTCATGGTATACACTTATGAACTGGAGGTCAGCCAAAACAATTTTATTGTTGCATGAAGTCCACACTACAGGTAAGACAGAGTTTCTACATTTGCTGGAGTTACCTGATACTGCTCTAAGAACATGTGGAGTTGCTGAACAGAGATCCTAAGATCGGTTTCATTGAACTCGTATGGAATGTTCCAGCCTATTGGTCCAAATTTTCTTCTCTCTTGAGTAAGGGCGTGGAAGAAACACAGCCCATACAAGAGTTTCTTGAACACTGCCTGGGAAGTGAATAAACACAGGTGGAAGTAAGATCCAAGACAAACTGAAGTGTTTATTTATATAATACAAAACAAAGTAGACATGTGAGATGCACAGCAGAAAACCAAGGCAAAGTCTCAGATGTGTAGGGGAGTTTACCGGCTTGCTCGAGCTATCAAAAAATTCTGGGTCGGATATGGGGTCCATAAGGAAGGAGCGTGCAATGTTGGCGCGGAGGCCTTTTGGAGCTTCGTTGGTCATTTTCACCCCATTCTGGAGCACTGCCACAGGAAAAGTGGGAGACGGGTAGCTAGTCAGCCACAATCTGAAGTCTGGGTGCGTAGTGTCTTGGCTCAGGCCCTATTTAAAGTCACAAACATTGAGTCACTGCATGGACATGTGCTGCATTAGCAGATATTTGCTTTTGTCATGTTCACTAAGGTATGAAAGCTGTGTGCAAAAAATGTGTTAGTGTTCTGACCTCACAAACTCTCTCCAGCGTTGACATCCATGAAGTGGCTAAGTGGCAGTTCTGCAGAACCACCCATGTACCCTCTGCAATGCCTGTTTGAATCATCTGCATAGCAATAGGACCTTGGCCTTGGCCCAGGGAGAGAGAGGTCAGCTTGTTACCTGTAAAGCCCTGATGGGCGAGAACAGAAGAGCACATTCATGCACAGGTATTGTATTTTTTACTGTGTTTTGCACTGAGAGACGCCCAAAAATGTTAAATCCTCGTGAGCGTTTAATTACTGCCTGGTCAGTTTAAAAGATTCAGTATTTCTTTTCATTTATAGTTTCTACAAACAGCAGGCTTCAAAGCTCCAAAATTCTCTAGATGTCTGTACCATTTCATCTCCGAACTTGAGCAAAGCTGCCATGGGGTCTGAGCCAGGGGAAAGGATGAAGATCAGAGAAGCACAGCAGTGGCTGTCAACAAAGGCCTTGCTGAGGTTGAAGGGTGGTGCTTCAATGAAGGGGCGGCCTAAACTGTCTGAAACAAACTCCTGCACCATGGGAATAACCTGGAGGATATAAACAATATGTAATCAATGCAACTTGTGTGAAAGAAACATCTATATAAACTGACATGAGTTCCTGTATCAACAGACCTTGTCTGGTCTGAGACAACGAACCACCAGCATCTTCTGAAACTGGGTAAGCCTCTCGTGCCATTCTGCAGGAAACTGAGTCTGATGGGGGTTCTGCAAATATGCACAACACAAACTTCAGTCTCAGCAAGGAACATGTCTCTGCTTTTAAATCTCATACAGTAGCTGTCATATAGTCTGATGAATGTATCACAAATAGATCCGCATGTACTTTTCATCCAGCATCTTTTATTGAATAAATTCAAACTGTACCGAAAGGCAATAATCAAGTCAAGCAGAGTTGTTCTAGGACAGATTTGCACGGAGTAAAAAGGCATATTTATTTTGTTTCTGTTTGAAATGAGGGAAAACAAAACATTTGTTTTATTTTAGTAGCAACAAAGATACGTTCTGCTGAATGATTTATTTTCTGGAGAACTTTTATTAAAGATAAAGGAAACATTCACTTGAAAGAATAATATATGAGTTCGGAGGAAAATCTTTTTGGAGCTAGCTTTACAATGGATTGAAAAAGTTATGGGAGCAAACTCAACACAGAGGCAGTTGGGTGAGGAGGGGAGGTTATAATAAATGCTGGATACAGATCCTCAGCAACATATTTGGTTTGATTAATTTGTAGAACAAGTGAACCAAAGGGGGGGCTGGGGGGGAGGGGTGGTTAACACCATCACCTCACAGCAAGAGGGTTAGGGTTAGGGTTAGGATTAGGGGGGTTTGCCCTTTGGAGTGATTGTGAGTGTGCATATTTTTTCGTGGATGGATGGTGAACCAAAAGGAAGTGAGCAATGGTAAAGGAAACTTCTGGAATTATTGCCCCTAGGCTGTTTGTGGAGATACTTCTGGCTATGTGTGTTGGCATGTGCTTGAGATGGATACACCTATTTAGGATCTCTAGGGGATTCTCCATGAAAACAGCAGCATGTTGGTGTGTGCAACTCAGAGAGCCCGACTGCTTGACTGAACAGATGTTCTTGCGTCAAGACTGAATAAATGTGAATTCTACAACTGGAACAAACAAGATCTAATTAGACAGAAGCGTTATGGCTGATTGTGTTGATTATAAATCAAAGATAGTGTATGTGTTTGTGTGTGTATGTGCATGTGAATGAATAGCAAAGAGACAAGAGCATTGTACACACATTTGCGTGCAGAACACACTGATTTAACAGCTGTTCTAAAACAAAATTGCATAAATGTGACTTGCACATCAGGAACAGTACGGATTTAATTAGATAAAAGTTCAATTTTAGGTTCTTTCTAATTTCAAGATGGATGACTGTTTCTCTACTGTACCTGACAGGTACATAATTTTCCCCTTCCAGCCTGATGGTTTCTTTATCATAGCAGCATTTTGGATTATAGTCAAACTCAATAAAATCAGTTACTTGATTGAAAGAATAGCACTAGAGCAACATAAAACTCTTCATCAGAAAGCAGAATCAGGAAATAGTTCAAATATAATGTTGAAAAGAATAAAAAACTATGTATTATTTTCACCATAGCAGAGGCAGATTGATAAAGAATCTTGAGACTGAGCACAGAGTGTGTGAGATAATATGTGAAAGTAAAATCTCCCTGCAAATGAATTTGGAAATTGGAACCAGTAAATGTGTCATTTTGCTTTCTCAAGATTTTACAAGCATATCAGCAACGTGAATTCTGCAGTCTTGCATAACAACCTCCCTAAACTTTGCTTCACCACATTTAGTAGTCCAACAGTAATAAAAGCCTGAATTATAACAGCCGCTGAAGGGAATAAGATATGTACAATTATTTTCAGTTTGCACAAATATCAACTATTTCTACATGCAAATACTATGTCTTCAGGATGTCATCTTATTTATTAGCTTTTTCTGTCTACAATCTAACTACGGTATACACTTTGAAAGTACAACTACAGAAAGTGTGCTGCTATTGATCTTTGAGGTACAGTAATGAGATCTCAAATAAAGGCATTGGATATAACCCTGTGTGGTATTACACTGAGTTTGCTTATACATTACAGGTAAATATTCACTTGAGCCAAGATGTCCTGTATGCACACATTATTAGTCTACCTCAATGATACCCCAAACCATAATTACTGCTATGGCCAGAGAATTCAGAAATAGTTCAAATGGAATTTTCAGTTTAAAAATGTCATATTAGCAGAATTATATGAGGAAACTACACATTTTATTTTTCCTCTGATTCTTTTTTATATCTACTCTACTCTATAATGCGGTCTTCAAAATGTAGGCATTAAACCACGTCTGCTGACAGGTATCGCTCAAACTATCCTTACTGAGACACACTATGGCTAAAAAAGGGATGAAACTCACAGGGCTATCGTAGACTTGTTTCCACTCATTTCTGAGTTTTGTCATATCTTGACGGAGATCTTTAAAACTTTCCATCTCATCCAAGCGGCATATCTCATCCCAAGACTTTTTAGGGAGCCAGGTGCAGGGATTGGAGTGTGGGTTGTCCAGGCCCACACCACCTGTTAGAAAGAAGCGCCACTCTCCTTCATCTACCTAAAACAGTATCATGCAGTCATTATAACACAGCCACAAAATGACAAGCACTGTCAATTTGGTGGAGCAATAGTTAACTAACTTGTGAATTATATTTGTGTAGCATCTTTACTTTTATGAAACAGATAATCCAATAATTAACAAAAAACTAACTCCAACAACTGATAATAACCAGCTTGTTGGACAACTAATCAGTCAATATTACATTAAAAAAATGCTTGGAGGGCTCCCAAACATGTATTATTCACATGTCAAATCTATGCTAGTGTGTTTATAGTCTTACCTGCTTATTGTGCATGAGCAGATTCACACTGAGGCAAAAGGAGAAGAGTAGCTTATCCTTTTCAAAGAGTGAGCGACACACATTGACATATAAGTTGTAGGTAAAGTAGTCTCGAAGGATCTGTAGTCTGAGATAGAAACACATGCACTTAATAATCTTGCCCAGTGGAGGGTAAATTCAAACCAAACAACTCACATACTCCTCCACTCCAAAACAAATTAAAAGATATTTGACAATTTTAACAGCGACTTCAAGCAACTTAGCGAGTTTTTAAGTGACCTATATAACTTATAGAACTTGAATTTTGCTGGCAAACCAGTAAGGAGTGCTTACCTCTTTTCCAAATCATCACTTTTTTCTGAGCTGTCAATGGAGCTGATGAAGAGGTTAATAAACCAGGTGAGGGAGTATTGGTACATTGGTTCAATGTTTGCCAGGTCAGCAATAGAGAAGAACAAGATGGAGGAATGCTCTGCAATGGGTGTGTAGCCCATACGGGTCTTGTCAATCTTTTTCTCTGTCTCTTCAGCCACAGCTTGTTTCTCTGAGATTTCATTGGCTAGCACTTTGGAACAAGAAAGGATTTTGACGGCTGTCTCGTCTTCCAGAATGTTGCCCTCAGAGGAGGACAGCACCTCTAAAATTTTATCTTCAATCTCCTTCAGTTGTCTGACAAAAAGACAGAATCAAATTAAACAGAAGGTTTAAAAATGTGTCGTGATGTGGATCTGACCTGTGCAGCTAAACCTTTTATTTTCTGCTCCCTGTAGAATGAGAGCCTGTTTCTCTTCTTCCAGATCAGGCCTTTCTCGTGCTACCACAATGCCCAGCAGCTGATCCTGAATACCCTCTGGGGTGATCATGAAGTTTAGCAAGGTCACCTAAATCGGAACAAATCCACATTTATATAAAATTTCCACATGTAAAAAATGTGCAAAGAAGCACACATCAAGCTGGAGGTTATCGCATGAAAGTTGATTTAAAGGTCATAGCAAAAGTAATTCTTAAAAAATGTCTTTGAAATGCTCTAAACTGGGGCAGTTTTTAAACATTCAGTATCAAAACTAACCAAAGAGGCATTGCTACTTGAGTTAATGTCCTTTCCTTTTTACTATCAGTGCCCTGACTTTAATGATTAAAGTGAAAGAATAGAAATGTCTCTTGACATGTCTCATGGCTAAGGCTGACTGTTTATGATTGATTTCAGCTTTTCGCTAATCTGTGCCAACATAAAAAACATCAGTTTCACAACGCTTTTGTTGATGTTCATTGTAGATCTGATAAAAAGGAAAGGACATTAACTCAAGTAGCAATGCCTCTTTGGTTAATTTCTGGGGGGAAAATGCCAACAAAATAATGTTTCACATTTCCATGGACTGTGGAATTCTCAAGGAAAGAATTTTGAAGATGACCAGATGGACAGCCTTCTGGAGAAACATTTTGTGGTCAAATGAGTCAAAGACTAACATGTCTGAACACAAAAATCAGAGGAGTAGAGATGAGACGTTGAACCACAAGAGCACCATGCCAAAAGTCAACCACTTAGAACATTTGCATTTCATAAAAAAGTGTACGATTACCCAAAACTAAAATGTATGTAAGCATGTTAGTCTGATGTGATTTGTACAAACATTGCTTTTTGAAATTCTAAGAAAACCAATAAACCAGAATCCCTCAAAAACTCAAAAAGACAATGGCAAATTAGCGAAAAAACTAAAGCATATAATAAAGTTGCTAATAATACAGCCAATATTAATTCAATCATCTGTCTTTTATATATTTTCCATTCTTTTTTTGGGCAGCAAAATTTACCAGAATATGTGAAAATTAGCCCATTCCACTGTTTGTCATGTTTGGCATGTCCAGCCTGATCGAAATAAAATACTAATTTTATAACTGTACCATCATCTACCAAAACAATAATATTTCAGTAACTTAAACAGAACATCAGCGCAGGGAATTTGGCTGTGATGATGTCCCAGTAAAAAATAATGGAGGAGAAACATTTTGAATGTTTTCAGACACAGTGCACACATTTCACAACCCTCTAATTTATGTACATGTGAATTGGGACATGTCAAAATTAATGGTAACATGCAACCAATTAATAACTCCAAAACTGGGTGTTTCAACTGCATAATGTCAACAAATACACATAAAATTGTTTATCAAAAAGGATGGATCTGATTATTCTTCCTACAAGACAAGTAGTAAAGTGCAAAGCAGTAGCCAAGTAGGGCTTGGTTAAGAATCTGGTATATGGAAAAAAAAAAAAAAAATTGCCCATGAAAATGTGACTAAATATTTAATTTCTTGGCACTCCTGTTCTTTCTGTCATGAAAGTCCCATTCAGTGCCCACTAAATAACTCAATGATGCTTGCCTTAAGCAAACTAGAGGTAGGAATCTTTTTTTCTTACCTCTCTGTTAAAAGGTGTTACAGCTCAAAGTGATGAAGTGTGTGTTACCACATGTGCAGTCATCCTGTTTTGCACTTACCTAGAGGTTAAAAGCCTGTATCTGCTATCTACGTTCTGGCCTAATAAACGAGTGCACTTCTCTGGAGCTTAATTCCATTTCTATTGATGCAGTGAGACCAACACTGCTGGTGGTAAAGACTCAGTGCTCTTATAAATCTGCAGTTTGTCCTTTTCACTTATATGCCCTCCTTCTTCTTTCCCCTAGTCCCTGATGGTTTTGAGGGTTTTTTTCTAGCTGCTCACCCTATGTATTTGAAGCTATTGCATTTCTAATGTAGAATAATGAAAATAATGGAAGCTTCATGCTGCACTGTACAGTTGGCAAAAAATAAAAAAGATTTAGGGAAAAGCAGCAACAGAAAGAACTGAGCAACTTGTGAAAAATGAGTTGAATCAATCTAATGGCTGGCCATAAAGAGCCAAGCTCCCGCAAATAGATGCTTGAAATGTGATCTTTGGTAATGCTTTCCAACCCCTTGCCTCTCCATAATGCAATTTCCTTTAATGCTCCTTTTCTTGGAATCTTTTTTTTTATTTTGGGGAGTTGAGAAACAATGATTCACTGAGCTCCTAAGGTAAAAATGTTCAATCATTTCACTGGTATGATGCAATAACAAAGAGCCATAGAGCAAACAATGCCAATTTTTCAACAGAAGAGATTGGAAAAGAAACAACTTGCCCATTGAAATAAAAAATTCAAACTAGCATAAAATCTTCTATAATGTGAATCACAAATTTTGACTGACTGAATTTAAACTCCTGACCTTTTTATATGAAAATGGTCTACAATAATATATTGCTAGCATAGTGCAAATACAAAATGCATAGGCGTCATGTGTGCCTCAGCAGCTCAACAAATTACATTGCTTTTTCATTGTGGTAAAACAATTATTTTAAATACATAAAAATGCAGATTTCTGTGCTGGGTCCTTTGAACATGGATATTTTTAGTCTGTCCCACTGTGTTGACAGAAGCTTTGTTGTGGAAGATGTATCTGCAGGTTTGAGGGGTACCAGCCCCAACTGTGTACAAAGAGGTGGGCAGAGAAGGCAAGTAGAGTCGCACAATGCTCATTACAGCAACACTGACACCTGCTGCAAACAACTGTGGTGTATGGCTGTTGTCAAGAGAAGTTGTGCTGCACTTTTAACTAAAGGTGGGCATGAGTTTATGACTGTCTGGGCTCGTTTGTGTGAGGTATGGTGGCACAGCAGGATCTCAACAATGGAAATGATGGAATTGAGAAAGAAAAATCTGTCTGTATGCATTCAATGTCTGTGGAGCAAGTCAGGATTTTTCTTCTACCTTGACAGAAGTCTCGGGCAGGTAGTGGGGGTTCCGTAGCTTTGTAGTGATATAGAAGCGGAAATCTGGAGCATATTCAATGGTTGAGTCTCCAAGACGGATACACAATGCACCACCCTGTTTAAAGGTCTGTCTGAGGAGGATAGGCTCCAGGATAGGATCCAGCTCTTCACCAACATTCTCCAGCAGCACTGAAAGACAAGGTTAAAGTCAGTGTATTCTAACTACCAGGACAAGCCTGTCTCTTTCAGACAGCCTTAAAAAATACTTAGAAGCTGTCAGATTGCCAAACACTGCTAACTTCAACAGCTGAAACACTGTACAATTGGAAATTGCTCCATAGTGTGCAGCCAGACAGCAAGTCAAAGCAATTTGTTTTTCACACAACACCTGAGTGTTATCATTGCACTGGCTTCAAACTCAGAGGAGATTTGAGTGCAATGCCACAACTCTTCCACATTCCAGGCTGTACTCCACTAGATTCTTCTAAGCAACAGCCTTTCAACTCCAATTAGTTTAGAAATATTGATGGTGTATTCAAACAGGACCTAAGAAAGTTTTTAAAAACTGTCCTTTTATTTCTTATGTTTGATTTGTGAAGCAGGAGGAGAAATGAACACATACACTTTCCATATTCATCTACATTCATACAACCTTACATTTCAAATCTGGCACATTACAACAGAGATATATTTCAAAATTGCAGGATGAGTTAAACTCACATCCTGACCTTTCAGAAAATCAAACAGACTATGGCCAGGCATACACTTGCAAGACCAAGAAATCATTGAAGCACACAGAACATTACTTGTTACAAATGCCTTCCTCCCATAACATCTCTGTGAATAAGATTTCACATTAAGTATGATAATGCTGTTCTTATGTTAAGAACATCTGCCTATTTATAATTTACATTATGCCTTAAGAAAGTTCCTCAGTTTCTCCACTCCAAGAAACAACGGAATCTGATGGACATTTCCTCAGAAAGTAGTTAACCAAAGCCCATTATTTAATTCCAATTATTTGATTAAAATACACATCAATAGCAGGTATTGTTATCCCTGTTTGTAACTTTTGATTCCTTTATGATATTTCTTCTCATGTCCACTAAGCATCTTACAACTGACCATCATTTACCAGAATACTGTGTGCTTTTGTGACTTGACTGTTGAATTTTGCTCTAAAAAGAATTTGTGGACCAAAGGATCTATGTGTCTACACGGTTGAACATCTAATAGAAAGTTTACACAAGACTATAAAACAACAACCCGGAACAACTGAACCTGAAAGATACCCGAAAGATACCTGAATGATACCCGAAAGAAACCTGAAAGATTGAAAACAGAAGAAAAGTATCTTATCAATTACTTAAATGGTGACATTTCTCTCACTATTTCACTCTGACACTATTGAGAAGGATAATGAGCAAATACAAAAAACTTAACTGATCTCTTACAACAGCACCTTCTCTACTGGTGCAGGAAGGGTGAATAAAAGCTCATCAGAGTGCCTTACCCAAGTGTATTATTGGAGAAAACAGAACAAAGGAGGAGAGTTATCTCTGCATAGCAACTGTTGGTTGTGGTAAAGAGGGACCTCATCAGGCTACAATAGGAACTGCAGTGTGGCTGAGGCACCCACTCACATGAGTTATCAAATCTGATCATTACTTACCAGGCGTACCAAACTGGATGCAGTTTTCTAGAGTGCGTACAAAGTCACCATCACTCAGTTTGATAATATGCAGGCTGTTGGATTTCTCCATGTTTTTCACCCACTTGTTTGCCTGGCCTTGGGGATCAATCATCAGAGGCCATCGCCTGGCATTTCTATAAACACACATGAACACGCACAAAGAGGGATGGTAGCTCAAATTATGCGGCTTAATCAGAATTAAAGATTCGTAACTGCTATCTGTGAGACACCAATACAGTAGAGGGGACACAGCAGGATATGAATGGAAATGTATAGATTTGCTCAGAGATGCCCATTCACCCTGAACACAGCTCACAGCTGGACAACACATCAGGAACAGAGTATTGTTTTGTCTTGTTACATTTCACTGATATGAAAAGTTTAACCAAACATATTGAGACGTCCACCATTCGAAAAATAAAAGTCTTCACAATAAATGCTCTATACTCAACGATATCATGATGCCATTGTCTATGGAGAAGCCGTCTGATGGTAGCCCAGCAATGGTCCATGCACGGATCTTTACAGGGTCACCCAGTGAGTTCATGAGAGACATATTAGCTGAGCATGGAATGTCCTTGCTCTTACAAAGATGCATCCACTCTTTTGTCTGATCCTAAGAAGGAGCACAGTACAACTAGTTAATTCCTTTTCCCCATCTTTCACCTCACATATGACATCATTTAAAAGATAGTATATAAACAAAAATGTACATACATACAGAAACACTTCATATGTACATTGTAGAGTAAGGAAGCATTCTTCTATTCACACACGTTCAAACACAAAAAAATTAGAGGAAACAATTTATTCTTCTAAATGTTAAAAACGTTTGAATGATACAAAAACATTTTTAAACTTTTAAAAGTATGGATCTGTGAGGCTCTTAAAGAGGAAATAGTCCAGAGAACCTCAAAAGAACTTCCATTTTGAGAACTATTTTTGACTCATTGACTGTGGATTTCCATTAGTTGACTTTACCTGTCTGTAACTGGAGGTGAAGGCCCCCAGGTAAGCCACAATGCCAGATGAGATCAGGATGTCACCGGTCAGATCTTTGTAGAGCTGTCCAAGACTTGCAGCCATTTCACTCCAACGTGTCTTCTCCCCACCTAATCCTCCAATCAGCTGCTCAGCTCGCTCCAATTTTTTACTACACAGATCCACCTTTAGGGCATTGGGATATAAGACTAATTATAAGTGTTGTGATATCTCATAAATCAACCCTCTGATAAAAAGATAACTAGATCATTTTTGTTTTTAACGTATGTTTGCCATATAGCATCAAAATTCAAATATCACTCACTTCTTGTGTTTTAGTATAAAAATAAAAAAAAATCTTGTTTTTTGCACTCAGATACAGTACAAACCTGATTCTCCAAGTCGGCCTTTTTGTTTTTGTTTGCTTCCAAAGTTTTCTGAAGCTTTGCAAATTTATCTTGAACTTCTTTAAGGGCAGCCTGCTTTATGTGCAGAGCCTCCATGGCCACCCTCAGCTCCTGCTCAGCCTGTTCAAGTTTTTTCTTTTTTGGGGCCACTACCTTGGCTGCTCTGGATTATAAAGCACAGGACACGAAACATTTTAGTTGGAGTTTTGGGTAGGTCAAATCTAAGATTGAGGAAACAGTATAATACTAGTGTTAATCAGCATATGACCTAGGACTCAGTTGCTTGTATCTAGTGGATTATAGTATTTACATTTCTGCTGTAGTCTATTATAAACTTAAATTAAAAATGTTACACGGAGTAAAATTGAAATAAAATGTTGAAAAAGATGTTTTAATGTTTCATAATAAGAATTATCTCACGTTGAATTTGACTTAATTCAAATGTCTCTCAATCGGTGTCAGGCAGTCAGACCAATTCAACACCATGAATTAAAAAAAAAAAAATTGTTTTTAAAAAAACAAACTCTTGAAATGTTTTTCATTTACTATGTGTTGCTGACGATGGATTATAGATGGATTATTCAAAATCTAATTCTTATTTTCAAATATATGTTATCTAGAGTAAAAAAAAGATTATGCACATCATATTTAGATTTCCTTTAAGTTACTTCCATCTTTGATTTACCTTTTCATCAAACATTTCACAATTGACATCTGCATTTTAAATATCAACAAGTCTTAGGAGACGTTAAATCTTTATAGGCTTGTTATGCTCTACGTTACACTTAAAAATGTATGGAAAACCTGACCAGTAGAATATGCACTTGTTACGATAACTACTAATAATAACAAGAACATAACTTACATGTCATACTTGTCCATGGCACAAACCCACTTACACATGCCCTCAGCTGCAGTGGATGCAGTTCTAATCTTCTCTGGTACAAAGTCTGGGTTAGTGATGTACTTATTACGGATGATGGCGATGAAGTTTGCTGGGATGTTGTCTTTATCATAGTCATGGAGACTCTGGAGGAACTTTAAATCTCCCAGTAGCTTTTTGGCTGGCCCCCAATAGTCCTCGACTTTTTTACCAGAGCCTGAGGGGTCAGGCACACGATCTGGCTTGACACCTTTGAGAATGCAGATTGCCTCCATCACGAGCTTGACAGCTGTGGGCGGGCTTTTCATGGACTTTACCACTGTGATATCCTGTAGATAGAACAGCATTCTACTGTAATGTAGCTGTCTTTGGAGCAGATCCACAGACAATGTCAAACATTAAGAACATTTTTGTGCTTTTACCTGTGTGGTTAGAGTATTAAGTGCAGCCAGAGCTGATTCCAGAATAGGGGCGGCCACAGCCAGGTCAGCATCACACTCATCCTTGATAGCCTTGGCACCCATGGCTTGTTCATTGGCAATGGCCTCATCCACTTTGACCACCTTCTCTATCTCAGCCACCTCCTGAGATTCATGTTCAATGACCACCATCATCTCATCTACTTGTTTGCCGGCCACCACCAGCTGTGGCTGTAGAGCCTCTAGCTCAACTTGCATAGTAGCCACTTGCTCTGCTGCCGATTCTAATTTTTCGAGACCAACCTCATAGCGATGTTTTAGTTTCATTACTTCCCTGAGAAAGTGGACAAAGAAATTCTTATATATGAACTCTAAATTGAGTTCAATCAAGATCCATTCAATCTAATCTCCATCAAAGGTAAGATTTAAAAGTAACATATTAAGTAACCAAAACTAAAACATTATAAATTGAATGAATAAAATAGAAAATATGGTGATCTTACATTCTTTTTGCCTTCAGCAAGGTTTTGAAGGTAGAAATAAGCTCCAGGTACGAGGTTGGGGTGACATAGTTGTGGCGTTGCAACTCAGACAAAAATCGTCCTGAGAGTTCAATGGTTGAGGTGTGGAAGCTCTTGCACATACTAATGCAGCCTTCTCTGTCATGATCACTCATCTCTACGTCCTCCAAGAAACGGCAAGCCACTGCTTGCAGGGCATCCTCGGGCCAGGTCTATTGAAATAGTGAAAATGCTGTCCTTTCTCTTTATTCCATGACAAATAATAGATTGTACTCCCCACTAAAAAAATCATTTAAATGTGATGCCCCCTTTGTGTTTTTGACTACTACTTACACCAGTGTAAAAAGATAACTAATAAATATGACCCTAAGGATCTGTTGTGTATGTCCTCGTGCCAGACACCATTGATTCCCCCCATCCATATTGCTACAGGTCTAAGATGAACATTAGTGGCACAATAGGGACCTATCCAATACACATAGACATACCTGAAACCAGTTAATGGTGCAACAGTTAATGAGAGCAGGAAATCGTCTCAAGCGGTTCCTAAAGGCGTCTCCGATGGGACTCATGGCCAGCACCACATGCAGCTGTGTCCGACAGCGCTCTTGGAACATGTTGAAAAGGGACAAGGGGCTTCCGTCCGTTTGTTTGTCACGTTCTCGCTGCCGATCCAGCACACGCATTCGCTCACAGATTTCCTGTTTTTCATCAACTGCAAAGAGGTTCGGCACCTGAAAATAACACAATCAGTTATTTATTTATTTGTTTTCCTCTAAATCATAGTGTTTAAGTTATTCATTTTTTCAGTTTGACAAATATTTTTAATCCATCATTCATTGACCAGTCTTCAATATGCTTGTGTAATTCACATATTAACTTATAAATTCACCCATTAGGTTTTTTGGAGAGTTTTCTTTTCATATAACTCACCTCACCAGTGTTGAGCAAGTTGCCAATGTCCTCTAGGAAAGACTCCATTTTGATTTGAGTGTCAGTGAAGAGGAACACCCCATGGGCTTCACCTTGTGTAGACTTCCTTAATATAATCTTAAGGTCATCACGCCACTCAGTGGTTCCATAAGTCTTGGAGATTTCCACTTGGAAAAGCTCTGCCTCTGCCATGTAGGCAGCCAAGCGGGTGAGAGACTGGCGCCCACTTCCACCCACCCCCACAAGCAAAGCATGGCCACTTGGCTGCTTGAGGATTCGGGAAATGCGACAAACATGCTCAATCGCAAAGCGGAACAGTACAAGAGTCATTGGTGCTTTACTAATGTTGTTGTACTCCTCCAGGTGCGACTCTACCACCTGACGCAGCCGGTCTAGGTTGTGGACTTCGCGGTAATTACGATCTTCACCCTTGGGGTCATGGAAGTCACAAAACATGAGGCTGCGCAGGTCATCCTCTGTTACCATTCCATCACTGTCCTCGTCCAGATGCTGAAAGAGCTGATGAAAGTTCTCCTTCATGTAATTTTGAAGCACGACCTGTAAATGGCTCACAAGCCATGATCGATCCGCATCTTGGACCAGTCGATCATAGTACACCCTCAAGACCTTCAATAAGCCAAAGAAAGAATGAGTCAAAGTGGTAGACAAATAAACAAAGGAAAGACACGGATACATCTTAATAGTAAGAGCCAAAAGTTCAAATTCAGTGTTATCATATTTCTGTGACTCCACAAAAGTATCTCAGCTTTTAGTGTTAACACCATTACCTCATGGACCCAGAGGCGTTTGATGACAGATGGGTCATCTGCAGTCTCTGGTCGTGACAAGCAGATGCCCTGGATGACCCGGGAGACATCGCGCAGATTGAACAAGTAATGGGACTTTGTTGGTGTTGGTAGCAGGTTCTTGGTAGCCTCCTGGTACACTGACATTGTGCTACTTACAATCTGAGATGTCAGATTTGCAAATGGCTTGGGGAAAGAAAACCTGTAGGGGAAGTGATTAATTTTTCAAAACCCAATTTCGATGAATTCTTCTAGTTCAGGCAAAAAAATATATCTGTACAGTCAGGCTAGGAGCTTACATCAGTGATATTAAAAATAATAAATCTATCATTTGAAATGCAGGGGAGACATCTGTTTGCCCTAATGCTTGGATTTGGAACTTGTTGAAAAGATTGGATTGTGGTGTTCAAGGAAAAACTTAACAGTGTAGGAATAGATGAGGGAAACAACAATTTAAAACATAACATTTGTCCCAGAGGATTACACATAAAATGCCTTTCTGGTGACTAGAACTTAACTTGATATTGGTTCTGATGTGTTGAATGCTTTTGGTTGTCTAATTTAAATACACATTTTACAAATAAACTATTAATTCTTCATATGAAATGTACATTAGTAGACAATAATGAACATACGGAACAATTTGTAAAGTTAAGTTTACATAAAAATAACCTCAACTTGGAAGAACAAATTGTTACTAATTAAGAATTTTCTGATATCTAAAAACCCTTCTATCCAAGTTTATTTTGTTTTGTGCATGTCTGCTTTTACATAATTGTTACCGTATGGTGAAATGCCAATCTGTGATCCTGGAGAAGATTGTTTGCATGGTGCTTTCATCAAAATCATTAATGGTGATCATGTTGAAGTGACGCAAGTATCGGGGTGTGATAGGGTTCCGCCCACCACCTGTAGAAAAAAGGGTACAAGCAAAAAAATGTAATCTTAGTTTGGCTTTTTTACTGTGCTAATCTATATATATATATTCTTTTTTTTATTTTATTTTTCAGTAGAAAGAAATGTTTTCGTGTACATTAATTGTTTAGTTATTGAACTGGTATCATGAGCCTAATATGGAAATTCAAATTAATTTTCAGTGTCCTGTTGTAGGGGTGGACACCATGGTACAGACACCTCAGATGAGAAAAAAAAGACTGCTGACTCAGGCTCCAGCAGCAAACACTGTCACAGACTGGCCACCAACTAGTCATACCAAACCCCTTTTTATTACAGTGCTTATAAGGGCTGTTTTCATGGAAATACTGGTTATGGGGGGATGGAAAGCTTATTTGTAAAAACCTTAAAGTAATGGGTAACTCCAAAAAACATTTAAGGGCAATTTGTGACATTTAGGTAACAGCATGTGAGCAAGAGGTAGAAAGCAGAATAAAATGAAGCGCTGACTGGAAAACCTGGGAAGAGGGTCTTTATTATAAAAAAGATAATCAAGATGTTTGAAGAAGTGTTTGTGATGCAATGATAATTGTTCTATATTAAACTTTAGCTTACTAAAGCTGCTACTCACCAGGCGGCCCCATCGCACATATGACCTGAATATCCACCAGGTTAATCATTGAGCAGTCTTTTGTGTCATACCAGTTCCAGTGGTCCAGCCACTGGCGCAAAAGCTCCACAGGAGGCTGGGCACCATAAACCTCCCTGGCAGGCATGTTAACATCATCTACAAATACCACCTGATGAGATCCAACATTAAAGTATTGTGAATGTAGAATAAACACAATGTATAATGATCTGAATTTGAAAAAAGTGACAAAAATCTAAAAATAAATGGAGGCATTACCATTTTCTTTCCCAGCGGAGGGCCAAAAACTCCTTTGCGCCGCTTGTCTAACTTAGACAAAATAATATTTTGGGTCTGTGCAGCTGTAGTCTGGGCTGAGAAGTTAATAAATAATGGACTGTACACATCCTTATCCAGCTTTTTCAACAGGAAGTCCTGAGCAAAAGATAAGTGCAATATAAATCATTTTAAATGAAAGCCAATCTAACAGTGTGAAAGAGCAATACTAACATAAAAATGAAAATGAATACAGTTTGTATATTTGTATTAGGAAGAAAGTATGATTTCTTTCAACTCTTAAGTTTTAAGAATCATGACGCAATAGAAAATTCTAAGGTCAATTTAGATTTGAAAAAAGTCACACACAAACTTTTTTAATTATTAATATTTGATAAATTATCCTAAAAAAAAAGAACATGCAACTTATAAGGATGAAAAGTAGATTTCATTATTTGTTAGCTTGTGGAGCCTCTTTCTGCGTCAGTAACTTGAGACAATAATCTTTTATATAACCATATCAGTCTCTGGCATAAGAGTGGGGGAGTTTTGTTACACTCTTCAGACAATTGTTGATTCACAGTACTCTTAATGTCCCATATCAATCAGGCCAGTGTCTGGACTTTTGAACGTTAAGTTGTCTAAAGATACTAGCGTGGGCACCATACCATTCACACTCAAGAGGTTGGTGCTGCTGTGGCTTCATCAATTATGCCCGATTTGGAAATCTGCCTAAATCTGCTGGTTGCTGTTTTCATGAGCCTATCCACTATGCAGAGGCAGAAGGCAAAGCGGGTTCCATTGTGAGACGGTTGCCAGTCGTCTGGGGTTTTAGAGCTCAATACAAAAAGTCTAGGTACCTCTGAGAGATACTATATATGTTGTTAAGGCAATTGCTTAACACTGGGTAACTGTGTTGTTTTCATTTTTTTTGTTTCCTGAGTATGAGTTCTGGGGTTAGACTACACTTTATAGAAACTATTATCATTATATAATATGCACTGCATACAATAAACAAAAAATGTAAGCATTACGAAACTCAGGTTAATGAAACAACACGGTTGTGTGACTCACTGTAATGTAGACACTCTTTCCAGTACCAGTGGGACCAATAAAAATAGTTGGCTTCTGGTGAGTAACAAGCAGCTCCATCAGTGCCATGTAACGCACTGTGTTCTCAGTGGGCACAATGATCTGGTTGAACTGCATATCTTTCGATATGGAGGGAGCAGTCTTTAGCTGATCTGTCCAAAGCTCCCACCTGCCTGGGCCCTAATCAGGAAATATAGAGGGAACCAAAAAAAAACAAAAGAAACATTTTAAATTGAGAAGGAAATGCCACTCTCCACTGGATAAAGGGATAAAATCCTTTTGTCTATAAAATCTGTATAACCATATATATACATATATTTCACTGACTGATAAAAGTATTAAGTTTGCAACATCACAATGCAAAGCACAACTCAAATGTTCATTTTGTTCAAAGCGGCTGATGAGGACATTAACCAAAAGTAGAACTTAGTGAAAATACAGCAAAAAACGTTTAACTGCCGGAGTAGACTTACCTCCTTAATGAAGTTATACTGGTAGACTGACCCCTCGGGGGGTAAGGGAACTGTGAGCTCTTTAGGTGGAGCTTCAGTAGTGGCCAGAATGCCATGATGCGCCATGGTCTCCTTACTTAAAGGGCCATTCAACACCTCTCTTACCACCGCATCAAATTTGATCCGGCCTGGATCATCACAGCTGGCACCCACAGACCACACCAGGCAAAACACGAAGATACCCTTTGTAGAAAGACAAGGCCACTGTCACCACCAATCACCATCAAATGACATATCAAATTGTGCATGCAAAATAAAATGAGCAAGTAATTAATCGCATTTAAGCCTAATATAACTACTGAACTAACAAGTCATTACTCAAAATCATATAGCTGTGTTTTGCACAGTTTTACAATATGAACAACTAATTTATGGGAAAGAGTATAGGGAAAGAGCTGCACATAAATAATTGCTTTGCAGTCAAAAATGTCAATGCAGAGCAAAAGCTTGCAACTATGCATTTGATTTAAATGTACAACAACCATGACACTACATCAACCAAGATTCTGATTGCTTCAAGATATGGAAAACAAAATCCATGTAGAAGAGATGTCTTTGTTGCAAAAGGAAAAAAACAGCAGGGATACTGTAGGAATTGGAAATTAGTCTTAGCAGCCTCATGATAGCTCCTGCTGTTAAAAAGCTGATTAATTCAACACTTTGATAATGACTGGCTGTGAAACACAGAAAAAAAGGTTGAAAGGCATTCATCAGTGCAGTGTGCCACGGGGTGATAATAACAGTGCTTTACAAAGACATGATTCGAAGGCAAAAAGATAAATAAAAGAATGAAAAAATCTTTTGGAAGTCATTGCAGGGGGCAGAAGAGAGGGCTCATCTGCTAAAAATTCCTGTCTTTTTTAGTGTTTTGCCTGTGTGGAGGCCGACCTGATTATACAATAACAGTAAAAAGAAAAAAAAGTTTTTGTTTGCAATGCATGGCTCATAAAAACTTTGGGATGTGCCTTAAACTATTCCTGGTGAAAATGACTACATTGTGAGTAAAATATTCATTTAAAAGAACATGTTAAAGCTGTCAGTAATAGAAGAAAATGACTTTGTATTACTTTTAATAGCAGTACATTACAAAACTGTTTCTTTTAATCAATTTTGGTTTGATCTAGAGCAAAAACCAAACTTTTGCAATTATCTCTCTGCTCAGATAAAACCTAGGATTTTTTCATTTTTGTGTAAGCATTTCTTTTTTTGCTTACGTGAGCAAAATGACAGGCTTGCAATGTCTTACAAAACTTAACAGATCAACTTCCTATCAATTATATTACCAATTAGTATTTTAAGCCCACACTTAAATTCTGCTTTGCAGTGTGTTCAAGCACACAACTTATATGGGGAGTATATCTAAATAAAAGTGGCATAACAGGTCTTAAAGGCTTTAAATTATGGTTTAGTGTGTCAGGCTCTCGTGGTTTTTACTTTTGTGTATATTCTCTCATAACTGCTTATTTGCTAAAATGCTGACTGTTCCAGTATGCAAACTGGTTAAGAGAAGAGCACTGCTGTGTAAAGGCCTGTAAGCATGGCAAAATCCAGCTGTGTGTTATGAAGGCTTTTCAGGACATGAGGATGCCATAGAATTATCTTGATTAGTTCAGTCAAAGAGCAGTTCATGTGTTATAAAGCCTTATCATATCAACTGGCAGGAGTAGCAGAGATACTGTGCCCAAACCTCTAACCAGGAGCAAACATTCTTTTCAGTCATGGTCTTCATTATTGCTTCATCATTAAACTCATCCATCATGCAGTCCATAAGATTCATCAGGGACTTCACTAGATTGGTGTCAGAGGTCTGGGACAATTCCTGTAATCAAACAAACACAACTAACTTAAAAAATTCAAAAACACCTTATGTCTAAATGCTCCATTAGTCTTAAAACTTGGGGCTGACCACTGCTAATGGTACCTGTAACAATGCATAAATGTTCAAAAAGTACCAAATGAAAAGCTCTGATGCAAAGTGAGACATATTTTTTTTTTTTAAATTGTGACAGTATACTATACAGAGAATAACTATCATCTTAAAACATAAGATATGTGTTGAACAAAGCTGTATAAATCCAGCACCTTGGTTGCCTTTCGAATGAGCTGGAGGCAGGGGGGGAGTATGCGGTCAAAAAGGCCAGTGATGAGCGTTTTGTGTGAGTCATGGACCGTGGTTGGCAGTGTGTTGAGCCAGGACAGTAAAAGAGGCCGCCAGCCAAGCATGTGGGGCTCCATATAGATCATTCCACAGCGAGACACCTGCCAATGATACACATTATTTATGAAAACAGAGTTCTAAACCAGCAGTTCTTGTCTATCAAAAGAAAAATAAATAGCATTTTCAATACTTGTTTAAATATTATTGGATGCAAGGCTTGGAAGTAGATGTGACCATATTGTATTGAACATCTTTCTTTTTTATTCTATTTGCTTGATTATACCTGATATAAGACGCTAAATTAGTTTACTATCTAGGATGCAGAGGGAAAGGAGGAGGAGGTTTAAACCATTTCCACCCTTCACTGTCACTGAAAAATACAGACAAATATATTTGCTAAAGACCTTACTTAGCAGGAATATCAGGGGGGGAAATATTATTTTTCTCTAAGACATGGCTACAATAACAATTCCTCTCTACTCAGTGAGACAGTGCTGCGGTCCACAAACCATCTCTGAACAGCATTTTTTATTACTTTTAAAGATAATGTTACCAGTGTACCAGTTTAGAACTAAAGAAACTTATACTTATCTATAACTGTATGAATTTAAACATCTTTAAGGACCAAAACTAGTTCCCACTGTTGAACCTCTTTAGATAGTCCTGGGCCTTTCACTGAGACAGAATATCTCTGCAGCCCAGATATCATACTGTTAGCTCAAAATCCCATACAAACTTTCTGTTTGTCAGAGGATTTTTGTTGGATTAATTTGATATCTGCCAGTAAAAAATGCATAGATTCAGTTATAATCTATAATGCAGCACTATAATCTCTCTTTGGAGACTGAACTGATCTTTCAACATGCAGCATGCAACATCCGTCAACACTTTTTCAAGTGAAAATGTTTTGGTCAGTCAGCATTCTGCACTCTGTTTCAATTGCTGGCTAATTGAGGTGGTCAGACTTGTACATATATATTTTTTTATCGACACAAATTGCAAGCTAAAATGATATTTTCCCGCAATTTGATATGAAAAAAGAGAACTAAAAATAACTTTAAAAAAAAATCAAATTCAAAAATGAAAAAAGCTTTTTTTTTTTTTTTAACTGATTTAACTTAAATCAAAAGAAGTTATTATAGATTGAAGAAAGGAAGAACAAAGAAAAGCAGGGGGGCAATAAAAGTATAGAGGGTGCAGGAGGTGGAGACAGGACAAGATATATAAGCAAACAAACTCATCCAAACAGCAGACAAAATGCCTTAAACACCAACCAATCTCAGTTAAAGGCTACTAATGTTAAACATTCCTTTCATTCATTAGGAAGAAAATAAATAATTCAAAACCTTAATTAATCGAACCTTCCGTCTCCTTTTATACACTAAAATTTCTTATAATCCAAATCCAGTGCCTGGACATTGCTACCTCATCTGACACATCTGTCACACTCTGTTCACTTACACCTAAATCCTAACCTAACTGGATATTCTCTTTTAGGATCTTAAAGTTCATTAAAAAGAGTATGCATAACTGTGTCAGTATGTTATCATGAATCTGTAAAGTGAGGAAGCTGTTGATAGTACAAAAAAGTCTAGACTGCAAGATTCAGAGAGAAAAACAAAATCTAAAAATATGACAAAAAGGACAAGTAGATAATGTAACATAAATAACTTCCATATGTGGCTGTCTAATGTTTAGTGCCAATATTAGTCTAATTTGTTCTTTATTAAAATAAATAAATGGAAAAGCCAGACACAAAAATATGAAACTTGTACTCCAAAATGAATGGTGTCTCTTACTGTGGCTGGTGATGCCACCTCAAGGTCCATGGGCTCAAAGATTAGGCTCATTTGTGGTGACATCTGGATGATCTCACCACTCATCAGACACAGTTTCTTGTTGTCATCCAGTACAGTGTTCATATTCTCAATCCACACGGCATCCACTGGGCCATCAAAGATGAGCCATTTTCTGTCAGGGGTCTAAGAAACAGAAGCAGTAAGACTATTCATACCTTAAAAGGTACCATTTCAAAACGTAGCTAAGAAAAATTACAGGTCACAAATACAGGACACCACTGACCATCTCAAAAAGCACAAAAGAGCAATCATATCAGATAAATGTGGGCTATAATCAAGTCTTATAAAATACTGTAAATAATACCGGACCTGTTTGGTAGATCAAATTAACTGATTCATTTTCAATTGCAAGACAAAGCTAATTTTATAAGATCTGGGTTGTTGAAATATGTCTCAACTACAGATCAGAGGATCTTAAAACATGTGAAAACAATGTATTTTCCAGAGCCCATGCCTGTTACCTTAGCACCAATACACTGCATTAGTTTGTGTTTTACTAGGAGGAATGGATGTGAAGACTTTGAAGGTCACTGTAGAAGTCCTGGGCATTCTAATCAAAGTGAAGAATGTTTGCTAAGTGACCGAAATAAACACCTACGTTGTCATAATCGAAGCTGACAACAAGTGTTGATTCTCCAGTGAAATGGGCTGGCAAGAGCTGAGCTGTAAATTGATTTGTTATAATATAAACAAATGAGGATGCCTGGGCTGGGGCCATCTGGTGCTTGAAAGAGAACTGAGTTTTCTGTAATGTGATGATCTGACTAAAAAAGAAAAATACATTTTGTATGCAGGAAATGTAATCCTCTACACTGCTGTTGAATCCAGCTTAGCTGACATAAAATTTGTTAAGTAAAACATGCTGCAGAAAAATAAAGCAAAACAGGACTCATTTCCTCCCGCAGAGAAGAAATGGATTAAGACTAGATCTGGCTTTGTTTTCCTTTTCAATTGCATCAGTATGCAGTGTCACTCATCATCCTAATTATTCAATGACAAAACAAAGAACAATTTGTAAAATGACAACTTCATATACAGAGACATTTTTCAGATGACAAGTTAATTTGGAACTAATTTCAGGATTGGGAAAATAAATGATTTTCCATCAGAACATGCCTCCACTAAAATATCAAAATTGCTTGCCCATGTATATGTACTGTGTGTAACAAATGAAAGAGTTATTAAGGGTCTAATTTTAACAAGATGGCCAAATGTTTCTTTCGTTTACCTGTCACTGCAGCCTTTCATTCAACCAACTATTGCAATTAATGGAAATGCCAATCTAGATGAACAATAATCCATCCAAAACTCAGAGTCACAGGCTGGAAAGACAATGATTCATGTGTGTATTTATAAATCTCACCTTGTTGTATGTCTACCTATAGGAGGAAATACAACTTACATAAGAAGCTGTAACTTGCATGATGTGCAGTGCAATGCCCTTACTGAATGTAATTTTGCTCTGTGTTGCTCCTTATGAAGGATTAAAGTTCAAACCGCATTTAATTATTCTTCATCTCTACTACTGTCTGCATGACAAGAGAGCAACCTGAATATCTGTTGAGTAAAACATTTCCTTGCAAATCAGCAAAACCTTTATGCCCCGGCACAACGCAATGCAGCCAAAATGGACAAATCCTTGCTTCTATAGAGACTAAATTGCTATATATGTCTGTGGTATATGTAAATGTTAAACCTTTGTCAAGTTATATTGTTATGCTTGAGTAATTAGTCATTAATTAAAGTAAGCAGAGGCATAAACAACTGCTGCAACAATTCTACAAATAAATTGCTTTAACATATTGAGAACTCGGTTTGACATATTGAGAAATGCCTAATTCACTGAAGTCACTTAACCCACAATGACATAAAAGTGGGAAGAACAGAAAGTTTCACAATCCAAGACTGGATAACTATGTCACATAAAGAAATTAGCATAGCAACAAAGTAACTGATATGATGGGAAAAAGGAACATAACGGAACTGTGCTGATCATGAACAACAGGTGCATTCACAACAAACAAAAACGCAATACGTCAAGAATATTCAGAGAATTCTCCTATTTTGAAAATATTTGACCTAGTCCACTAGAAAAGGTGTTTTATGACAATTATGCAAAAACCGAAAAGCAGGTTTAGCACATACTCAACTCTGACTGTCTTGGGTGAAAAAGGGGACATCATAATCTTGAAATAATTTTAGTGTTATATTTGTTGTTATTGTATGGTGTTAATGTCAAAATACCGCTGCCAAATATTAGAAATATGTGATGATGATGGATAACTTGCTTGTTTTACCATTTAAAAACAACTAAACCAAAGAAAACTAATTTTTTCCAAAAATCCAAGACAACTTGAACTTCAGAAGAAGTTTAACTGCGCAGACTAAATTAACATAGATTACTAAAACAAAAAGGCTGTAGATTTAAATGTAGGACCTTATTGCTGAAAATGCAGTGATTTCAACTTCAAGAATATAGTGGAACAAAAACATAAGAATTTAAGTTCAAAACAATATCAAACCCTTCTCTTTAAGAATTTAAAGAACATTTGAATTTTTTCTCATGAAAAGTCTTCTTCCAATTATAACTTCATGGGTCAGAAGGTGGGTGCAATTTCACTATGACTGACATTCAGAAAAGAAAATCATGAATGCACATGGTGTAAAGAATTTAGTGCCACAGTTCATGCATAGTCTTTCCTTTGTGCGTTCACAGGTGGGCCCCTTACCTGGGAGGAAGCAACGGTCCTATAGCTGACGGCAAGGATGCCATCAGACCACTCGTGAGAGACAGGGTCAAACTGGCCATAGAGCTGACCCATTGTGATGGATTTTGGGTTGATCACTGTGATCTGTACCTGGTTCTCATCCATCAGACCCTGATATAGCAAAAACATACAAACATATATGTATGCATTGAGATATAAACATATAAATGAATAAGACAGACACCAACATGTAACTCATGTAAGGTGAAATCGCTCCTTCCAAGACTCAAATTACTTTGAAAACTCTAGGCAGTATAAGGGAGGTTTTCTCTGACATAGAGCATCACATTCTAAAACAAACTGTTTTAGACAAGGTTTCTGTTTGAATAAAAGAAATCAAACTGCTTGTAAAAGAAAAGAGAAAAGAGCAGAGTTGGGCATGATCAGTGGATGTGTAGCGACAAGGATGACGATGATAAATGTGGCATTCCCCGGCATTCATCAGCAGGCCTTCATCTGTCTCCTCGGTGCAATGCCTTTGAGTCCTTGCAGCCATGTAAATACAACAAGCCAGTTGTGGTCCTCTCTGTGAGATCGATAACTGCTAAACAAAGACTACAGCTCTGACCAATTGGATAGATGTGTTTACCTGGGACAAGCACGTGTCTCATATAAGCCTTGGATATTGGATGTCACACATAACTTTACCTGACATGAAGGTTTAGGGTTTTTTATACAGATTCAGCAAGTTCCTGTTCCAAGGACTAAGACTCCATTAGAGTTAAAAATAAAGGTCAACAATCATTTGCAAATAAGGTTTTGATGATGCTCACACAGCATTGAATAGGATAATATTCTTGAGGCCTGATATGCTTTTTTGTTTAAATTATATGAATTTATAATCAACTCATTGGTATCTTATAATTTTGCACAATGAAAATCTGCATCACCTTTTCATAGACGTCATGAAGCGCTGCAGCCAGAACACGGTAGGCACTGGTCTTTCCTCCAAATGGTTCACCAACCAGCATGAAACCGTGTCTCACTATCATCATCTCAAAGATTTGAAGGACTTTCTCTGCAAAGAATTCTGTGACCTGAAGGTTCATGAGCTTGGAGTTTTCCCTTACGGCCCCAAGCAGAATCTCATAATCCCGATCTGGAAGCTCAACCCCTGGGAAGAGGTCAGAGGTGATACCCTTGGGCAAAAAATGTAAAAGATATTGGGATCAGCGAAAGAATAGGTACATTACAAACAAATACTTTCAATCTATCATAAATTAAATCATATCATAATCACATGGATAAATACACCAACAATGAGATGCATAAGAGTGAGAACTTAAAAATGAAAGATACACAGCAACCAAAATTTCATTCAGTGATACACATATGTATTTCAGTTAGCTAATTTGATTCAGATTCATGTGTATTGGAATTCCAGATTAACTGAGCATAATTTAAACCAACTGGCATCAGCTGAAGAGAACCACGCCATTAATTAACACAACCTGATCTCAGCACACCTCAAAAAGCTTCAGATCATGGGCCAGGAACTTGGGCAGATTGACATCGATAATAGACCTCAGCAATAGGGTGTCTTCATTCTCCTCTGGAAACGCAAGCTGCAGTGGATAATATTTTCAATGAAACAGGAGGATGAAAACATGAGTAGAAAGCCCAAAAATTAGATATATAAACAAAGAAATAAGAGGAGCACACTAAATGTGTAAAATAAAGTAACTGAATTACTGGGAAGAATAAAGTGGCTCTTTTTTTAATCACATCTGACTGACAGGCACTCGTGTTAAATTCAAGAGGCATAAGCAATTGTTGCTAGGGAACTAAACACACTTCTCCCTCTGTGTGACAACTGTATTTCAAAGTGGTATTGGGCTTTGTCTATCTGCTAAAAAAACTGCTAAAAAATAATTTTAAAAACATCTCCTGCTCATGTAGAAAAAGAACAGCCAGTTTGTAAATGTTGAAAGCCTCTTTTATGGATCTCTATTTTTTTTTTTTTTTTTTTTTTCTCTCATCAGAGCATTCCAAAGCACAGCCAGGCAACTTATGTTTGTGCCATAGCACTGTTTTGTTTTGAGAGTAAAGCAAAACATGCCTTTTCAGGTTTCATTATCACAGACTGTTCAACTCCATCTGTCTGAAATTAAATTTATATCCATCGGGATAATTGGCCTGAAATATATCTTTCATGCTATAGCTGTGTGCTACAATCATTTGTTGTTTTTTTTATCATGAGGAAAAAAAAGACTGAGAACGAAATCCCATCACTTGACACGAACCTTAAGGTTTCCAGCAGCAGTTAGAACAGACTTTACGGCCCTCATCCCATAGTCATAATGATGCTGGGAGGACAGCTGCTCAGAACACAGTCGATAAGTGGCCACTATTTTCACTGACAGAGGACGTGCAGTCACAAAACCACATGAGTAAAGCACAATTTCAGCAATCATTGCGTAGTCCGGTACCATCATGGCAACAGTTCTGAAGAGAGCCTACAAGGAAGAATACGTTTTCTTAATGGAAAGATGCACTGCATTTGTGTTCATAAAGTTATCTAAATTCGTATCAACAATATTTTGGAATGTAAATATTCAGAGACATCATAATGCTCTTCTTTAACAATGATATAAAGTAGATTTACAAAGAACAGTCCTCCGTTATTGAATATGTTTTTTTGTAAACTAAGAATGAGAAAGAATAGAACTGATGTTGTACCTTGAGGTTGTCTGGCAGTTCTGAGCGTCCAGCATAGCCAGGATTCATAGTGATGAACACAGAACATGACGGATTCAATCTTAGCTCTGTCCCCTCAAACAACAGCATTTCACTATGGGCAGCAATACCTGAGCAAATAGAAAACAGTTTGAAGACATATCTTTGTGGAGCAAAGCTTTGTGCAAAGGGACAGCTAATCAAAACATATGTGTACATTTTATTATCAGATTTTCACCAATTTTGGCGAGTGAACAGAGCCTTTGCTTTTATTTTGGAATTTGATTTCATACGTACAAGTTTGGAATTTTAGCAGCTCATGTCTTCGTTTAAAGATGTTCCTAAAGTGTTCTTTAGATAACAGGTCTTAAAAGCTTCCAGATCAGTTTATACAGCAGGAGCGCTTTTCAAAAGCGGCCCTGTTGCTTTAATAACAGCTAAAGGTATTTTACTTTTTTTTAACTGGATTAAGCATAGCCTTCTCAGAAAGAACTATGTCAAGGATTGCCGCATTTGTTACCAGCCACATTGGAAAATCCACAATTAAGCAAAAATAGAATACACTAGTGTATTTTATATTCCTCAGTCTTCAGTCTTTTGTACAATGTAAGTCTCATAATGTATCTATAATTGTGTACAAGTAGAGGACAACGCAGAGACTTTTGCAGTAGTCTTGGACAACTACTTTTTTTATTTCTTAAATTACCATATTATTTGTTTTAATTTTTTAACATTTTTACCTTATCTGTTGATATTAGTATTTCCTTTTATTTGCATACCAATCTCAGTTCACACTTCCGCTTAACCTTTTTTTAATTTTCCCCACAGACAATGCCTGCTAACCATGCATGCCTTCACTTGTGTCCACAATTTAAACTCTTATATTTCACACGGGCACTTTGTTTAGATTGTTTTCAACAAATTGGTTTCTGAGTCATTCACATTGCAGTGAATCATTTTCTTTGAAATGGGTATATGGTAAAGACACCATGTTTATCACATTAGTAGATAAAACTTTAGCGGTAAACATTTGGATATATTATTGCTACACAGCTACACAGTTTGTCAAGTTAGGCTACACGAATCATGCTATGTGAATTTTACATCTCCAAATATTCCAACTTGTTTGAAAAATATACTATTGTGAAAGAATTTAGTTGCAATTGAATAAGAAAACCATTCATTTTTAGACTGGGAATATCTGGACACTATTCTGGTTCTTACATCTTCTGAAAAAAATATTCAAAACCCAAAATGCACATACACACTGCTATTCTGCAGTGAACAAAGCTGTGCTTGAAGTTCTCCTGGCCAGTCTTCACAAATTGCCGGAGCTCTATGCTGCGCCTCTTTGTAGTTTAAAACCTGCTTCTTTACCGCTGACACAATGCCAGAACTGTTTCTGGTATAGTGCCAGCTAACTCGATGATCAAAAGGAAAGAAAAGCAAATGTAAAAAAAATGCCTACCTCTTTGGATGGTGAGAATCTGTTGAGCCACCACAGACAGCACCTCCAAGTCAATGCGGTTAAACTCATCAAAGCAAGCCCAAGCTCCACAAGACAAGAGGCCCTGATCACACATGTACATTTACTCAAACACATGCAACAACTATCACAAAATCTAATAGAATTTTGGTGAAAGTTTCAGCATGGCATGGGACAAAAGATTCCAATTGAACTTCTGTAATTTTCTGTGTTTTAATGTGGGTTTTAAAGCCACGACAGCAGAGCTCTATTTTTAAATCACAGTCCAATATTCCGCTTCAAGGAGCAGGATAGTGTAATGTGGTGGTTTTTAAAATGTGCTAATAGTAAGATTCCCAAGTAAATATCTGGTATTTTCAATTTAGTTCATAAGAAAGCAGCAACAGCATGTGACTTCTTATTAATTATCCAAAGTGCAACATTTTTTAAGGCCTTTGAAGAATGCATCAGTGCAAAACTAAGTTATAGTTACAGAATTTGCTCACTTTAAAGAATTTGCCTAGAGCAATGTAGTCCAGTCCATCTGAGCAGTTAAAGACCACACACTGCTTGGCAATGGCTTTGGCCAAGTCTTTGGTTGTCTCTGTTTTTCCTGTGCCAGCTGGACCCTCAGGTGCCCCTCCTAAATGAAGGTGGAGGGCTCCAAACAAGGTGCTGAGAGAGGACAAAGTGGCAAAGTGATAGGTCAATTGATGTGAAGTCTTCATATGATCTGTTTAGAGCTGCATGGTGGTGCTTAACCCAATCGCCTCACAGCATGAGGGTTCCCAGTTCTACTCCCTGGGAGCCTTTCTGTGTGGAGTTTGCATGTTCTTCCTATGTATGTGTAGGTTCTCTCTGGCTACTCTGGCCTCCCACAGTCCAAAAGCATGTATGTTAGGTTAATTAAATAATGTAAACTGCCCATCATAGTGCAATTAGGGGCAATCTCTAGGGGATCTTAGAAGTGCAGCTCAAAACTTTAGAAAGTAGGGGTTTAACAACAGTTGCATGCAACTAAAATATCCTAAATCTATTTCAGTAGCTTTACCGGTAACAGCGGTCAGTGAGTGGGGTAATGACCAGACGTGGTGTGTTGCCCAAGTATTCATAGCCATATGCCAAACCAGCATTGATCATCTTGGTCTGAAGTTGGTTCTCCTGTACGTAAGTAGAAAGCAGATTTGTGAGGTTATCCATTGAGTACATAGTCTAAATTTGCATTCATCCCCAAACACGTCACCCCACCAAAACTTGTTCCACCTACCACCCAATAGTAGCGCAGTTGGCTGAGCCATTCAAAGTCATTCTCATCACTTATTCCCTTTTGCACCAGTGTTGCTAAAACATCCCGGGCATGGACATCCAGCACAACAAGAGCTCCAAGAGTCACTCGGTTCTGTTTGGACAGCTTTCCACGTACAAGTGCCACAATGTCGTCTATCTGTCTGTTGTTCTGCTCCAGGTAGGCATTGAGGGCCTGAGGAAGAGAAAGCCAGTTATCAAAGGGCAGAGATAGTCATCCTTTGAAGAGATCATCAGTAATGAAGTTAAGCTATAGTGATGATAGGTGATAATAACTTGTGATGATAAGTCACAAGTTAATTTGCTTATACAAGTAACAAAAATCCATCTGTCAACCTGTTACCCATTACATGAGCTATAGTGTCTGTGTAACTAATAGTATGTTTTATTGTTTGAACTCTTATATAGATTTAAGTAATAGACCTACATGTTTTTCATACCATGTGTTGCCAAGGTTAGCTTGGAAATTAGCAAAAATATGCAGACCATGCAAACCATTTTTGTTGATGTTTACCTTTTTGTGGGATAAAGTGTGGGTGAATAATATTGTATAAAAAGTAAGCTTAATGAAAGAAAAATATGTTTAACTTAAAAATTCAAAATCAGACTGTCTTAAATTGGTTATGCATAGAAATTGTCCTTACATATAATTTGTGTAAGATATCAGTTGGTATCAGACAAAACCAGAGTAAATCACCTTCGGTCCTGAGCGAATAGCTTCATGGATATCCTTTGTCCAATAGACCTGGGAGACACACAAGACGGTCTGGCCTGGCCAGGCACGCACCCAGTTGATCCTCAACTCATTGGAGTAGGCCTCGATGGCTTCCCCTATTACCTACAATGGACCATATGAGAAACGACTGTTTTTATTCTCTGGTTAGGCATTGTCAAAATTACAGTCGGAAAAGGGTCCACCGTCAAATTTGGTAGAAAACACTGAATTATTCCTAGAAAAAAAACTTCAACTTGTAATTTTTTAAAATACTTTATTAATAGTATTTAAGGTTTGAAAATGACTTATTAGATTCCATCTATATGAGATACATAAAAATATGGCAGGAGAGTGACAGTACCTTATGCAGGGACACAGCCATCCCATTCTCAAGCTCAAGGAGCCATTTCTCCACCTGGCCCCTGGCTTTAGAGGTGGAAATGATGTCCAGGAGCTGCACCATTTCACCCTCACTGCTCTTCATGTGAGTGATATCCAGTATATCAGTGAATACCACACTTGCAATGCCTTCAAAGCATTTCTTCAGATGGGGCTGCACCCTAATGGAGACAAATTCAAGAAAATGGAGTTGTCAAATATCAACAGGGCTGATAATGTGATTTTATGTGCCCCCAAGGAATATTTCAAGCTGGCCCATCACACCCTTAATGGGCTTACAATGTAAACAAAGTTCCTGTTACAGTAGATACATTTGGTATAATTGAACAACTAACTTTTCAAATATTTTAATGTTAAATATTTTGAAAAGTGACATTTATCATATTTGAATTAATGTTTCATCAGTCAAAAAAACTGCCCAATGCAAAGCAACTAGGAAAAAGAATTACATTAACGCTTCATCATAGTAATATACCAAGGAGCAGGCATTAAGTATTGTATCCATTAATGAGGAAGAGAATAGCAGATATATTTTTTAAAAAGTGTGAGGGTTAGTGCATTTCCTAGTGTTTGGACAGTTGGTGTCCTTGAAGAACACAAGCCTTCAATATATTTTTGAAGGCAGGGATGAATCCCCCACCTTTGATAACATTTCTGGGATTTTTCCATTACTGAAAGCATGTGTATTTAAAGTGGTAGAGTAAAATAGAAAGAAACAGATATTTGGGGAAATAAAATAGTAAAAATTGGTCATTTATTTAAAAAATACATGATTAAAATCATGAGTCACTAAAAGCTCTATTTTTCAGGAGCTTAAATAAAAAATCTCAAATTAAACATTAACAAATGCCTAGATTTATCTGTTCATCTCCCTCGTCACACTTGTAGGTATCTCTATGACAGTTTATTTCCTTTTGTAGCTTAAAGGTAAATGTTTCATGTGCAATAAAAGCTCCTTGCCCACATACTGGGGGTTCAAAGCACCAAATCCTAAAATCTAATGGGACATTTTGAATCAGCTATTTTGTCTTCATTGATTAGGATGCTATGAAAGAAGAGTTAAAATACAACTATGATGTAGTTTCTGAGTTAACAACTTTTAAATACAATGAAAAACATTCTTTCTTAATTCCTATAGCAATAATCCAATTAGGTTGTTTATTTAATTTTGAACAATAGAATTATTCAATTTAATAACTCGCTGAGTATTTTTGCATAACTTCTCTAATGAAACTTAAAAACTTTTTTCAAGCACTTTTATCGAGTGTGCCATGATTTATGCAGCTAAAGCATGCATTTGTCCTTCGTTCGAGGACATTCATCTCACGTGGAGCAGTTTCTAAGGTAGTTTTGATTTTTTAATGCTTCTTAGATAAAAAGTATTTCTTTTTTTTATTTCAACATCAAATAATAAAACACCTCCTTTAAAAACAAAGTCATCCTAATATTAATCAACCACGGCAGCTTACTCAAACACCAAGATAAATACCACTGAAATACCTTCTTTACGGCAGAGCTGACGGTTGTTTGTACCTTTATGACTAGAATGAGAATTCCCAAGAGTTGGGGAAAGAATTGAAGGACAGCAGAGATGAGGATGAATGGAGAATGAGTGAAATGTGGGAATGTCCTTTGTCTGAAGACATATTTATTTTTTGATGAGTGTCCTTGTTGAAGTTGTAAGAGAGTTGAATATCAATGAGAACTTTAGAAGAAAGGTTTTATAGAAGAAACTCATAATCAATTTATCACAGCAGTTGCACTTTTTCTAGCCTCAAATCAGTTTTTAAAATGGCAGCAACTCTTTTACATGGTATAATTTCTTTGGGACATGTTAAATCTCTTAAAATTAATTGGAGAATGGTCTGTTTTTCACCAAACACTATTCAACATTACATTAACTAGTCCATTTTGAGAAAGTATCAGTTAAATTCCATTAACAAACTAGTTTCAATCGTGCATTGGGTTCTAGTTCTTGTCCAATCACCCACTATGAATGGTGCTGTCAGATAAATTGATTATTGTGAATATGTGTGTTTTATAACTATTTACCTTGTGGGGTCTTTGGTCTCAGAGAGAATTTCCAACAGTTCTTCGTTGGAGAGGAAGAAGAACCGAGGAAAATAGAGGCGTTTCTTCTCCAAGTAGTTATTTAGACCTTTGAGGATCATTTCCAGAAATTCATTAGACTGTTTTAGCCTCTCCAGCATCTTGTCAATGGCTATCACTGACAATACATGCTTGTCCTGTACCAGAGAAGAAAGAAACAGATCATTTTATCAAAATTACATTTCACTTAACAACCAGTTATCTGGAATCATATTCACTGCTTTTGTGCCGTAGGTAGCCTTTAGAAAGGATAGGAGAGCAGGCAGAGAAAGAGAGGGGAATGACATGCCACACATTCCACATACAAGGACTTGAATATGAACAGGCCATAGGAAAGCTAAATAAAGCCCTATTCAACTAACTGAGCATAATTTGTCCATTCATGAATTATTTGGGCTCCATTTCTATGATTGTCAGGTACAGTTTTTGGTCTCAGGGCAAATCTGATCATGTCGTTGTATAATTACACCTACTAAGTTACTTGTTATATTTACAAAGCTTCAGAGTAAAGGTCTTTCACTGTAGGGCTCTAATATCACCCCGTCCTTGTGCTTATCAAATTAGATTGTCAGCTAAGGGTAAAAAAATATTATTTGCTGCTTGAAGACTCTTGTTATGCCTAATCATAATACTGTCAGAATATCCTTATATTCAAGACTCCCAACTTGTCCAGCTTTTTATCTGACAATGTCTGCATCAGTTTTTCTGAGACCTCTTAATGTCATCCAATTCAATGGGAGTGACTAAATGTCTGATTTTTTAGATATAATATGTTTACTACCTTTTGTAGAGAACTTAAAAACTGTTTTAAGAAATATGCAAATCATATCATTATGCTATAATTGTATTTTAAATGGCTTCCAAACTTTTCATAATCAGGGTTGTATGTTGCCTTGTTAATCCTATCATTAATGCAATACCATCACTCTTAATTTCTTATCATAACTCATTTGAAAGTAGTGCTGCTTAATTTAAAATGGTGTTCTGATGTCACAATACAGCACAAGTAAGATTATAAGAAGAGATTTTGAAACCAGTGTAAGTAATGTAAGTAATTCTTTCCTCCAGGCAATAATCAGTTGAAGACACTGAAGATTCAATAACTGACATGTTTCAAAAGATAAATTAAATAATCAAGTTCAATAGCTAAGACATAGTAAATGATATACAGATAAAATTTCTGACTTGATTGCATTTCAAGGGGTATACAATTATTCCTGCTCAGAGTGTCTGACTGATAAAAACTGATTCTATCTTTTCATAAATTTTACCGTACTTGTGATTTTGGTCCATTCTTCAAGAGGACAATGTAATAAAAGGCCTAATTTTATATTCAATGTGCCAGCGGGAAACTATTCATGAGCGCACTGAATGGATAACATGGTATTATGTGTGATAATGTAGTTTTTATGCACCAAACAGATGGCTTCAGCAGAGGACAGGATGTGTTCACAGCTGATATAGCAGAGAAACCCATGAGGTAAAGACAGTGTTTTCTTTGCTTTTAATAGATAGACACTCCACATTGCGGACAAAAATAATGCTGGTATATTCATAGAACATTCAGCAGAGTATTACATCTGCATAAGTATGAATGCATCAGTATGTTAGACGAGTTTTTTTCTCTAACTGATTTCCCATTCCTCTGCTCGTTAGAGGGGGCAAGGGTGTGGTGTGCAGTATATTTAAAAGGAAAAACAAGAGGCTCATCAAAATAAATCTTTTCGTCATGTTGATCAACAACTATGCATGCAAAAGTGGATAACAGATACATTTTAAAAATCAAGCAAATTTTAAGTGCAGTGGGATGCAGGTGGTGATGAGTGAATCTTGAGCAGCTCCCAGTGGCTGATATGACAACAGCCAAGACAAAAATATGATCAACCCCTGATGTAATGTGTTGGTTAGAGAGCTAAACACTGGCCTGCCTTTCTGCTCACACTGTTTGGTATGTAGTGGAGATTATTCTAATTTCATGCACTGCTGATCAATGCAATAGACGACGTGTAGGGATGTGTTGTTTGTCAGCTTTTGATGCAGCACAAGCCCAATTGTAGAGAGGCTTCTTCACTATAACTGGTGTTCACTGTGTGGGGAATTAAAATCATTAGCACTAAACAACGCATGAAATCTGAAATTATGTATGAGGATAAGAGTTCAAATAAAAAATGTATTTGTTTTATTTTCAATGCTTTGTAGCTAAAAAATGTGTTTTCTCTTTATGAACTACAAATGAAAACAGATGTTACAACACAAATATCAGGGGTTGAGAATTAAAATAGGCAAAACAATGTTTGCCCCTTTTCTCTGAAAATAATTCTATTCACTGAAAAGAAAACTGCTGTAAAACTTCCCTGAATGAGCACACATTCAAGTGCAAAATCCATTACACTGCCATTTTCACCTACATTCTTGATAACAGTTCACAGTAGTCTAGACAGCACACATGCACATCTCTGTGTGTAGGCTTTCTGTCCCTCTCTGACCTCATTTTCTTTGTGGCTCCATACGCTCATGCCCCTTCCAGACAAAATCCATAATTTCTATTTGATGGTGCAGTGAGGCTGGGCTTTCTGGAGGACACTGCCTGAAATTGATGTGTCTCATTTCAGGTCTACTGAGGACGCCAATTACCCTTTGGAAACTCTTTAAGGTTGCTGGTGCAACCCTCTTTCTCTTTCTTTCTTGTTCTGCTGTTTTTGTCTAGTTCACCCCATTCTGACTGACTCACGCTCCTCTCTTTTCCTTTGTTCTGAATACTCCTGTCTTTGGCTGCATATCTCTGAAATTCCTATTTTCCTTCATGTTTCACTCTCGCCATCTGCTGGTTTTCTTTCCAATGTGCAAGCTTGTGTGTGTATTTGTCTGAGAAGTTCGAACCGAGCAGATTTATGCTGCCATGGCCATCAGAGTCATGTGCAAAATGTTATGTCGTTATAGTTGTACTTAAAGATAACGGCTTACTGAAATCCTAGGGTATATCTCATATTGAACAAACTATATTACACGTCTTTTAATATAAAACTAATTTTCTAGTACAGTGGCTTATATGAGTAATATGTGTAGTTTCAGATATTTTTACGTCTATTAAAAGAGAAAAAAAACATTCCAATGATAACGGCTCGGTGCAATCAGTGTATTGCTTAGACTTCTAAATGTATCATAGCTTTTACTGACTCTCAATTGCCAATTTGAAAATAAAAACAGGGTAAAACAACAATCTCCAACCTAAACATTGAACCCTATTGGCATGAGGTCCACTACATCAATCAGCCTGTTTACATGATGGCATTGAGTAACTCATAATTGCTCATTTCTCCACTAATGTTCCTTACCAAAACAAATAGACAGTTAAAGATCTCTGCTTTTGTTATCGTGACTGTACACACATCCATCTGAAGATCTTATCTTTTTGCCCATGTTCTTGCTCAGCGGTGATTAATAAAAAAGGAGAAAAACAATTTACCAGGGACACTTGTTTCATTGTGTCTCTCCATGTTTTGTCAACAGTTGTGAAACGGCGTCCCTCCTCAGGCATCTGAACCATAATGTCTGGCGAGCTAAATATGGGCTCCAGGTAAAGCCAGGTGGATTGCACCTTTAGCCATTCATCTAGGATCTCTTGAAGAAGCAGCAACTTGCCCTCCCATTCCCTAAAAGGAATCACAAAAAAAAACTAAACATCTTTTGAAAGTGCATAAACTTACTTACTTATTGTAATATTATCTTATCCAAACATAAATCTAGATAATAAAATAATTTAGTTTTGATCAAGAAAAATGACAGAAATTCTCCAACCAGCAAAAAAATCAGATAAACAGTCAATAAAAGTGACAAACGATTTTGGATCAACAGTGGTGGGAGTGGATTCTTTCTCATATGTGCTGTGAAGGATTTAGGAAATGTAATTTAAAGTAGATCACCCAGTGTCTTACCATATTTCTTCCTCAAAAGGCTTAATAAAGGGTGATCCCCTCATTGTTTGTGTCTTCACAATGTGGTCATCCAACAGCATCTGCACTTCATCAACAGCTGACAGGATTGAGGTGCCCGTTTCTCGATAGGCCAAGAGGCTGAACTCCATGTCCGTCCACTCACTGACCATTTTCTCCATGGCCTTTTCCAGTGAGTGCTCCTTGGTGGCTGCCTCACTGATGCCTTCGAATTTGCTCAAGTGCTGTTCCAGATGCATGGACAAAAAGCGAGCCATGCATGCCTGGTCATCGACTGGGTGCAGGGAAATACCTGCTAACTCGGACATGGTATCCCAGTGGCGTGTACGCAGGCCCGGATTGCACAGTACCTGTGAAAGACGGAAGATTGGTAGAAACAAAAAAAAAATTTTTTCATACTGACTTTTTAAACAATTAAGATATCGACAAACACTGCTGACTATATCTCCAAGGGTCTTACCTGCACCATAGGAATGTGCTGCTTAAAATCCTCCACCTGACCCTTTATAGTGGAAGCTATATGCAAGGCACTGGGTACTTCACTGAAGCCTTTCTCCAGCTTGTATAGCGTGCGCCAAAAGTTTCCAACTTCACCTTCCACCTATATTGGGATGATTACATTTTTTATTTAAAAAAAAAATCACAAGATATATTTATATTCAATACAATTTGGTAAATCTGGTGTTTACACTAGATATGTCACTGGTGTATTACTGCATAAACATGGCAGCTGACAAGTTGTTAAATTTTAGATTAAAATCAAAAACAAATATTTGTAGTAATAGAGTGGAGCACATTACAAAAGAATGTGATTAATTTCAAACATGCTGCATAAAAATAGACCACCAACAGATGCAAATAACAAAGCACTGTGCCAAAGAAAGATGGTCTATTCAAGAGGAATAAAAAGGCGAGACTCGTAAAGTTGTTCTTGTGAGGCTGTGCCAGGGAGCTCATAATTGTTGCCAAACCTTTGTGGATGTGATAAAACCAGCTGCTCCAGCAGCACCAAGTAGTTGCAATTGTGTTTCAGCAGGTTTCTAGCCTTTTGTTGTATGACTCCAATGGTGGTTGCTATGGCCTGTAAACTGTTACTATGGTACTTTTAGGAAGCTGCCAGAATGCCAGATAGGGCTGCCAGATTGGGTATTTAGTTTTCAAACTTAAAAATATACTGAAGTGGTTATTAAGGTACTACATATCAAATTATGTTTTGCTCCTTTTTACCTTGTCTGGAATCACACCAGAAAGTGGTCCATGGAACCACTGCTCATATTGACTTAGGAAAAGGGTGGCAGTCTCATAAAGGCGCAGGAATGGAGTCAACTGGTCCTGGATTTTCTTACGCTGTGGATACTGGGACACAGGCCAGCCAAAAGCCTCCTCTTCAAGATTGAAATCATTAATCTTCTCATAATTGGAAAAGAGTTGGATTATACAAGAGTGGGGAAAAGAAATACAAAGACATACAATGAAATGATGGGTGGACATAGAAAACAACTGGCAAACAAATGATGAAGTCTTCGCAACTCCAGTGGATCTTCAGCTAATAAATCTTGACACACCTTTTCCATGGCAATTTCCAATTTGGCATTAAGGGACTTCGCTTTCTTCAAATATTTGGTTAGATCCGACAGCTCACTATAACCAAGAAATTCCTTCAGCTGTATACTGTAGCTCTCCAATTCTTCCACAAATCGCTCACGGCACAACTGGAATGAGTGCAGTGCAGATATATACTTTATGTAACTAGAAAATGCCTTTTTTGTTTAATTTTACATTCACTTAACTGGTTAGTTTTAGGGTTTACATACAAATCCTTAGATGACCACCTAAGATCAAGAGTTTGATAAAATTAATACATTTTGTAAATAAAGAAAAATACAGACCTTGAGGCCACTCTGGTACAGCTCTGTCTTTTCATTCATTATCTGCCTGTACTCCTTAAATATTGATGGCATACGTTTAAACCACTGGACAGTTTGTGAGTTGAGCTCCATGTCCGGTGATGAGAGGGTCACAAAGTCCATCACAGAACATAGCTGTCTATTAGAAACTGCCAGCCTTTTCTCTAGAAGAGGCATCTCTGTAGTCTCTATCTTTTGTATGTAGTTCTGGAGAGTAACAATAAACAATAAAGAAGTTGTTGATATATAAAACACAGTATTTTTTTTAAAAGTTCAATACTGAATGTACAGGTAATTAGCAGGTAGAAGAAACTGGAATCCAGCTCAGGATTTCTGAACCCTCTAGAACAGATGACCAGAAGGGACAATAAGAGGCAGTATCCCAAACCAAAGGATTAAAGAGTTTCTAAATTCAGTAACTAGATTTCATATTATAAATCCAGTCTGTATGAAAGCAATCTGTGCTTGATATGGAATAATTAATAAATCTCAGCTGTGCAATTAGAAGTTTTGTAAGACACCTTAAGCTCCATCAGTTTCTGAGTATCCGGCGGTGTGGCCAGTGCCTTCTCTGAAATCCTCTCAAATTCATTGCAAAGGCTGGAAGAGAAAAGGAGTTGTTATTTAAGTTAAATATAAAAAGGATTTCATTCAGTCCAAGGCTACAGCCTTCCCTTTTCTCAGACCTGCAAAATGTTTTTATACAAAGACCAACTTAGGTTTTGAACACTAAATCCACCTTTTGTTGATTTCCTGGTGGGTCTGTAGCATCTTTGTGGCCAGTTTTTGCTGGAGATCCTCAACACGCTTCACAAGAGAGTGGATGAGCTTGTGGGACTGAACCTCAAACATGCCAAGTCGTACAACCTAAATTTCCACAATATGTTCAGACAGTTATCGTTTGGTACTGCTTCGCACAAGAATGTTCTCAATGAAGCCTGATCCTTCTGTGAACTTAATCATCTAAAAAATTACCTTGCATGGTGTGTATTGGATCTGGTGAGCAAGCTGCCGGTAGCGCATTACTTCAGCAATGATATCCTCGAGAGAGTGCTGTTCACTCAGGAACAGCTCCACCTCTTTCTCTGCCTGATTGGATATCAGTGAACTGTATTTGTCATACTCGTGGACATACTCTTTTGGCCTGACACACTCAGGCCAGAATACCCGGTGCACCTCCTCCTGATGGGCTTTTACAATTTCTGGAAGGATGATCGGTCTCAGGTTGTTTCCAAGATGGGAGTTTGCCTGAGAGGAAGTGAAGTCAAGGACTAATGTAGGTCAATGGGTGAATGGATTCTTGAGGCATCAAATCAATGCTAAATTTAAATTAGGAAGTAACTAATGGGATATAGAATATACACTTCCAAATAGCATCACAGTAAGAGATATTTTGGATACCAAACAAAAATTATCTTTGTAATGGTAGAAAGGTAAGACACTGGTACACGTTCAATAGGTTTAATTTAAATAATATACATTGTAGATTGTCTTTAATACATGTTAAGCAATAGTAAGAGATTTAAGACTAAATTAAAAACAAACAAAAGTCTGAGGCACTGCACTTACCCACTCAGGGTAGAATTTGTTTTCAACACGAGGCACCATACCAATAAACCTGAGCATTAACTCATAGACATGGAGGAGGGCCTTCTCATACATTTCAAAGTCTGGCTCAAACTTGATCTCATTGCCCTCTAGGATTAGATGCAGAACAAAGCCTGGATGTCCCTTGGAGCTGTTTGAGTGCTAAAAGGTGGAGAGTAATATAAAAAAAAAAACTAAAAGTCTTCCAGAGGTCATTTTATTTCATTTTTAAAACCATTGTGTCTTAAGGCAATTCCTCTTACCAGGTCTTTACAAATTAGGCGTGTATAGTCTCTCAATGAATTTAACCCAAGATTCTGCAGCTGATGGGTCATCAGTGCAGCTACACAGTTAAGAAAAGATTCCAGTTTGGTCAAATTGCTGAAGGAAGGCACCAGTTTGTGCATACTGCCCTGATAGTAAATGTTCTGTACTTGCGGAACCCAACTGAAACAGAAGGCATATGCATTATTTAAGAGGCTGTGGTATTTACAATATCATCCCAAAACAAAAATCATCATTGAGTTTAGTGTTGATGATTATCTGATCTCTCTGTTACTTGAGTGGCTACTAAATATAAATCGTCAAGGAGATTCTTTAGTGTTAAATTACTGAGGAAGGCATGTCCCCACCCAAAAAGGTATTGGGTAAAAATCCATGTGACATTACAAATGGTGAAAAGCTGAGCTTTGATTAACATGTTGAATGGAACCCATCTCAGCCTATGAATAACATCTGTACTTTAAATCCATGCAAGGAAATTTGTTTCAGAATGTACGTTATCTCTTTGCTGGTATGCTGCCGTAGACTGATGATTTGGACTTACTGTTTGAGAAGAATGTTTTCAGCATCATCTACATGTTGATTGACAATCTTCTCAAACTCAGAGAGCTCAATGGCATTGGTTCTCCGATAGAACTCGCCTACATCTACCAGACGAAAATTCCTGAAAGCAGATGATCACGGAAACAGAAGGCTGAATGTGGAACCACCTTCTCAATATGGACTCTTGATTCTCTTAATACTCTTAATATAATTAATATTTTTAAGTATCTTCATTAAGTGTTTGACATTTAGTAATAAACACAATGATTTTAATACAAAAATGATTTTTTCTATTAAAAAGCAGCTAAAACAGATCTATCGACATACCTGTAAGAGTCGTACCAGAGGAACTGCACTTGCAACAGAACGGAATTGAGACAATGAAACTTTTCACACAACCTCTTTCGTGATTGTACAAATGATTTGTTCCATGGTTTTGGCACAATTTCTATTCTGAAAGCAAAGGATAACAAAGGAATTGGAAAGTCAACACCAATAATCAACTCTACGTTATACTTTCTTCCAATAACTGCTTATTTAAAATCCTTGTGAAGAGAAAAACAACAAATCTTTTTTGCTCAGTATAAAATGTGTAAGCACAGGCTGCACTTACTTATCACATGGCAAACACATTAAAATAATGTAACTTACTCAAGTCTGTGGGGAAGAAAAACTTTCACCGTGTCCTTGTCATATTCCCTTGGATCAAAGGGTGTATATGTCACTGAAGTTAAACATAAAAGATAATAAATTACACTATTAGAGGGTCATGGTTTTCAGGTAGTCAAACATTATTTATTATTCATTCTTTTTAACTTCATAAAAGATGTGTAGGTCATTTATGAAATTGAGGCAATAATTTTATAAATGACCCATAAATGTGTGGATAAACAAGAATTTAATAAATACATATTGCTGTTTTGACGCTGACTAAATAGTCCTCCTTGATCTCATCAACCAGCAACTCCAGGGGTGTACGTTGGCGCCTCAGTTTGGCAGGAACTAGTTTCTGAATGTTCTTAATGCAAGAATCCTGCAGACAACTCACATTCTCCAGATCAACCCCCTTTTGGAAGAGGTAGTTAAATCTCTGGCAAGACAAAATATTATTTTCAGAAGAAGGCATGGCATTTCAAACAACTAGTTTGGTGACTGGATTATGGAGGAATGCATTTCTATTTATTGTACATTATTGGCTTAAATTAGAGTGAAATATATTTTTTATTGCATAAAGAAGTTTTTTAAGTATAGGAGAAACAATTTTTTGCATGTAAAATTTACAGTACGTACACATACCATGAAAAGTCTATAGTTTAAATAAATATATCAAAATGTTCTTTACAACCGAGAAAAAGACCTTAAGAAATAAGAAAACACTGTAGGACTGCAGCCATGAGATATGAGGTGCTGTACGCCTTCTATTTTAGCTGTCAAATCAAAAATATTCTTCAAGAATCATTGAGCACAATGTCTTCTGTGTGCACACGTACACAATAGGGTGCATGTGGTATTGATTGTGCATTGCATTTTACCATTTCACTCTCGGTCTTTGTGGTAGAGACACACTGTGGGAAGCTGCCCCGCCCCTCCTCTGGTTGTCTGAAATAGGAACACACACTGTGCAAAACTGGGACTGAAATAAAAATGGAGTGCTTTGTTTTGGCTGTTGTTTACAGTAATTTCATGGAGTTCTTTATCTTAATAAACTTAATTCTATGCATAATTCACTAAAGAAATGGGCCTAAGCTGTGCAGCGACAAACACAGAATCACTGATACAGAGGTGAATAAGCATCTGATACAATCAGATACAACACAACTTACCTAATAAGCTTAACCAGAGTTTTACGGAGAATTCTGTGCTTTTGACCTGGCCTGCTGCTGTGCCTGGAGGGACCGGGGACCCGCACGGGCATTCGCCCATGGTACTTGTCTTTAATGACACTTAACACATCTCCTTCAGCAAACAATAAACACATTGTTCAAAACATGGGGATTATTATTGTTGAACAACTCAATTGTTATCTTAAAAAAAGAACAACTCTAAAGATGAACCTACGCTCCAAAGCTTTTTCACTTCCTCGAAGTTTCTGCGTGTTCGTAGAAAAGAGTGAAAATGAGGGTTTTGACTCCATCCACGGCTGTTTTCCGGGAGCCTGGGCAATGGAGTTCACATTAGTTTGCCCATAAATTGCTCCACGTGAAAACCACAAATTGCACAATTAAGTCGAAGTTAAACGTGTGTGCTGACATTGGAATTTATATGAATCAATATAGAGTCGAGAAAAACGTTGACTTTGGTAACTAAAAAAATGTCTGGTAACTCTTAACAATTATAATACATGTGGTATTTAAAAGGGACTTTGATGCTAACTGTGTTACAACTGTGTTTATTTACTTACCTGTGACGGACCTGTAGCTGAAAGTGCCGACCAGTCTATAATATCTGGCTTCTTCTTGCCAAAACTCATGTCGGTGCATGAAATAGCTTACTGTAGGAGAGCAAAACCTGTGTGATGTTGCTAGGGAGGTTACTAAGGAAGCAAGTGTGACCTGACCTCGCGCGCAGCAGTTATGTAGCCCGGCTCCACAGGGCGAATCCAAAGTTTGCCAGTTTAACTTGTGGAACGTCAGAAACAAGTTAAGGTTGTGTGTTCTTCATCGATAACCAGTTAGAGTAAGACATGCTAACTTGTTTTTTAAACTCGCGACTTTGAACCAATAAATTAGTTCCATTTAAACCGCAGCGTGCGGATTTCTGTATCATAATTATATGCATAAGAAATGTCCATATTCTGGTATATTCTCAATGAGGACAATATAAAAAAAGCTTCAACCTGTCAAAATAATGTGCAGCACCCGTCTTTGTACGAAGGGTAACGCTAACTTAGTATGTAATAGTTTTTGTTACTAATTTAGAAACCATTCCCCAGTCATTCTTGTTGATACTCAATATTTATTGCTTTTCAACTTAGATACATAAAGGTTCATCAGGTTACATAAAACGTCCTGGAAATTTATGTGACAGAATGAAAGAAAAAAACATCTATATTTTGAAAACTTTTGTAAAAGTCAGGTTTAAGCTTCCCACAACCCTAACTGTTAAATGCCCCCCTTTAAGCACACCTGATAAGCTCCCTGCTTATCAGGTGCCAAATGCCAAATGGCAGAAAGTGAAATCCAGTGCAACAAACACAGACTGGATAGCTACAAAAAACACAAGTTTTAATTTAATTTCCCTCAACCCATTACATAAAACAGTAGCAATTCAACTATTTACATACAAATACGAAAGATAACTGTCTCACATTAATTTAACAAATCAATTACAAAATATTGAAACTTTGCCTTGTCTCTGAGAATTTATCATTTGCTGCTAAAAAATATTAAAATGATAAAATAAAACTCAAAATAAACTTTGTTTTAGATGTTAATAAGCTTGATCTGTCAATATTAATATCCAAAAATAAATAGACCTATAATCCAGCAGCTCCATTTGCATGTGAAGAGCATCTGCAGCAGAGACTACATAAACTTAAATGCTGAGGTGACTGTAGTGTTGGATATCACCGTGTGCCAGTTATGTATATACATTTTTCTACAGCGTGCTTCTTGATAGAAAGATGAATCGGATGTGCAATTAAGACAGATGGGCTTGCAGCTCTCATAGCTTCTCTTTGGCTTGCAGCTGCTCACAGGTTTTACGGTTACACCTGCTAGTGGGAATTCTTCAACCCAGGTAGGGTGAGCTCGTACCTTAATAACAAACAGAAACAAAAGAGGACAAATATGAACATTTAACATGATTAGGATCAGCCCAGAGATGCGTCCATCAATTAGTTATTCAATATATCTTCTGTCAAACTATTGTTGCCTCCCTTAGACTATGGATTATATTAAGAAGGTATATAAAGTGGATGCAATTGTAGTACATGAATTAATTCAGGACAAAGTAAAATGCATGGTATGATCTTTCTATACCAATTTCAAATTTAAATTTAAAGCAATCTGATTCATGTTTACATTGTAAACATTTCATGCATCCTCAGACAGATTAGACAGATGAGAAAAAAGCTTAGTAAACATGTTACATCCTCTTCTTATTACCGCTTTATCCAGTTATTGGACATCTGTCACTGCATGGACCAACATTTTAACACTAGCCATCCACTTCTAATTGGACACATGCACAGCTACAGAAGTGAATATTTCTCTTCAATCTACCACAACCCCATCCGTTATTATACATTATACCTAGTTTAATATATATATATATTTTTTGTTCAATTTCGAACAAATTACAAGGAATCAAAATCTAATAAATCTGTTACTCATACCACTCTGTGACACCCTTGGCTATATCCATCTGTGAGAGATCAAGCAGCACCTGCAAACAAAAGAAATCTATTATCGACATCCAGTTCCAAGCTGCAAGGGGCCACAGTCCAAAACCAACAGACTTTCTTTTACAAAAACAGCTAAAATAAAATTGTTTACTTCAGGTTGTATAATTTTCTCCCCAATAGCCATCTAATAGCATGAAAACTTCTCTTTGAAATATTTAAATAGGAATGATTTTAAGTTTTTTTGGCCAAATAGCACCACCTACCATGCCAATGTCTTTTCTCTCTCTGGTATGAAACATTTTATTATTTTTAACTGCCACATCCAACTTCCTGGTCCGTGCTTCTTCAAGTGATAAGTCAAACTCAAACCTGTGGAAGACAGTGGGCAAAAACAAGGCCAAAATAATCATAGTGAGTATCTGAGACGCTCATTTTAGTCCATGCACGTGTCTGCTGTGGGGTGAATCTAGTGTGCTTACTTGTCGTTAAAGACGGGGTTGACCGTCCTCTTCTTGACGTGTGTCTTCTTGCGGTGTCTCCAGGTCTGGTCTGGGAGTAAATAGAGGCGTACGTAGGAGTCTGTTCCATTCTCACTGCAGGGGAATAAGTTCCTGTGGTAGAAAGGATATATACTGAACACTATGCCAAGTTGGTTTTAAATTTTCTTTTAAACAACTTAACCTAATTAAGCACTTCATTAAAATACAGCACTGGGAAGTCAAGCGACCCATCATCTCTTTATACATAATCAGGAAAACAGAGAGTAGATTAAGAAATTTATTGAATCGTGCTAAATTAGATACAAATCTGGAAAATATTATGGAAACAATATTTGTACAATTTTAATAAGCTTGAAAGTAAATTATTTCAACTTTTTTTTTGCACGACCTGTATCCTAAAGCTTTTTACCATTTCTGTAAATAGTCTTTAGAAACAGTTCTCCAGACTTCCCTGAAGGACATTTCAGAGCTCTTCTTTGAGCCTTGGCTAAAATGTATAATACTCTGCGTCAAGAATAATGTTTCAATAATGTGAACTTGGGCTTTGGAGAGGATTCATCTCCCCTTAGGTTTCCATTAGTTTCTGTCATTTGGCATATCTCCTGTTTCCCTTCCTTAATAAGGAATTCCCTGCTGCCACCCTTCCTTGCAAACAAATTCTGATGAGGGTTCAGTGTACATTAGATGGGACAACCGAACTGTCAGTTCCTGTAATTTGAAACGTCTTTTTTTTTTCTTAAGCTTCCTCTAGTGTTAACCCCTTGTGTTCCTTTAGTAGTTAACCTAGAAAAACTGTCTGAACCCCAACAAAAGAGGAAGGTTAAGTATGCTACATTAAGATACTGTTCATCAATTGTTCGTTCTTTGCGACGATCAAAAATTGTATGATAAATTTATATTTAAATGTATAGAAATGTAATCAAATTTAAATGTATAATTTAAATAGTTGCATCATGCAGCAAAAGTTAACGGAACAAATTAGGTGGTAGGCTGCTATTAACAAAAGCTTAAAGAGGCAATTCAGTTTTAGGTACCGTATTTGTTATTGACTCTTTTTTTTTTTAGGTATTTTCCTTTTTAAATGATACTCAGCCAAGTTTAAGAGGCATAACTAGCCAAAAACACTTTTCTTTTGAAAGGGTGAGATACAACCACTGAGCCAGGCAACGCTTTTAAACATTAAAACGGGGTAGTTCCATGGAGGCTTAATATAAAGAACTGAGCACAGCTAAGGCTTATTTCATAGTAAATAATTAAGTGAATGTTGATTTTGTAACTAACCTGCAAGCGTCAACCAGGATGATGAGTTTGTTCCTCAGAGAAGCATATTTGACAGTCAGGTGGATCTCTCCAAATGAGCCTTTATGATTCCTAATATACCTTTGGATGAAAATGAAGATCCAAGTTACATTTTTATTATCCTTCTCGGTCAGTTCGAAAGTTCAGACTTTTAGAAACAAATCTAAAATCAGGACGTGTATTCACTTTGACAAAAAAAAAAACTTACTCCGGGTAGGATTCTCCGTCTGAGAGGTCTAAACGCGATGATGCAATCGAGTTCTCTGACAGCAGGCTGTGAGAGTCAAACCGGCGCATAGGGGTATTATATGGTGAACTCAGGGTGTCTGTAGCCAAGAATGAGCCACGGCGGTTTGATAAGTAGTTTTCATTTGAGCCATTCAGCGAATCAGCCATTTGGGCTGGTGATGAGGCAGCAGGCGTGTTGTTGGAGGAAACAGCAGCAGAGGAGGGAATGGACGTGGAAATGTGTTCTCCCTGCTTGTTCTGTGGTGTCTGTTGTTTAGCTTGAGAGGGAGAAGGGGGGACGATTTTGGGTGGTGGCTCATCAACAGTAAGAATCTGTTACAGGATGGAGGACAATCTTTTGTTATTGATTTTAAAATGTCACTGCAACAGAGCACATGGAAAAGTTCTCTGAAAATCTAAGACAAAACGGAGAATCTGGCTAACAGAAAAGTTAATTGAAGAATAGGTGTGAAACTCATTGCCCACCCGCAGAGTGGCCTTCAGCTTGATCTGGCTGTTCGCCCCAGAGCGCTCCAACAAGAAACGCTGGTCAAGAATCATGTCCGAAGAGTTGAGGAGGCGACTTAGTGGCAAGTTGAGAACACCCAGCGGAGTTTTCTTTTCATGCTCTTTGACCTGAGCCAGGCAGGGAAAACATTAAAAAACAGTGACTAAATAACTTTTTGATTTCTATTTCTTCCATTTGGTGTTTCGGCATTACAGCTTTAGCTGTCTAAATTCTATAGTTATTTACAGAGCAGCAAGAAAATTTAGCCTTTCTATCATTTTTACAGTCTGGGTTTGTTTTACACTCAGTAATAGTTAGTAACTGATTTATAGGTTAAGCAGAGAGTTTTGGAAACCTTTATTATAATCTTATACAATGTTGAAACTGACTGATACTCCAATATGTAAGAAATGTCAGACAATTAAGTTAACATTACACAGAGATATTATTTGTGATTAACAAATTAGATTTTTCTCTTATTCTGAGAAAGTTTCTTTGTATTCTGTCTAAAAAACAAACCTGAACAAAAAGCTGCTGTGTTTTGACGTTCTGCACGAAGAATGTGAAGCCCTCCTCCCACACGGGGTCTTTAGTTGCAAACACAACCTGTGCAGAAAGAAGACACAGCGCTGAGTGATAGTAACAGCACTTCTGCAGAGGAGTGAAGAAAAGTCCTGACTCGAGTGGGATATCAGAGTAGCTAAAATAAAACAAGAAGAAAGCTTTATTTGACAAAAATTATTGCTGGGCAGTTATCAGCTTTTTTTTAAGGTGCGATTACTTACGTCTGCACATTATTATCCACACGATTTAATAAATGATGTAGCGCTGTATATAACACTTTGGGCCTTTTTTTCAATGAAAAAAAAGGCCAATCATATTTCATTTTAATCTATAAATAATAATGAATGCTGTTACTGCAGTATTATCTTCATATTTCTAAGAAATGTGGACACAACATAATAAAATCGCATAATTTCAAATCAAATGCGATTGATAGAGCAATAACGCACTTTTTGAATTTGAATATTTCAGACTGAAAGTACTTCAATGATAAAAAAAAGTGTTGCAAGATGACTGTTTTTATCCAGCCCACCATCAGGAATAGTTCTTTACTCTATTCTGTGCTCATTAGCTGTTTTCTGTTTAAATTGAGTGGCCCTGATATAAAGGCCATGATTGGTTGAGAACACTGAACGAATAGTGAACATTATTAAATTCTTTCTGTGACCCAGGTATGAAAGTATGTGGATGTATTAATTGCCGGGGAGCAACACCCAAATGTAACTACAGGGAGTGTCAACTAATAGGCGAAATCATTATAAGAACATCACTTACTCAATGACTTTATGCATTAAAGTTACAACAGCCTCCTATTTTTATTGGTAATGGCTACATGTGCACACGCATGTACAAAGACATATGTTAGTGAATAAATCAAAGATAAGAAAAATCAATATATTTTGAAGACACAGCAAAACAGGCCAAAGATGTTATTTTGAAAAGGGTTGGAAAATTACCTTGCTTTTCTGAATGTCCTTGTCAATGGAAAATTCCACCAAAGAGTTTGGACCAGCATTTCTCTTTGTGAGCTGAAAACAAAGCAAGTACAACATTTATTTTACAGTGTTTGTAAACCATTGTGTTTCCTTTCTTAACTCAATATTTCTAAGTCAGTATAACTTGATTCCTTTTATGTCTTCTTTTCATAAAATGATGCTGCGACTTATGCATAAGGCCAAAAACAGTGTGTATATTTGTGTTTAAAAAAAAAACAAATTGAAAAAACTGCAATTTATCTTCCACTCGAACAATACAGCAGACGCCAGTTTGGAAAAAGGATTATTCATGGCTGATTTCTATTAACATCCCATCTAAATTAAACATGATATAAAAATCTGTGTTTTCTCTATAGAATCCGTGCTTCTCCCTCACATCTCAATTTTTATTTAGTCAAAGTACTTCAGCCTTGCAGCCAGCAGAGGGCACTCAATTGTTTCTGTATGAAGTTTATATCTGTAAACTTTAACCTAAAAGTTTGTAAGCAGTTCTGTAATGAATACCATTCACAAAATTAGCTGTGAATTATTAACTGTGTATTTATGTATCTGATTTTACTTTGCATATTTCAATAAATATAGGTCTAAAGCTGGGAATCTCTAAACAAGCCTCAGGTGGAAGAGGAAATTTTGCAACATGGAAACCAGCTGGCAACAACACACCCAAATAAAATGACAGGCATGCACCAGACAAACAGGAAATGCCAGCTACACGCACACAGGGACCACTGCCGGAGTATCTAATCCGACTGAGGCCTTTCGTTGTTGTTTTTTTGTTTTTTATACAATCATCTGAAAATTCAAAGTAATCTTGAGGCATAATCTTAGGTGTTCACATAATAATACACATAATAATCACATTATTGATCATATAAGGTAAATAAAACCTCACATTATTATGTAATATTATTATTCAATATAAAATATATGTAGTTAATAGAAATACTGGGAAAAATAAGCTAACACCATAATTTAGTTGCTTGTTTTTGCACCAACCTCAGCCTCAATAATTTGAAGTAGTTGTTTTCCGTATAGGTTTTCAGCCTATCACATTATTACCGTGGTAACTTGTTTGACAGGTTTGTTGACAGACTGCCAAAGTAGCCATTTAGATTATTTGATTAGCACCACCCAGCACATGATATTTCTTTTATCCCTATGAAAGCACAAAGGGTGGATTTAGTTTTCCATGTAAGATGTTGCTAAATTTTAAGATTTATAAAAAAAATCTCAAGAGAATCTTAAATTTTTTAAGATAGAAAATATCACAACTAACTAAGGGTGTACTTTCTGTTTTCATATGAACTATGCATGTCTTATTTTACTGTGAAAGATGTATTTGTATGTAGCCAAGCATGGGCATAAAACACCTTTGGGTCTTTATTTTTTGTGGTAATGTAGTTCCACTGAAACCTTCATCTCCTTCAACGTTCAACTTTAACCCCTAAATATAAAAAAATGTGATTGTATGGTCTTACCCTTGCCTCCTTTGTGTGTTTCCCATGTTTTTGTTGTGAGGAGAACTCACTGTGGTCTTTCTGGAAACAAGCACAAGAGCAGTCGTTAGGACATTTTAATAAAACCACTTTCTAAATAATTAATGACAATTCCAATTAGGAGGCACTAACTGGTAGGTTGGAGGCATTGTCCAGATAAATGGCAAGCATGGCGCAGGCAAGGCCGTTGTTGGTCTGGAAAGGAGTCATCACGAAATTTAAAAAAACGAAACACAGGCAACATCAATGACAACGCATCTGCTCGGCATTTAAATCATGTTGCCAGTAAACGAGGGAATTCTAATGTAACCACGCAGCTGCTGTACCTCCTTCAGTAAACTGGAGTCTGCCTTCAGGGACAGCCACTGGAGTTTGAGATGAACTTCACCATGCTCAACGTCCTCCAGAGGAAACCACTGCAAGAGTGAGGGAGATATCAACAAGGAATGTACTGAAGAGTCTCATCTTAAACACAAAAATGTCCAAAATATTGACAAACCAGATAGTGATTTCCAGTGGGGCAGGAGGCGTCCACTATAGTCATGAAATCGGTTCTATATTTTTATTGTTAACTCACCTGATCCATTTCTTTCTCCCTCTTCACATCTCCTAAATCAAGGCTATATCTAGAAGAAAAATGCAAAATGAGAACAAATTAACTTTTAAATCAAATACTTATACACTTATTCTGAATTTTAAACATTGTCCTGCACGAAAAGCTATTTTTTACAGTAAAATAATCTATATTTTTTAGGAAGTTAGTGTAAATCTTTTGGCTTTGAAAAGTACAGGAGGGATTTAAACAACTAATTGTGATCAATTACAGTTAAATCATTCTGCCATATTAACACTATATCTATCAAATACACTTATTAAATAGTATTAAGTAGTAATAACTAGTACGTTATTAAATAGTATCTTACGTTCCAAGGAAGTCATCTTTATCTGTGTCTTCATCAAACAAATCCATCTCCAATTCCTGCCCTGGAGCCTCATGGACGACAAACTTCAACAGGGTAAAGAAAAGTTAGATGCTGTTTCATGTCCTGCTCCACTAATCCCCTACATTTAAAATGTGTTTTTTTCTACCAGTAAGTGGGGATCTATGAAAAACATTTTTCCACCTCTCAGCACCTATTCAAAGTCTCCTCTGACTATGCAAAACTGATCCCTTCATAATGTACATAACGGCACAGAAACCAAGCTAATGTAATGACAAGGGATGCTAGCTGTCATTCATTGAGAAGCAGAATCATGTTGCAAACATCCTCAAATTTTCAGAAATGTTTTCAAACTTTAATTTTTGATTGGACACCAAAATAAATGAATAAATAAATAAATTGAAAGCGCATGTTTCTGGGTGTCTGACCTCGCTTCTTTGAGGCAAAAGGTTCTGCTCCACAAATTCAAAGTACATATTCTGTTTCATTTCACTCATATCTAAGTTTATCCTGAACCAGTAATACTACCTCAAATAGTACACCCATCCTATCAGTGCAAACAAAAACTATTCAAGTGGAGCATGCTTTTCTTTCTGTACCTCATACACTTCATTCCATTTTGGTGCCAACGTGTTCTGGATGGTCTTGCTTTTGAACTGCTTGTTGCCAACTCTGAGTAACACGTATGGGTCTGATTTGCCTTTCTTCAATCCCATCATGTATGTGTCCTTGGCCAGCAGGTTTCTGGCCTCCAGCACGTGGACCCTCACTACCCCCTAAAAAGCACAGGAGTCAAACAGGTTCACATGAGCACCATTGTTCTGAGTTATCATCTGCATTTGGGTTAAACAACGGATTAAGAGAGCAATGCAAAATAGCCCTTCAATTATTTATAGGACCTAAAAATCTACAATGCATTCTGTTTTTAAAATATGTCTCATAGCAAATGCGTTCTTCGTCAGTTTTCTAAACTTGCTTATTGTGGCAGGGTTGCAGGGCAACACTCTGACCGATTGTCTCACTTAGAGTAGACAATGTCACTCTGGTTGAGAACACTGTAAAGCTTACTTAAGCTGGGGAATATTGAATTATCCATAAGCACGATTAGATCTTATGCACTGGTAGACTGACTCATCAATCTGATTTAAGTTTTCTGAAACTTCCACTCACAGGATTTCTTATTTGGTATTTGAAAGGTGGTTACGTTGTGACTGACTGGGGTAGGGTGTAAAAGTAGATCTGACAGAAGAATAATGCCATAAACTCTTAGTTGATTTTTTCACAGGATGTACTGGGAGCTGTCTTTAATGTACTGATTGGTTCTAACCACAAAAGTTAATCCTAACGTGTTTGCACACACATATCTGCTCATCTAGTTGGTACGTACAGTACATATGATGTGCTCATGCTTGTTTTTTAATATACCATACCCTGAGAAATCAGCAGGGATTGAATTATAATTGTTAGTGAATTATGACATTATTTTACAATGCAAACTTTTCAAATATCCATGAATAAATCTCAATATAAAACTGTGATATTATGTTTAAGGTAAAATTGGGCATTAACATTACGTGGAACTGTTTAGAATTTCATACATACACGTGGAAGTGGGAACCTCATCTGATCCACTTTGACCTGGTCTATCAGGGGAATACACATGCGGTTAGGCAACACCATGAGGGAGGCAATGATGTCCAAGATGGTTTCCTCAGACAGTGAGCTAAAAAGGGACAGGTCAGATGGGAGGGGATAGCAATCAAACAAATAAGCTGAACAAATAGATTAGATATACAAACAAGAATGTGCTAAACCAAACAAGAAAAACTGGAATTTCTAGGTTACATTCACATTACCAACTATTCTGAACTGAAGTCAACACAGAACATTTCTGATATATGCTTTGCATTAAAAAATTCAAAACATTTGTCCAGCTATGAGGAAGCTAATTGAGAAAACCCGGGAAAAGCTAAATGGCTACCTTTTGTTTTTCTAAAAGCCACCGCCAACAGTATTGTGACGGTGCAGCACACTGATGACAATGCTCAACACACACTTATAAGCAAGAAATGAAGCAAGTATTCAGGCGAGTGTCTTTAGCTGTGTTGTATTGTCAAAGTTTGGATGAATATCTGGTCTATGACCATGGAATTTCTGTGTCCACAGAAGTAAAATATGTATTCCCATCAATGAAGACAAAGAAGATGTGAACCACTCCTGGTTAGGTGAATGTAGACTAACATTCACAGTGCTTTTCTGGAAAGACTAACCTAAAGGCAGGGGTGTCCAGAAGATTGGTCATGCCAGTCCAGTTGATTTGTAAGGTCTAATGGAGAAAAAAAGATTTGGACTTTACAAAAAATATTTAGTTTTACTCATATGTACTCATGCATATACAAGTTATACTCATATATGCTCGCCTTTTTCCCTGTAGGGTAAATCTGTGGGTACTCACTGGGCGGCAAATGAAAAAAAAAGTGACACCTCCAACCAGCGGTGCTTGACCGATGAGAGGCTCCAAAATGACCCTCAGCATGCCCTGCAGCTGGAAGATTAAGGCATTTTCACACAAGATCAGCAGCCATAAAGTAAAACTCAAGGAGAAACCACCCAAAAAAAGCACCAGTTCTCACTTTGAGTCCTTTCACACCAGCTCTGATTGCTGCGTTTATGTTAACATCGATGTCCACGTCACTGTCGTAGCTGCAAAGTAAAAAAAGATGCTGCTCAAGGAACACAGAATGCTTACAATTTCAGTCACATGATCAGTGGAAAACAAAACATGATTATTTAAAAAGTGATGAACGAAAAATGTGCTTTACTGACTCTATGTTCAGGTCCAGAATCACCTCCCTCTGATCCACTTCATGGGTGTAAGATTTGATACCAGTGATCTTGAGAGGCTGAAATGAGGAGTCTCTCATTATTTGATTCTCATATATATGGCTTTCCCAGGTTTACTTCAAACCAATGGCATATACTCATATATGCTTGGTTTGAAATAATGGGACTGAAAATCAAATGAGTGACTAATGGGCAGCAAAGTTACAGAATTAGTGGCAAAATGTCAACTCACTCTGTGGCCGAAGTGGACCTTGGTGAAAGTAAACATTTTGAGCGCTGAGTTGGAAAGCCTGATGGAGGGCTGGATGTTCATTTTCAGGAGCTTCTCCATGTACATCCCAAAGAAAGGCCAGGCCTGCTCTAATACCTAAACACCATAGATACAGGCGGTAAAAAAAAAATTGAATAATGGAAGATTAAAATACTTGACATTTCATTGTATCAGGGCTCACTGGTTGAACTAAATTGACTTTTATTCAAATTTCAGTCTGAGCATTTCTAACAATATTTATTTCCTGGCAGATATTCTTTTAATGATTGTAAAGTCTTACGTGATACATTTCTAGAATTTCTAAAGGTCTCAAAGTTTTCATTGGCTGGCCGTAGCTCATTTTTAGTCCAGTCGTTTCACCTGATCATTTCATTCAGGTAAGTGTGTTTTTATATTTGTTCTGTCACATAACAAAGTCTGCCTGAATCTTTCACGAATAAAAAAAAGCATCTAACTTTAAGGGATGAAGTAATACTGTGTCAACACACAAAGGATAACTTAGCAAAGAACCAATGCTAAATAGCATCCTTTGGCACTTTTGTTTTTTACAGGCACCTTGTCAGAAATATAATATCTTTTTAAAAAATGACAAGATAGTCTGACACAACTGAAATTGAAATTATAAAATTTCAAAGGAGATATTATTAATTATCTCAATTTTTGCACATTGTGTAATATTAAAACAAACTTTTAACAAACTGAACCACACAATTAAGTTATAAGTATAACAACTATATGAATAGTAACTGACAAGCAGAAAGAAATTGTATTAAAGCTGCAACCGAATTATTTCTGTGGAAAGTTGACGTTTGCCAAATGACTCAAAAGCTGGACTGAGTATGAGTGACCAGAACAAAAGGCTGCCAATATCCACCCAAACACTCTGGGGCGTCCTTTAATAGACTGGGAAAACAATTCTAGACCATATAGAGATATTGCAAGAAGGTTTTGATAGAGTTTTGCTGAGGTGTGCTCATCAGCACTGTGGACCTTAAACACACAGTGAGTCAAACATCCACCCAATACTGAACAGACGCAGTGCATCCCCTCAAAAAACCACAAACCTTTAGAGAGCTTTGTTCTTATACTATACCTTGTTAACCCACTGGACTTTCTCAACATCAGGGAATTGTACCTTTAAAGGCATAAAAATAAAAAAATTAACATAAACAATTAAAAAATGAACAAGTAACAACAACATAGTAGCATGCATGATGGAGATGATTAAATATATAATGGGGTAATTAAACAAATTAAGCAACTGTATGAATTACCATCACTCAAATTAAAAGAGAAGAATAATCATAGTGATGCAAAGATTGATGTATCCGATGCAGACCAATTCAGAAAGAAGCCCAGTAGTGCTTGTTTAAGGCTTACCAACACTTCCATGCAGCATCATAGCTGTGAACTGTAACAGAAGGTTTGGATTATGTACTAATGCTGCCAGATGATGGGCCCACCCCTTATCTCAACTTCACCAGACTATAAACAGGAAAAACTTACTCCAGCAGGACACGAGGTGCAGCTTTAGAATGTATGGAAATCAGAAATGGCAAGTGCTTAGGGTCACAAACATTATTAAACCTAGCATGTAGTTTGGAAAAAAACAGGAAGTCTAATAGTCTACTGCCATTAATCTCTCTGACACACCAGTGAAAATCTAATCTGAATTCACATCATTAGACATTATTCGCCTACATTCCTCAGGTCCCATGAGTCACCATGTCCATGTGGGTGTGGTGCAGTCAAATAGGTAGAGGCGAAAGCCTTTGGAAACCTAGCAGGACATTTTAGCTGGCCCCACTTGGTAGGGAAGATGATTTACTGTCATAGCAACACATTCCAAAGCTTGTTTCGGGATGTTTTACACAACTTTGCCTCACAGTCTGACAAAGGGAGTTATTAACACCAAAGACAAACCACACTGCTGACATCAGAGGATGGATACATGTTGAGAAAGTACCGTCAGTGTCTGGTGGTCAGCACCCATACATACCCATGAAGCCATCTGTAAGGTGGCTTTCAGCTCTGTGTTAATAACGCGCGTCTCGTTGTCGACGAAGTCAATCGCGGATCCGATCCGTGCGTCTTTCCACCGGCGATTTTTGTTCCACCATGTGATCATCAGCATGCACAGCAGCACCCAGCTGATGCTGAGGCCCAGGTACCCCGTTAGGTAGACCGGGTAGAAGACGAACACGGCCCGTCCGAAGTAAATCAAGAACTCCATTAGGATGCGGTTGAGGGAAGATGGGCTGAGCTGCTCCGCGCTTCCGGGGATCGACGCACTCTCCCCGGGCCCTGCTCCCAGAGCCGGGCCGCCCGAAGGCGTCTGTGCGGCGGATGCCATCGGACGGTACTCCCCGCTGAGGGGTGGTGGGGGGGCACTCGCTTCCACAACTCCGGGGGGGGGGGGGGGGGGGGGGGGGAAGAAAGAAAGCCGCTGTTCTTGACTTACTCCGGCTTTATTTGTCACACATGCATGAAGAAAAGAGGACGAAACTGCCAAGCTCAGCGGAGGTACGGAGGAGGAAACCCCAGCGAACGCCGTCGCTTCCGCGTCCGAAAAACAGGTACGCACACCTGGGCCCGTGGGTGGGGTAAGCTCCGCAAAACCGAGCTCCACCAATAAGGCATCTAGTTTCAAACTAACTCGAAAGGTGTGCAGTAATGCCATCGAACCTGCATAAGGAGCCCGAGAGCTCGCATTTGAATAAATGGCTGACTCTCCCTATCGTAAACGGCTGGGATTTGTACAGTGGGCCGACAGAGATTTTGAACGCAGCGCACTACCTAACAAGTGTTTGTAAAATCTCTCAAAGCAACCAAGTGACTAATTGTTAAGTTATCGTGACATTTTTTGGGGGTTACCGCAACCACCAGAACTTTTTTTTTGCTTTCACTGGCGTCATCAACTAACAGACGTTGTGTCAATAAAGTTCGTTTTATTGGAAGCCTGAGGATAAAACCGAGAACTGATCAAAGTACAAATATGTGATTATTCACGTCTCATGTTAAGTGTGTCAGCACACTTAACTGACAAAGGTCAGTGAGGATCTCTTCCATAAAGAGTCCCGACTTCCGGGTGTGATGGACATTAGTTTTCTTGGGCTGGACGCATTTAAGTCTTATTGGCCAGTAGCCTCTGACATGATCAGGCCAGCTTCCAGTCCATGTACAGTACATTCCACTGAGATGTGATAAGAAATGTGTGTGCCTGAATGTTGTCCTTGAAGACGTGTATTTAATGTCTCACAAAGAGAAGAGGAATTTTGAAGTACAACCATAGACATAACATGAGTTCAGTGTCTGAGTTTAATTCTTCAAATGAACAAAACCGTTAGTAAATTGCACGAAATCCAGCACTAAATCTAGTAATAAAGTAAGACAAAGTAAAACTATGAGCCAATCCTAACAGTTGCTACAGTATTTGGATGAGTTTTTTTTCCTGATTCTGCTAATGTGTCGTGCCCCGTTTCCTAACCCTTCACTCTTTATACTTCATAACATATCTTTATTTTCATCACTTTTTGGCCTCATAGGCCCAACTGGAGGAAACCCTTATGACAGAGAGTTCCCACCTGATGATCCCCAAGGCATGTGGGTGAGCAGTGCTCATTGCCCTGTATAGGGACCATAGACTAACTGTTACATTTAGGGAAATATTCAGTGAGTCTGGTCCATTTGTTTGTAGCATAAGTTTCTTGTTTTTAATTTTAATAACATCCCAAATAAATAATGTTTTTTGTGGAGGGAAAAAGAAAGAGATTTAAGGGTGGGCCTTGGGACTTTTTGTCATTGGCAAAAACTTTTTCTGCCATCCAGTGAATGCGGCAGAAACTAGTCACTAGACATCAGATATGAGGAAGTAGGGATTTAAGACATTATAATGAGATATTATTTTTTTTTAAATGTACCTTGGAAAATGGGCATTATTGAGAAATATTCAAAATTATCTATCACATATGTGGTATTGAAATAATTCGATAGTAAGTATTATGAATATGTGATATAATTTCATTGGAATTTTGTCATTCTAAGTAAATTTGACTCAACAATCTGGTTGCTGTGAAAAAAATGTCATGCTTTATCATTTCTGAGTGTTTTAAATCATCAGAAAATGAATAATTCACTTTTCAAATGCACTTGAAACATTCTGTTGTCTTTAAGTCAATTTAACTTCCATATTGTTGCTTGAAAATGCTGTTGATGGGTTAATACTTTGTGATATACCTATCTGTGACAATACATCATCATTTATGCTTGTGATCCAAGCTATAGTTAAACTCATTAATACCTCCTGCTGTTTCTACACAAAAATGAGTCATGATTTGATAATAATTATAATGATAATAAGACATTTTATTTGAAGGCGCCTTTATCGACACTCAAGGACACAGTTCAAAGATACACAATAATGCATTAAGAGAACAACAATAAAAATCATCCATCCATCATCATAACCGCTTATTCCCTAATGGGGTCGCGGGGGGACTGGAGCCTATCCCAGTAGTCAATGGACGAGAGGCGGGGTACACCCTGGACAGTCCGCCAGTCCATCACAGGGTCACACAGAGGCACACAAAGACGAACAACCACTCACACTCACTCCTATACCAGCTTCTAGATCACATTTTCATGCATTTTAAAGTAGATTTACAGTTTTCACCCATTACAATAGTATCCAGCTTTATTTGGAATATGTTGCAACCCTGAAAAGTATATATGTTTGTGCATTTACTAAAAAAAATTATGTAAATAAAACAAATATCTTTGGTTATGTACAATTATATAAAGGTCAATGGTTTTGCTTAAAATCTTTCTGATTTGATAACTTTACATGGTGTGGAAGTTACGGAAGACCTAAAGAGTCTGGTGGTCCAGGTTTGTTAAGCAACCAAAATCATACAATAGCTTTTCTTTTAACATTAAAAACAAAAGAGCTCATTATTCCCAGTAGTTGCTTTTTAAAAAAAAAAAGACTTATTAAAATGCACCACTTTTAGTCTGAGTGATTTGTCAATTGTCACTAGCTTGTCGACATTTGAAATGACCGTTTTCTTTTTTTTCATCTATCCGTCCATCCTTTATCAGCCACTTAAGATGGATCCAACATGGGTGCAGCAGCCCAAGCAGGTCACCCAGGAGGTCTAGGAAGCATCCTAATCAGATGCCCGAGCCACCTCAAGTGGCTTCTCTCGACAGGTTCTACCCTGAGCCCCTACTGGCTGACTGAGCTTCTCACCCTATCTCTAAGGAAGAGCCCGGTCACCCTGCGTAGGAAACCCATATCGGCCACTGTTGTCTGTAATCTCGTTCTTTCGGTCACTTCCCAAAGTTCTCAGCTCTCTATTCACTACAACAGAACCTTCAAACTCCACCTCTTGGGGAAGGACATCGCCTTGGCCCAGAGGAGGCACTCTACGCTCCCGTGCAAGACCATGTCCCGCGGATTTGGAGGCACTGATCCTCATCCCGGCTGCTTCATACTCAGCTACGAACCACTCCAGCGAGAGCTGTAGATCACGACCCGATGAATCCAATAGAACCACATCGTCTGCAAAAAGCAGAGATGAAACCCTGAGGCTACCAAGGCGGACATCTTTAACACCTTGGCTGTGTCTAGAAATTCTATCCATGAAAGTTATAGAAAGAATCGGTGGCAAAAGGCAACCTTGGTGGAGTCCAACTCTCACCGTAAACGACTCCCATGCGGACCAAGCTAGGGCACATGTCGCACCGGGACATAACGGCCTGTATCAAAGAGCCTGGTATCCCATAATCCCGGAGCACATCGGCAACCACCTGGCCACTTAAATACCCATAGGCCAAGTACCACTGGCCAGAAAGGCCCGATAAAACTCCTTCTTCAGCCTGAAAGTATTCGGCACTGCCAGTGTCGATCAATTGTGCGACAGCTTAGGGTGTCCTGGTACCAAGAGCAGAAATGGACACCCTTATGCTTGAACAATCTATACATCTTTTAACTGATAATTAACTTTGGGAATGTATTCTCATAACTTAAGGCAGGACTATAATCTAATTAATTATTGTACTTGTATTTAATTTTTTTTTTCTGAAGATTTAAATTCAGTAACTTACTTGGTAATGAAACTAGATCAAGAAGTGAGATATACAATATATGTGTTGCTCCAAGACAAGAAGATAAGTGTGTATCAGAAAGTGATGTAAATAAACCATTCAACACTACTATTAGTAAATTTATTACCAAGGCTTTTTTTGTTGTACAGAAACAGCATTAAATCATCAGTTTTACTTTCATATTAAGAGATAATGATCAGATCTAAAAAAAAAAATATAGAAATGCTGCTGTTATCAATTTTTTGTTTTTCTAACCAAGCAAGTAACTCTCAGGAGTAATGAACAGTCATGTTTACCATTGCTCCAGAGTGCAATCGTAAAACTTTGTCTTCTTTTTTTCTGTCCAATATAATTACATAATCAAACTATAAAGTGCTTTCTGGGACATTTGCAAGGATCTATGTGAGTCCAATCCAATTACATAATCAAACTATAAAGTGCTTTCTGGGAAATTTGCAAGGATCTATGTGAGTCTGACGATTAAATGCTTAACATGAAACGTTTAAAAACTTGACAGGCAAACATGCCATCAAACAAAATAAAAGTACATTTAGCAAAAAGTTACCAAATCATGGAAATCACTGTGAGATCAGCTTTTCTTATTTGAATGTAATCAGGTATTCTGGATAGGCCTGGGTGTCATGGAAGATCACAAACATGCTGGGTGTTCCCATTTGATCCACAACGCTGTCATACATTTCATTGGGGTTGCTCCCTTTGGAGGGAGGTGCTATCATGTTGGCTTGTCCGACTGTGAAGTCCCCGGTCAGCACACGGCAGAGGTACATGAACTTCTCTCCTTTTTGGTTGGGTCTAGAGTATGTATCACTGGAAGAGTAACTGGCCTGGACAGCGAAATAAGAGCCGTTGCCATAACAAGCAGCTGAAAATAGAACAAAGAGAGATTCAAAAAGTTGACCTGAAACAGTGCAAAGTTTTCATTATTGGACTTCTTTTTTTTACGTCAATAAAAAATGACAAACTTTTAAATGTGCATAGACCAATCAATTAGGTTGTGGCTCTCATAAAAAGTAATTTAATACATTTCATTTATCATCTCTGATAAATGTTGACTAGCCCTACATCTAAACTTTTAGAATGAGGCTTTATACTAGGAAAGCAGTGATTCAAAATCATATGCAATTGTGTAATTGTGGCTTCAAAAACTCAAATCAAACTGGAGCCAGGAGCTCTGATTTAGGTTGCTTCTACGGCCTGCTCTCTGCACAACACCTTTATGGGAACAGTAACATGGCATGCATCTCACCATTCTTTCCAGCATAACTCCTGTTGAAGCCGCGGTCATTAATGATTGGCACCGTGTTTTCAGCAGTCCCATGGAAGAGGAGCCTTTCATTGTTTTGATGACCATTCCTCACCTCCATCTCTTCCTTCTTAATCTGAAGGCTCTTCCACAACCCAGGGTTCTGAACTCTCTCAATCTAAGATGCAGAAAATACAATTTTTTTTTTGCATTTTGGTTTAGGATTTATTTGTATGCCTTTGTCTAGGAACACATCTAACCCTAACAAATATGTCGAAGCTGAAGTAGAAAATGTTTACAATGGTTGGCATCTGCAAGCACTTCAAAAGACATCAGTCAATATAATTTGATATGGAAAAAACAAGCATGTTACCTTGGAGACAGTTCGATTGCATGTGGCTCTGAATAGATTAAGGACTTTAGTGTGCTCTGGAGTCCCAGTCTGGACTGCCACAGTTACACAGGTGGTGTTAGGTGGCATGAACTCCCAGTCATCAGGAATATCTCCACCTTGTAGTGAATTGACCAGATTTTGCATTAACATTTTTTGGCATAAGTGTGGCCTACAAAATCACTACCTATCCACATCTGCATGTGAAATACCTTTTAATTTGTCGATTCGCCTTGTCTGAAGGACTTGTCCCTGGCTGTCAGTAGCTACTCCACTTGAAATGTCCACATTGTAGTCTTTGCCCTGGATGGTAACTTTTACTTGTGGTTGAGACTTCTCCATCGCTTGCTCCAGCAGGTAGTTGGTCTCTTTATCGAAACTCTTAAATGGAAGTCCGCCCTGCCTATACTGCCAATCTGCCTTATCGCTTGCCTGCTCCAAATTCTTCATCAGCTCCTGCTCATCCTTCACCTTCCTCAACGTATCATCAATCTCACGGCTAGCACGGAGCACATCCCTGCTGAACCCTTCGATGATAATCGAGGCTTTCTCATCCTTGAACTCAGTTCTTAGGCTAACTGGCATGTTGTCTTGGATATCAGAAATACGCTTCCTGTCTGAAGGAGAGAGGTTTAAGATAGCGCTGTCTGTAATGACAGCACTGCTTTGTTCTTGGGAAACCAGGTCAGTTATCCACTTTTTAGCTGCATCTGTATTAGCTTGTGAGTCACTGCAGATATGGAAGCAAGCAGGGGCCACCTGGGGAGGGACAATGACAAATTCCTCTTCTTTTGTCTTGTCAGTACTTTCACCAACAAAAAGAGCTGAAAGAATGAAGTGCAAAATATATATTAGAATTTCAATTGACAGCTAATAACTGGTAAAGGTCTGCATATAAAAATACAGACAGACATATATGTGTGCCTCTGCATAGATAGCAATAACATACTCACATTTGACTTTGTTGCCGATGTTTGTCCAGAAGCCAACTTTATCTTTCTGGTCGGTGGATTCCCTTTGTTTCATGCTGCTGTAGAAGTCATTTAGCATATTTTGCTGGAAAATGATGATCCTGATTTTTGTCAGGGTGCAGGAAGTGCTCTGGCTCAACATATCGATCATTGCGTCCAACATGGAATCTGCCACCAGTTTAGCCTGTGCATTTCCTTGACCTTAAAATGTACAGTCAATGAAAAATGTTTACTCGTTTAAGAGTCGCACAAGAGAAGCTGAATCAGAAGTTTAGCATCTATAAATATCCCCTTATCTGAATATTTAACTGTTTATATGCAGAGGAAAAATACCCTTATCGACATCCACACTTGCTTTAGTAATAAATACTAAAGGTCTAAATACTACTAATCTTTTGGTAAGTCTCACCTGTGCCAATGGCAGGAAACGACACTGAAGTGTGGGAGTTATTTGCACACATCTGTAGTGCATCCTTCACAGCTTTTTTAATTTTTACTGGGTCAGTCTGTCCAACCAGGTGCAGGATCTTCTTACACTGTAGGTTACCGGGTTTGGTCATGATCATGCCAGGGTTGGGCTCACAACCTAAAGGTGTAGAGAGTGAATCTGAATACGTTTAAACTATGACAACAATTTTCTTTTCTGGAAAATAAACTGAACTGAATATCATTGAATATGGATGTGCTATGGTTAGGATCAATGCTGAAGGTTTTCCTACCAAGGTTTTTGCTCTCTTGTTCAACAGCCTGACCAGCTGCTTCCAGAATAGCCTTGGACACTCCTGTGGGACAACAAATAGCACAACTATCAATTCATAGGATGATGATGCTGTGGATTATTTAAAGGACGCTAGTAAAAGATTTTCAGCAATATTAATAATTTAATTTAATTAAACCTTTTATGGATAATCTTACAAATTGCTATGCCGCATCAATCAAATATTTCAGTCCTGCAATAATATACCTGACTTGAGGGTAAATTTGTCATTGGAAGAGTTGACAATGACATCAGTAGTCTCCTTAGTTATGTCTCCTGTTGCTACCTGCACAGTTACATTTCCGATTTTAGTCTCATGCATTCCGGAGACAGAGACAACTTTAGAGAAGGGGCCTGTAAGCAAAGGACAGAAATAAATGACAATGACAAGATGGGTGATGCTTTTACATGTTGTAGCTGACTGAAAAAATAAACGTATAAAGCCTGTTATAGAAAACTGAATATTTTCCTAGTATGTATGTAAATGCATTTGAATATTTCCCTCATACTACAGTTACTTATACTTCAATTAACCAAATCTATAGATAATAATTTCCCATTTGAACTGGACTCATTCCAGTGTTGCCTACCTGTACTTTGTGGTAAAGTTCTGGACAACAAAGCACCAGAACCACTGGGGCACTTCTTCGTAAATTCATCAGTAAATTCCTGGGAACAAAAGTTTATAGATATCTTTAAAAAAGTAACGTAAACAACTTTTCCACTCAAGAGCATATTATATATTGGGATCCTCAATAAAAGACTCATTTTAGCAAACATCTTAGCAACAACAGACATGTTTGTGGAAGAGTGCAGTTCCAAGAGATAGTAGGCCTCGGAGATGCACTGAGATGCTGGGTGAGTTGTTATTGAAGGGTGTTGATCTGTGATTTCCATTTTGCTAAGAAAATGAAAGCTTAGCACTACTAACACGAAAAGCACTGCAGCTGTTGTAATCCGTTCTCACCTGAATAGTCTTAGTATCACCAGGATAAAGGACGATGTAAACTCTCTTCAGATGGTTTGTTTGTCTTTGGTTGCTAAACTCAAAGATTTGATCCAAAATCAAGGAAGCCACAAGGTCTTTCGGAAAAGCCAGGTTTCCGGTGCCAATGGCTGGGAAAGATATGGAGGCCACACGAGTATCCTCGGCCAGTGCCAGACAATCCTTGAAGATTCCCCTTAAGATCTGGAAAAAGTAAGCATAAATAATACCCAAGCGAAACCTATTTGAAGGCAACAAATACAATACATATTCACAATAAGACTGATGTTTTTCGTTCTTGATATGTAAATTATAATATTTTAAGGACAACGCATATTCAGGTGTGCACTTTGACACATATTGTACATGTCATACTTTACCTTTTCAGCTGTGCCTTGGCCATTGTCCCAGCTTGGAGCAATTGTATGAAATACTGATTTGCTCTTCAGTTTGCAACCACCAGTAACAATGACCTCTCCAAGTATTCCACTGGGATTCTGGCTATCTACTAGCTTCTGAAGCTTGGATCCAGCTGCTATCAAGATGGCCTTTGAAACTGCCCCCTTGCTGAGGTCTAGATCTTCAGCGATAGTGTTTACAATTACATCTGTCTGAAAATGTGATGACAGATCATTATCAGTTCTATTATAATACAACACATTTAGCAGTGACTGAAAAGACAAGAATCATTGCTGTAGGATTTAGTGAGGGGTAAAAAATATCATCCTGATGCATTTTACCTATTTTGTCAAACAGTCCATCCACTTTGTTAAGGTTTCATTGTAGTCCAACGACTCACATCTCACTGTGACAGTATACCATTCTTACTGTTCTCTCAGAGCCTCAGTGTTTGAGTGGAGAACTTGTCATTTACTCAATTAACAATATGAAGCAACAACTATAGTAAACTACAGTAATGACTTGTGTCAAATCAGACAACAGCATGTTAAAAATGGATAGGAATGAAAGCATCGTCAGTATAAAATGTTTGTACAGGTCTCTGTTTATTACCTTGACAGCCTCAATATTTCCTTTTGTGAGAAGAATTTCCAAGCCCTCTTTGGTCTTTATGTGGCACAGATAGGGGTTAGATGCAACAGGCTTTACCAGTGGAGGCCTGGTAACTTTGGGAGAGGAAGATTGTTGAGGATAACTAACACCCTGGTTTCCAAACTCCTGCCTGACAGCTGTCTCCATAGCCTTAACAACATTGTCATCACTGTCCACAAAATGGATCTTTTTAAAGGTGTTATCAGACATCTCATCTAAGTGTTCCTTCACCGCGTGGATGATGGTTGTGGTGCATAGCATGAGGGGAAAACCTTGATTTTTGCTAATGGCAGGAATAGCAACAGAAACGCAGCCAGTCATTTCAGAAAGTCTTAAGCTTTCCCTGACAGCTCTTCTCAGCTGAGCCTCCTTCTTCTTGGGATTAGCTGAGTCAAAAGCTGGTCCTACGGTATGGATGACTTTTTTGCAATGAAGCTGCCCACCAGCTTCAGTAACAACACAATCTCCAGGTTTGAGATTTCCTCTTGAGGAGACCACGTGGTCACATTCATCCTGCATCTGAGGGCCAGCTGCTTTCGAAATTGCTTTTGCAAGGCCTGAGTCGAGTTTCAAGTCTGACGTAGCGGAATTAACTACTGCTTGTATGGGGTAACTGCACATATCTGCTTTGCAAACTGCGACTTCCACTCCATCAGATGTCTGAACCTGGTATACAGGTTTTTGTACTTGTCCATAGTGATCTTGTCCACCACCAGCCTCATCGACCAGTTGGACCAGGCAACCAGTTTCATTCTTCAGTGAGTTTGCATACATGGCTTCTTTGGACTGGAAGAACTTCTTCACTCCGGGCATGGATAACTTTAACTTATCAAAGTACACAGACGAGACCAACTTTTGGGCCAAGATTTTGCTCTCTTTCACAGCAGCTCTTGAGCCACTCAGAAGGATAGCCTCTTTTTTGAAAGTCACCTTCACCTTGTCTTCCAGTTGTTTCAACAAAGATGGGTTGAGAATATGAAGGTATTCAGTAATGACGCTTGACTGGACAGAAATGGCTTCTTCAACGGAAGCATTCTGTGTTAAGAAGTCATCAAGTTCGCTGCTTACGTTTAAGACGTTGTCCTTGTGACCAGACACAACAACTTGCTGAGAAATGGTTTGGATCTGAGCTCTTCTCCAAGACTCCGTGTTGGCCTTCTCCAAATGACTGACCAAGTGCTGCCACTCTGGCTTTTCTAGAACACCAATATCTTCAACATTAATGTACTGGGATAGCAGCATCTTGCTCAGATGTTCTTGAGCTTTCATGAGGTCTTTGTTAGAAATGGCAACGAGTTGCACGCTGTATGAGCAGGTCTCCAATGCTGCATTTATACCAGAAGATGTGAGGAGGGCATCTGTGAGCTCTTCCTGCTGTTCATGCATCAACAGGTCTAAAATGAACTTATCCACTTCCAAGTTCTGACGTTTCAATGCATACATTTCGTCGTGCAGAACTTTGCTTGCTGAAATAATCTCTTCAACTAATCCTGTTACTTGCAGAACTGCTCTGACCTTGTCATATGACATTTTGAGTTCTGGACAGAGATGGAGAATTTTATCCATAAGTCCATCTTGACACAAGATGTGGAAAATTGATGGATATACTTTGATCTCTTGGGTTTTACTCAATTTATCTCTCTGAATCCTTTGCTCAATCTTGCTAAGAACTTCAGAAACAGTTTTCTCTAATCTGTTCACATCACTTGCCTGGCCAGCTACAGATAGGACCCAACTGGCCATATCAGGTACAACAACTACATTCTCATTCAGTAGTGTCTGCCTGATCTCTTTCTCAGCCTCCTCCCATTGCTCTGATGCTAGCTTTAATTTCAGGGACTTGAATCTGGACAATGCTTGTGCAAAAGCTGATTTGACAGTATTTGCCCACCCTTTGATGATGACTTGGGCATCCTTTTGCTTTAGAAGTTCAGAAATGGGTTTCAAAAGCACTGTAGGCTGGTCAAGTTTTACATTACAAAAGTGTTTTGCCAAATCAGTATGGATGGACTCTGCGGCATCTTGATTTTTAGTTAGGTATGTCCAGACGGCATTGTCAACAGACTCGGAGACAGCTGCAGGTAGTTTTGGTTTGGGTTTGTCTTTGCCATAGAGGGCTACTCCCAAAGACTTGTAAAATGGATAGACTCTGATCTCTTTCTGTTTGAGGCAATGCTTCTTCTTTATCACTTTCTTAACCGCTATGAGAAAGGAAAAAAAGTGTCATAATGTATTCGTTTAGACTTTAAATATAGCAAGTGTGTCTGCATCCAAAATGCAGTCTAAATAACATACCTCTTTGGTCTTTAAATGTAATGACAGCAGACTGTTCTTCGTCATTGAGTGTACAATCTTCCACATCACCTCCTTCACGATCAAAGTACATCTGAAGTATGTCTGCATTAATGTCTTGAATGTCTTCAACAGCTACTTGTTCTGTAACTTCTAGAGGTCGGATCAATAATTCCTTCTTTGTAAACATCCTGTTTTCAGGGCATTTTGCTATGAAGTAAGTGCTTGCTGTGAAACAGTAAGAAGGTAAAGCATGGGTTGAGCTGCTTTTAAACATCCATTATACCAGCATATAAAACTCTTTAAGAGGGTACCTTTTACACTTTGGAGAGTCACAACAGCAGATGAAAGGTGAGGAATCATTTCCAAAACGTAGTCCTGGGATGAAGAGCTGACCTCCCTTAACACATTCTCCACGAGCATCTCCAAAAACTCCTGATTTACATCATCTGGAATATTCTCTAAAACCGCTGAAGTGGAACACAGCTCCTCATCTGCAGGATCACCATCACTGCTTTTTGTTTCTATCTGAACCTTATCTGTCTGGCTCTGTTCAAGTTTTTTGGCTTGTGCAATGTCTTCTGTTTGTGAAAAAAAGAAAAGTAAATTAGTAATAACTGAAAAAATCCTAGCACAAAATAGCTCAGCTAGCAATGGTGAAAATTCCAAATCATTTATGATGTCAATAAAAAAATCGCTTTTTACTCCTGCTAAATTTCCACACTGTGACAGAAGTGTATTCTTGCTTGTCAGTGCTTTGTAGAATTGAAACGTGGGATTTTATGAATTAAAGGGTTTGTTATGTGTCTAAAAACAAGATCATAGATTCCTGACAACGCCTCAAGGGGGCTGAACTCTACAGACTCAGCAGAGGTTAAACTGAAAGCAAAATAACTTTTTTTAAAACTATTTTTATTTTCCAACATACTTGACTAAAACAATAGGATGAAGAATCATGGATAAAAACTGTCCTTTAAAGTGTGCAATGGGCCTGAATAGAGACCACTGAATAAAATGCTATATTTTATTTTGTCACTTTGTACTTACGCTTCTTTTTTCCTTGTTCAGATGAATCTTCCTGTATGGGTAAAAAACAAACAAACGTATCTTTGTTTTAAAAAGATATAGAGTCGGACACAGGATCAAAAAACAGCCATTAGTGGTCTAACCTCACTTTGGTTTTATAACCTTTAAAACACACTCGGCTCAGGATTCACAGATCACGTGACTATTAGGAAACAGTGCGGGGCCTCTGATTCCTAAAGGCAGCCTTCCTTTTTTTAACACACTCATAATTTAGCCACTAAGACGTTGAACACATGAGAAGTGTGATCACTCGGAACAGAAAAGCATCTTAATGTGCCCTGAATTACTGACGTCAGATTTTCATTTTGGGTATCAGTATTAAATGCAGACACATGATGGTTCCCTCCATTAAAAATATGAGAACGTTTATACTTTGCACTCACAGGACAATCAGCCATAAAGGGCACAAATCTATACCTGATTTTGGGGTCGACTTTATTTGCTGCTCTTACCTTTGTCGATTTTCTCTCCTCCGAGGGAATTCGAACTGTCATTCTCAAAATGCCTTTTTCCAAAGGGATCTGGTGCTCCTTTTTCGCCAAGACATTTCTCTGGTCTGCAAAAACAAAAGACGGCTTTATACCACCCTACGCGGGGAACAGACTTAGTTAAAGTTTGTTCTAATAGAACCTGAGCTGAGGTGCGCTCTCACCCTCCTCTCTGCGGAAGCGCAGGACGGCCGTTGCGCCATTCTCATAGTCCACTTCACAGTCCCCTCCGCTGGATTTCTTACTCTGAAAGTATTTCACTAACTTAGTTTTTAATCTCGGTATGTTGGTTTCTTCGAGGTCAACGAGCAGGGCGTGTGAGTACGCGTCCGCCATCATCGCAAACCTAACTCGCTCTGACTGAGGGCACTTTCACTTTTGTTTCTTCTGAATCGCTGTCGGCGGACCCGAAATTAGATGTAAGGAGAGAATGGGGTTGTGTCAAAGACATTAATGGAATCTTGGCAAGCTTTTGGGGCACTTTGGAACACCACACCCTGTTCGTTTAGCTCGCATACTTTCTGTTTCTCACTCGGTACTTTCCAGACTTCGACGGGTGAGTGTTTCTGCTCGCTTTTGTACTTCACTCGGCCACTTTTTAAACAAAAAGATTCTCCCTTGCAATATCAGCTCCGAGTTTGCGTTCAACTGAGATGAAAAGGCATTTATGTGTCGGAGTTTTCGTCGTAAATCCTCGTGCTTTGTTGTCTCGTGCGCGTGTCGTGTTGGGTTGCGCGGAGTTGCAAGAATTGCTCGAATGGCATTAAAATCAGCAAAGAGGGAGGATGGGGGGAATTCATATGCACCGACGTATTCTGAAACGTTTACAGGGTCGGTTATCATGCGCGTGTTCACATACGCGTGCATTTTACGTTCAACGTGAACTGGTCTGCGTGTTAAAGCTCATTATTGGTCAAATATTGACACAACCCGGTTTTAATATCTGGCGTGACTAGAGACTTACTTTATTGCACTGGTTATTTTTACCCAGCAAACATATGTATAAAACTTTGATGAATGAAGCTTGTATTTGGAGCAGGCAACTCTTATCAAGTCTTTATTTAGTTGTCTCTGCCTCCCTCTACTGGACTATCATCAAACCGACTTTGACATCTGAAAGGGAAATGCCAGTCATTTTCCAGCATCTAGTTGAGGGTTTTAACCTCAGAAAACGACGAAAAAGTGACGAAAGAATTCATAATCAAATTGCAGGGCTTCTCAGCGCAAAATCTGTGATCGTTTCGTTTTTAGTGTTCTTATAAACCAGTGATTTGGTATATTTTTATGTGTAGTACATGTCTGGCCATGCGTTATATCACTGTCCCCCATTTTGATTTATGAACAATGTCGAGAATCCTCTAGTTCCGCACTTCTCAAATACAGTCTAACACAGGGGAACGCGTTTCTTTCTTTCTTTTCTCATTTAAAAATGTTTTTGTTTTGTTTTTTGCCGTAATAGAATAAACTGCGATTGCACTTCCACATCGGTAGGTGGCAGTGGCGCTCCGATTGTCGAAGGGAGCATAACCGCTGTGTAAATTGATCTTTATTTCTTTTGTTATTTTCCTAAATGTAAAAAGGGGTTGTTGTTTTTTACCAGTTTCACTGATAAATGATCATATTTAAAAGACGGAGTGTGTCTTTTTCCTTGTGGGGGCGTAACAGAAAGTATTTAAAACCACTGCTCTTGTTTGACACATAACTACGGCACTTACCTGTCACATTGTTTGCCCCCTGCCTCAACCTAAAGTCTGAAGTTTTTTTCTGCTAAGGGTTTTCCGTGGTATGCGATATGTTGTATCCCACTTCCTTGTTATTCACTGCTAAACTCACTGTGTTATGCTTCCATAGGTCCTCCAGGAAACCATGGAAAGTAAATTAGATATCCCTCTTCAGCGATCGTCTCTCCCTATTGTGAAAAAATATGCACAACCTCTCAGTGATATCCTTAACACCAAATTTGATTGTGTGGCCACCTTTCATGGGGTGGATTTTGAGCAGGACCGGGGCATCGTGAAGCACAGGGGGCCAGCTGCTGCCCCAGAGAAAAGAGTGTCTGTCACCCTACATGCAGGTGTTAAGGTTTCTGTGTGGAAGGCTGATCTCACCAATTTCCAAGTGGACGCTGTGGTGAACGCAGCTAACAGCGGTCTTCAGCACCATGGAGGTCTTGCACAAGCTCTGTCTGCTGCTGGTGGTCTAACAGTCCAAACAGAAAGTGATTATTATGTTAAGAGATTTGGTCCCCTGCAAACAGGAGAAGCAGTTGTCCTTGATGCAGGGAACCTACCATGCAAGAAGATAATCCACGTTGTGGGTCCTGAGCTGTCACAGAATCCTAGCAAAAGTGAAGTGTCATATGCTGAACCACTGTTGAAAAAAGCCATATGCAGCATTCTCGACAGAGTTAAAGAATGCAAATTGTCAACTGTTGCCATTCCAGCTATAAGCTCTGGATTGTTCCACTTCCCACTGCCTTTATGTGCAAAGACCATAGTTTCAACTGTGAGAAGTTTTTATGAAAACATTTCACACAAATATCTTCCCAAAGAGATTTTCCTTGTGAACAATGACGAGCCCACAGTGAAGGAAATTGAGAAAGCGTTCTATCACATAATGGCCCCAGACAGACCCAGACCTTTCAGCCCCACAATGGCACTCACAACCACAGCTGTTCCCAGAAGCTCATCACCTATCATCCGCATGGGAAATGTCCACGTGACACTGAAGAAGGATAGTATTGAAGAACAAGAGGTGAGACCCGAAACACATTATTTACGTTGAAATGTACCCTGAGGTATTGTAACAATAGCTGTCCTATTTTTTGTGCTCTCACAGACAGATGTTATCGTAAACACTGCATCACCAGAGAGTGATCTAAGTTCAGGTCAAATTTCCAGTGCTATATTGAAGAAAGCTGGTTATGAATTGCAGAACGAAATAAAGTGGGCCCGGAAGAAGGGGTATGTTGTCCCCACAAAGGCCTACAACCTAAACTGTAAAGAGGTATATCACACTTTCTGTGTTAACAGAACACAGCAGAATGCACAGAAGGTAAAGTATGACTCTGCAATCATGTGTTGTCTGATATATTTAAAACTAAGGAAATCCTTTTAGACAGAATTTTCACTTTTTTGTAGTTTGCTAGATTAAGTGCTCAGATTTTAAACACATTTATTGTTTGATAATCAAATAAATTGTTGCATTAAGTAAAGGTGATTGTGAGGATGTTTTTTAAAAATAAAAATGTACAACTTAAAGTACTGAAGTCATTTAATCTTTGTGTTTTTTTTTCTTAATCATTACAGATTCTTTTAGATTCACTGAAAGAATGCCTCTACAGGGCTGATGCAAGTCAGTATAAGTCTATTGCTTTTCCTGCAATCGGCACTGGAAACCTCGGGTTCTCCAAAGCAGAAGTTGCCAAAATGATGCTGGATGTAGTGCTTGACTTCAGCCAGTATCACCAAAGCAGCATGACTGTTCACATTATCATATTTCCCTCTGACCATCAAACATTTCAGGTTAAGTTTAAAATGCACATTATTTTCCTTATTATCCTAAGCAAGACATGTATGGTTTCATATTTGAATAAGCACACTTAGTGCTGAAGTAGCTTTAACAATTAATGACAGGTGTTAACTTGCTCAGGAATGTTAACCTGCTTAGCCAGTTTGACCAGTTCTACATATTCTCTTCTTATCTTTCCAGGCCTTTGAGAAAGAAATGAGATCTTACCAGCCAAATATATCGAGCTTGAGCCTTGCACCAGGTAATAATAAAATAATGCATTAAAAGAATATTTTAACATATATTCATAGAAACTGGATGATGATGTAACTTGATAGTAGAATAGTAGAATTTCCCTTAAAGCGTATTTGATGATCTTTTATTACATCACACTATATTTTGTGTCCACTGTTGGACACAAAAGGGGGCACGGTGTTGTGTGGTGGTTTGCACCGTTGCCTTAGCAAGAAGGTTCTGGGTTCGAGTCCCGAGAGACCCAGGACCACAGACAGGTCCTGTGTGGAGTTTGCATGTTCTCCCTCTGTCTCCGGGTTCTCTGGCTTCTTCCCACAGTCCAAAAACCTGCATGTTAGGTTGATTGGACATTCCAAATTGCCCTTAGGAGTGAATGTGAGTGTACGTGGTTGTTCCCTGTGATGGATTGGCGGACTGTCCAGGGTGTACCACGCCTCTCGCCCATTGAACACTGGAAAAGGCTCCAGTTCTCCCCCGACTCCATTAGGGAATAAGCGGTTACGATAGTGGATGGAGACAGTCGGAAATCTTGTAAGGAAATCATAAAAGTATGGAGAATGAAAGCTCAAGTGTCTGAAAACTTTCATAAATCTTTTTTAAAAAATGAAAAAAAAACTGAATGGTAACATTATGTAACTTCTTTAAAAATGTCAGTGTCAAATAGTTTAACGTCTGCATATTCTCTCACCTGTAATCCATCATTTCAGCTGTCACTCCACAAATCTTCAAACATCTCTCTGAAAATTCAAATTGGCTGAAAAATATTTACATTTCTGCATAAAGCTAGAGCTTTGTACAATACATTTTAAGTTCAGAAGTGATTTTGAGCTGTTTTTTTCTCCCAACAGCAGCAGCAGTGGACAGAATGGACACCAGCAGAACTTCCGCTCCACATATCAGCCTGCTTAGCCAGTCTGGAGAATCAGCAGCAGAGGCTGAGAGATGGCTCACTGGCCTCTTTACCTCCACCCACTTTGATATCTGCAACAACCTCATCCTGCACTTTGGCGAGAAAGAGCATCAGCAGCTCGCTCGCTTAACCCAAACAGGGGTCGCCATTGAGGAGTTTTTCACACAGGGACATGCATGCATAACTATAAAGGGGCATTCACAGGAAGAGGCAGCCAATGCTGTGTTGCAGGTAGAGGCCATGCTCTGCAGCATCCAGAAGGAGCTTATCTCAGAGAGAGAAAAGGAAATGAGTGTCTTGTTAGACACAAAAGTCTCCTCAGAACGACTGACTCTTTACCATTCCAGCCTGGAATTCTATGATCAAAAACCTGCCTTTCAACGTGCACAGCTGTCGATCTTAAAGGTACAGGATAGATTATTTGTGAAGTTTTAATCATGCAATGATTGGACAGTTTTTTTTTGGGCTTTGTTGTTAAATATGCTATCACATTGATTTATATATAATAAGTGAATGTGCAATTTTATTAACCAGTTTTATTTTCAGGTGGAAAAAGTGCAAAACCTGGCGCTAGAGATGCTGTTCAAGCTCAAGAAGCAGCAGCTGCAATGCTTGAGCTCTCAGACTATGTTCCAACGCGTACCTGCACAGTTCTGTGAGATGATCAGCCGCATTGGATTCCAAAAAGAGTGCGCACCACCTGAAGGTAGAGTAACACATACACTGAAAGCACACTTGAAAATATGGCGATGCGCCGACAGATTAATCAGAAACGGAAAGGATATGATAACACAACCCGTCATTTGTTTGTTTTTGTGTTTATAGAGCCGGCCTACGGTGAGGGCATCTATTTCACTAGCACGGTGAAGAAGGCCAGGGAATTGTGGAGGCTAAAAAACGAAGAATACCTTTACTTTGTGCAGGCAGAGGTGCTGAAAGGAAAATCCTCTCCTGGTCAACGGGGGCTAATTCTGCCTCCCCCTGTGGGGTCAGACCCCGGCATTATTCACGACAGTGTCACTGGAGGACATGACATCTCTGTGATTTTTAGTGGGTACCAGGCTCTGCCCACGTACATCATCACCTGTAAGAGGGTGTGAAGTATGACATGCCCCCCCCCCCCCTTGATGCCACAGCTAAATGGTTACCGGTAGTTTCTCTTCAAAATAAGAAATAATGTCTTTTGAAAAAATGTCTCATTTGATTCATTGAAAGACAACCATAAAAACCCATTTTCTTACTAAATATATATGTTTATCAAAGGTTAACTAGACATTCTGTGACCTTCTACAAAATCTTCTTAATGCATATAAGATCCATAGTCCACTTGTAAAAAAAAATTTGTCACTATAGAAAAACACTGATTGAGCATTTTGATTTGATTTTCGGACCTCATCACAGTTGGGTTTGTTTTTTCTTAGGTTAAGTCTGTATTTTATGATTGCTGTGTTTGATATTTCATTTTGGGTGCTAAACAGTTTGCAAACCAAGTAAATAATTTGCATATAAATACATGTAACCAATCATATACCAATCAAAGACTTTTTTCTTTTTGCTTCTGATAAGGAACTAATGGCATCACGTTACCATTTATGCAAATACCTATGAAGTGATGTAAGATAGCTTCAAGTAAGTTTATATATAGCATGATTCTTCATTTAGCAGATGAGAGCTTTGGTATAAACATTGGTTGTAACCAAACTGCATAGCAGCTGTTGATGTGAATACAGAAAAAGCTATATGTTTATAACCAGTTCGGATACAACTAAATAAAGTACTTAAAATCACTTTGCCCACAATTGTTTTGAAATAATACCCATATGACAGTAAAATTATATCAGCTACATAGATTTAATTAAATAAATGTAATTTACATTTTACAGACAGAAATGTATGTATATGCATGGAGCTTTCGTACAGGGGATTTTCTTAATGATAGAACAGAAAAAATCACAGCACAGTCTGCTGAGCATTTAAATACATCACTGTGGACTCAGAAAGTGTCTCATGAGAAAAACTATTCCCTTTCTCAACGAACTGGCCTTTTCAGCAGCGTTTCATCATTTGATCAAAAATACAGATGTGGTCGTGCTTGTCGACCGTGAGATAAAAATGAGAAAGTAAATGTAGCTTTGTTTTTTTTTGTAAAAAAGAAACCTATGATTTTCACAAGAAAAACGGGACAAACGACGTGACATCACATCAGATTTCAACACAGAAGTCTGCAGAATCAGAAGGTTACAGCAGCTGAGACTTTCCACAGTAAACACTGACACATCTGAATGATTGTCCATGACGCCGCTGTAGACACTTGGCTGCAGAAACACACCCTTAAACGTCTACAGCAGTCTATTAAAAGTTTGCAACTTACGCTACTATTTCACCAATAAACCAGAGACTATTTAATGTAGCAACACGCGGAGCCTACAGGCCACATGTACGATGCTGTAACAGGTACTGTTTAACATTAGTCAACACCGGAAAGTTAGCATGAAAAGCACAGAGGAAAAGGTTTGTAGGGGGAGAAAGGTTTTTAAACATAACCACATCTGTGAGAAATCTGTTTAGCAGAAACTAAAAAAAGTCTGTTTGACTTTAACCACAAATAGACTCATAATAATTCAAGTATGTTAATCATACAGAATGGAACTTCTCGAAGACTATAGTGTCTATACGACTCAAATCTCTACCCAGCATTTATACAATGTATAGTGTGTGCACTGCACATCGTGCTCATCCTAACCACAGAGGATGAAGAAGCTGTAAAGAGACCACAAGAGAGAGAGCGAGCATGTTTTTAAAGAATTTGTGAAGTATTAGTATTTCCAAATACAAATTTCCAAAAAGAAATAGCTTCATTCACATAATTTTGTCTCGTTAGAAAATAGAGACAGAAATTTGGACTGGAAATCATCACAACATATTACGTGGTACGTCACTGAACAAATAACATCCTGATTACACAAGTGTAGCATCATCTTTTAAGTACTTAAAGATGTCTGTGCTGTGAGTTGAGCACAGTGGTCTTGCAAAGAGAAAGTTAGAAGTAGCAGAATGTTTTGAACATTTTTACACAGTTCATACTGAGGCATCAGACAGAGCTCCTGTGGGGCTGTAAATCACTAACTGTGCATCTAATTACACTGTGCACATCTTCAATCGAAGGAGCACGTGCAACCGAGCATGGCCAGGTGCACCAAATGTGACCCCTGTAGTGACTATGTTCATTTTGTTAATGGAACTGAGTGTATACCGTAAAGGATGCAATTGTATTTAAGGCTAAATCTCTTGAAACAGCGGATCCTACTTTGCGGCAGACTTTTCTGGATGTATTAGCTCCTCTAAAACTGCAAAGCTTAAAGATTATGACATCAACTTTGACCGTATTCATTATAAATCAAAATATATGGCTAATATTCCCTGCACGACGTAGCATTCTTACCCCTGCAGAAGGTTTCTCAGTTGGTCTCTCACTCAACAGTTTGAAGGTTTTTCTACAAAGACACACCCGCTCGCAGACGCCAAGCCGCAGATCTCTGCCGTCACACATGTAAAGGTGTCACTCTGTGCATTCAGCTATCTCTGTGCCGTCCACGAGCAACGTGTGAATGATCCCGTCTCGTCTCTTCCCGCTGCTTACAGCTTTCACACAGCAGTTGTGATCCCCAAGAGTGAAATGTGTCTCCGTACCATCATCCACAAACTCTCCCTGTAGGGGCAAATTACAACTGTGTTTGTAGGAAAACATTCTTGTGACGGAACATTTTCACCTGGTTCTATATTACTTAGCTGCCTGACTTCAGGAGATGAATGTTCAAAGTTGATTTAGGTGCATGTTGGAATTAACATCCTACATTCATGATCAAATTCATTAGTGGATTCGTCTTATCATGTACTTACTGCAGTCTCAATCTTTTCCCCATTACACCACACATCCATAGTGTCTTTTTCTGAAAGAAAGAGAAGACCATTATGAAATCATTAATATGCAACTGTTTTAGATGGAAAGCACGTAGCGTAACTTACAGATAAATGGTGCTAAGAAGGACCAAAGTCCTCTCAAAAAGATAACAAAATGTGTTCAACGTTGTTTTAACAGTCGTCTCTTAGGTTTCACTTTTTATGACAGATTATTAATCTGATCCTAAAGAGGTAATAAAATAAGTTCATTACAACTTCAGATGAACAACAATTCATGATATATCACAGCCTTTCAAGGTGCTTTAAGGGATTTAATTATTAATGAAGTCATGAGAAGAAAAAACAAAGTACCTAAGGGCTCCTTAAATTAGGTTTTGTTTCAAATGCATGATAGGAAGAATACACATCTTCGATTGTTGTGCATGGCAGGACTGAAAATAAGGGATTCAAGGATGTTTATAGAAACTTTCCTTAAAGTGATCCCCATCTACATGCATGTTCTTAATGGGTTTGTTCTTTGCCAAACTCCAGTCATCCACTCAGATTCATGATCGTCATCAAACAGAGAAGGGAAACAGCACCTCAGCCCTTGTTCAGCAGAAGGAGAGGATGATGCTTCATATCCCTAGTTTCCAAAGTTGACAAATCAGAATGCAGGAAAATAATTTGGGGACAGATAATTAAACTTATTATTTTAACTGTGAAGAGTTTGTCTGGATAAAGAGAAATACTACACACAGAACCTAATCTGGCCTGTCAAACATGGTGGGGGTAGCATCATGGTTTGGACCGGGATTGTTTGTCATCAGTCAGCACAATTACACGCACCACTGAATGGAGCTATGGTTAGAGTCTGAACCAGCCATTTATTTTGATGATCAGTGGTTCCTTGTTAGATCAACGGAAAAAGGAACCAAGTTTCAGTTATTTAAATGGTAGTTTTTTTCTGCACTTATTAAATCAGAATTTTATGAGACCTGAGCATCCGTGTGGAATTTCTTTTAAATTAATCAAGTCTCCCTTCGGCGGGACTTTGGCTGGCCTGATTTATACTTCTATTTTACTATTTTTACAAAAACTTGAAATGCTCAATTTCCAACAAAAGACATAGGATGAAAATAAATGTAACTAAATTAATTAATTAATAAAAGATATGTAAACTATGTATAACGTCTATTCCCATGGCAACTAAAACATATAACAATCAAAAGATGGCAGCATCTGGTGCCATATTTGTTCGAGAATTGGTGTTTATTACCTGGAGCCCAATAATTAGATTAAGAACATATCTGAGAAAGAGCACATTTAGAGAAACATTCAAATAGTTTTTCACCACTGTAATTCACAATCTGCTGTAGTTTTTAGTCTTTTGTATGTATGCTTTAGGCAGTATACCACTTGATCAGCTATAAGCAGTGCAATAATAAGTAGGATTACCTTAGCCCGATGTTAAAGATGGCTGAAGATGGCGTGGGGATTTAAGCAACTAAAGAGCTTAGCCTCTTTGCTAAATGTCAAGTCACTTACAGTGCTGACTGATAATATGGATGAACAAATAATCTAAACCACTTTATCATGTGACTTTTCTAATAATTTACACTGGCAAAGTAAATAGTGGGGAGATGGTTAGACCACACTCAGTAATGCATATGCTAAACACACAGATAGCTTACCTAGGACAACTCTGCAGTCAGTACCATCCAAATTGAGGAGCCAAGTGCTGGTGACCTTTGATCTGTTCTCCATGTACTGCTTCAAGCTCTTCCCATTGATCTCCAAGGTGTATTCATAGGCAAAACCGCTGACTGCATCAATATTGATGGTTGCTTTGGTTTCTGACTGGCCCACATTGAACGTCTCTTTCCCAACGAGTTTGAACATCCACTCCCGTCTCAGAACCTCCTAAAGCAAGATTTAAAGTTATATTTCGTGCAGTTTATAGTAAACATAACATGCATATCGAAAGAAGATTAATGTTGCTGATTTTGAACATGCTAGTACCTTTCCATCCACGTAGATTACCCTTTTGCCCGTAGTTGTGCCATGTTCAAACTCAATTCTGTGGACTCCATCACTCAGCGCCACTTCCCACACACCAGCCAGATCAGACGACATACTAACTTCTTATGAACCAGCTGGAGACGACTAAAAATCGAGCTAAAGCATCAAATAAAGCAGATACATGACTAAAATCCTGACGATAGCTACCGCTCTCGGCTTAAGAATTTTATTCTCTTAAAGAGATGGGGTCTACAAAAACTCTCTGTGTATAGTTAAGAATATTGCTACAGTAGAAAGTATTATCTAAATGCGCTAATACAAGTGCATAATGCTAAAGCATAAACAGTTTATCACCTGTAAACGTCGCTAACGACAGCACGTTACCGCTATCGTTCGTTTTGTGACTTCCGGTATTGATTATTTACTTTCAAAATAAAGCTGGCGTAATGTAAACAATATTTCGGGCACAGATTTAAACAAAGATGTTTACGTATCCAGTCTTTAATTAACTAAATGTAACACAAAGAGGATAGCTGAACTGGACACTTGACCTTACAAAAAATACTGAATCGTTTAAGGGTATGGTGCTTGAAATGGAAACGCTTTTTTTTCCAATCATGGAACTTGATTGTGGATAAAAAGGAAAAGCGAAATTTCATTTCTAATTTGGAATCAATCAACAACTATGATTGAAAATAAAGTAAGCGGTAGAGACTGAATTGATGTAGAATGAAGATAAGAAAGTTAAACGGAATCTAATAATGCTAGCTGCAAATAGTGAATATTAAATGTACAAACAATTCAGATATAATGTATATAGGAAAAAGATTTCAATAGAAAAGTTGGTTCATTACTTTATTTTATTTTGAAGAGAAAGCAGAACCACTACTTAATCGGCGAACATTTTTACTAACATTTACCAACATTTTGATGGTATTTTCAAAGCCCCCTTTCGCTAGCCGTATCCTCCATATAGATATCGGAAAACGCCACACGTAAACTCACAAACATTACCCATCATTTTGTATCAATATTACCTCAGTAGTTCAGCAGTTACAGCTGTCCAGTGTCTACTTTAAGGCAGTTTATCCACAGGCTGTTAGCAACAGGAAAACTGTTATTACGTCGTTACTATGACAACAAGGTGTCCTGATACGTGTTTATGCTAGCCAATCGGCATATCTCGTTAAGTGGGTCTGGGAATAGGGCTAAACGGTGGTATGGGGATTTGCACCGTCACCTCACAGCAGGAGTCCCATTCTCTAGGGCACTTTTCTAGTTTGCAGGTTCTCTCCGCGTTCGTGTGCGTTCTCAGTCCAAAAACAAGCATATTAGGTTAACTGGGGAGTCTAAAATTATCACTAGGAATACGTTTGTGTGTTTGTTCGTCTCTGTGCTGCACTGTGATGGAATGGAAACCCGGGTGTACCCCACCTCTCGCCAAAAGACAGCGTTCCCGCTGGGATAAATCATAGACATACAGGGGTTGGACAATGAAACTGAAACACCTCTCATTTTAGTGTGGGAGGTTTCATGGCTAAATTGGACCAGCCTGGTGGCCAATCTTTATTAATTGCACATTGAACCAATAAGAGCAGACTGTGAAGGTCCAATTAGCAGGGTAAGAGCACATTTTTGCTCAAAATATTGCAATGCACACAGCATTATGGGTGACATACCAGAGTTCAAAAGAGGACCAATTGTTGGTGCAAGTCTTGCTGGCGCATCTGTGACCAAGACAGCAAGCCTTTGTGATGTATCAAGAGCCACGGGATCCAGGGTAATGTCAACATACCACCAAGAAGGACGAACCACATCCAACAGGATTAACGGTGGACGCAAGAGGATGCTGTCTGAAAGGGATGTTTGGGTGCTAACCCGGATTGTATCCAAAAAACATAAAACCACGGCTGCCCAAATCACGGCAGAATTAAATGTGCACCTCAACTCTCCTGTTTCCACCAAAACTGTCCGTTGGGAGCTCCACAGGGTCAATATACACGGCCGGGCTGCTATAGCCAAACCTTCGGTCACTCGTGCCAATGCCAAACGTCGGTTTCAATGGTGCAAGGAGCGCAAATCTTGGGATGTGGACAATGTGAAACATGTATTGTTCTCTGATGAGTCCGCCTTTACTGTTTTCCCCACATCCGGTAGAGTTAAGGTGTGGAGAAGCCCCAAAGAAGCGTACCACCCAGACTGTTGCATGCCCAGAGTGAATCATGGGGTGGATCTGTGATGGTTTGGGCTGCCATATCATGGCATTCCCTTGGCCCCATACTTGTGCTAGATGGGTGCCAAAGACTACCGAACCATTCTGGAGGACCATGTACATCCAATGGTTCAAACATTGTATCCTGAAGGAGGTGCCGTGTATCAGGATGACAATGCACCAATACACACAGCAAGACTGGTAAAAGATTGGTTTAATGAACATGAAAGTGAAGTTGAACATCTCCCATGGCCTGCACGGTCACCAGATCTCAATATTATTGAGCCTCTTTGGGGTGTTTTGGAGGAGCGAGTCAGGAAACATTTTCCTCCACCAGCATCACGTTGTGACCTGGCCACTATCCTGCAAGAAAAATGGCTTAAAATCCCTCTGACCACTGTGCAGGACTTGTATATATCATTCCCAAGACGAATTAACGCTGTATTGGCCGCAAATGGAGGCCTTACACCATACTAATGAAGTATTGTGGTAAAAAACCAGGTGTTTCAGTTTCATTGTCCAATCCCTGTATATACGTATGTCTATGGGATAAACAGTACAGCAAACGGATGAAAGGTTCTTGGCATGCCTACAACAGATTTGAACATTTTGAAATATTGTAATGTACCTAAATATAATTTATTTAATTGAACCTATGACGTTTAGCAGACGCTTTCATCCAAAGCGACTTACAAAAAGAGGGTTTAACATTCAACTATAACATAGAATACAGAAGTGGGCTACCATATATTGAGTGCTGAAGTGGTTATGGAAAGTATTCAGACCCTTTTAAAATTTTCACTCTTTGTTTCATTGCAGATATTTGCTAAAAGAAAAAAACAGAAATGTAGACATTTTTGCTAATTTATTAAAAAAGAAAAACTTAAATATTAAATGGTCATAAGTATTCGGACCCTTTGCTGTGACACTCATATTGAACTCACATGCTGTCCATTTCTTCTGATCCTCCTTGAGATGGTTCTGCTCCTTCAAGGGAGTCCAGCTGTGTTTAATTAAACTGATTAGACTTGATTAGGAAAGGCACACACCTGTCTATATAAGAGAATCATGAGGTCGAAGGAACTGCCCAAGGAGCTCAGAAACAGAATTGTGGCAAGGCACAGATCTAGCCAAGGTTACAAAATAATTTCTGCAGCACTCAAGGTTCCTAAGAGCGCAGTGGCTTCCATAATCCTGAAATGGAAGACGTTTGGGACGACCCGAACTCTTCCTAGACCTGGCCTTCCAGCCAAACTGAGCAATCGTGGGACAAGAGCCTTGGTGACAGAGGTAAAAAAGAACCCAAAGATCATTGTGACTGAGCTCCAGAGATGCAGTAGGGGGATGGGGGAATTCCACAAAGTCAACTATCACTGCAGCCCTCCACCATTTTGGAATTTATGGCAGGGTAGCCAGACGGAAGCCTCTCCTAAGTGCAAGACGTATGAAAGCCTGCATAGAGTTTGCCAAAAAACACATGAACGACACCCAGACTATGAGAAAGAAGCTTCTCTGATCTGATGAGACCAAGATTGAACTTTTTGGTGTTGATTCTGAGCTGTATGTGTGGAGAAAAAACCAGGCGCTGTTCATCACCTGCCCAATACAATCCCAACAGTGAAACATGGTGGTGGCAGCATCATGCTGTGGGGTTGTTTTTCAGCTGCAGGGACAGGGTGACTGGTTGCAATTGAAGGAAAGATGAATGTGGCCAAGTAGAGATATCCTGAAAGAAAATTTCTTCCAGAGTGCTCAGGACCTCAGACTGGGCTGAAGATTTACCTTCCAACAAGTCAATTACCCTAAGCACACAGCTAAAATAACAAAATAACAAAGGAATGGTTTGGGAACAACTCTGTGACCATTCTTGACTGACACAGCCGGAGCCCTGGCCTAAACCCAATTGAGCATCTCTGGAGAGACCTGAAAATGTCTGTCCACCAACGCTCACCATTCAACCTTGACAGAACTGGAAAGGATCTGCAATGAAAAATGGCAAAGGATCCCCAAATCCAGGTGTGAAAAACATGTTGAGTAATTTTCAAGAAGAGTCATGGCTGTACTAGTTCAAAAGGGTGCTTTACTCAATACTGAGCAAAGGGTCTGAATGCTTATGTTGATGTTTCAGTTTTGTTTTTTTAAATTGAAATAAAATGTCTAAAAAAAAAAAATTCTGTCAAGACAGGGTGCTGAGTGTACATTAATAAGAAATCAAATTAACTTTTTTATTTTTGCAAATGGCTGCAGTGAAATAGAGTGAAACATTTAAAGGGGTCTGATTACTTTCTTTACCCACTGTATGTCATGACAGTTAGAGATTTGCGCTGGTCCTGAGAGGTCGTCTGGAGGAAAGGACAGATAGAGCTGGGTGTCGTCTGCATCGCAGTGATAGGAGAAGCCATGTGACTGGATGACCAGGCCCAGCGAAGTGGTGTGCATCGTAAAGAGGAGGCGACCCAGCACTGAGCCTTGATTTACCTTCAGCAGAGTTTCAAGAGGATTGTTTTAGTATGAGAACTTCCTATAATTTGTTTGATTTATATTTAAGTACTGTATGAACAGAAAAAAGACGTCATGGTTTTCTTACATGTAATAGTCAAACCCTGGCATTTAGGTAACTTAATGGATTACAGCTGCTTTTTTCTGTCTGTGATCTTTTTATGCCACTGCTTTCCATCAAACGAGTTTTTAATGATGTGCATTTTGGCAAATTAGACTTTTTGGGATCTATACTGTATGATGTTCAAACCTGTGCAACTTCTTTCTGATTAAATGATCTGAGTTAAAATGGTTTCAACCTTTTGCCAGAGCAGCTTTTAAACATTCTAATCTACAAGACAACTTCATATAAGAATATGTGAAAGTAATAAAATGAGTTATTTCAGACTGTCACAGTGTTACAATAAGTTGTCCCAGACCAAACACTGCGTAACACTTCAATTTTCAAAAGAACTGTTTCAAAGGAAGCTCTGAAAGAGACTTAACATGCAAGTACATGTATTGTACTTCCTCTTTTTATTTTTACTATTACATGATGTGAAAACAGTTCTTCAGAGACTTTCACGTAAATATTTCACTCTTCTCTCCCTGTTTTAAAAAAAAAAGATTTCAAGAGTCTTTCGTGACCTTTGAGTAATTTTGTTCTGATCAGTGCATCTGTTTTATACTACTACTTACTTACCTCTTGGCATTAGTTATTTTTCTCCTTGAAATTTTCATTTCTCATTTTTCCTGGGGCCATGTTTAATGGTATTGTGTTAAAAACACGTATTTTTCAAAGTTACCATGATAACGATCACAACCTGAAACCCCAAGCAATAACAGGAAAGTCGACAAAACCCTGAGAATGAAACAGCACTTCATGATTAACATATTCCAAAGAGCACTTGTAAAGTTTGTGTAATCTTTGGCTGTACTTACACAAATATGCCTTTAAATGGCTTTAATATTTTATTGTTTTGCTTCAATTAGCATAAAACTATGAATTAATGAAACTATAAGTTGCATTACAGTTTTTAAAGCTTGCATTGCTGCAATTAAATAGACATTATCAGAGTAGTTTTTTGTGTGAAACTGTATCAAATTTGTAATGCAGTGAAAGGGCTTCGTTTTTCCATTTTGTTCACTAAGATATGCATGCAAGGTGTTTATGAAAGCCAACCTATATCCATCTCATCCCCAAGCGCTAACATCAATGAGATTGCTGAACACATTCAAGTTAAGAATATACACACTTTTAATGACGTAAGAAGCATATTGTTCGACAACGATAAACTTAAGGCATTTTCTGCATTAAGAGCCATTTACAAAGAACTATGCTCACAGATTTGAGTTTCAACAGAGGTGTTAACCAATGACAGTGATGTGTTATTCAGCACAGAAAGAAAATGTCACCACATCTTCCTGTTTAAAAGATAAGAAGTTAGATTTTTCGAAAACATTTTCACAATTCACCAAGTACATGCTGTTTTAAAGGAAACAGTGGAAATATGTCCGAATTAAAGTCTAACACATTTCAGCGGCAGCATGGGGGGTTCACAAAATGTTATTAGCAAGCTAATAATGGCACATGTCTGAAATATCTTCTCATTTTCAATAGATTTCCATTGTTAAGACTTTTGCACAGGACATTCCATTGCAATATTTAGTGATGTGTTAAAAACATCAAACATCAAAGTATTGGTTACGATATTTGAAAACAAACAAATGTTTTTTTTCTTTTTTTTGTTCTTACTTCATCATCCAGGAACACCTTTTAATTTTACTTTAATTGTCTGACCCTGTGTTGTAAGATTTTACTTTCTGCATACTATAACATGCAAGCTTTGTATCTTATTTGTTTGATTGTTTAAAAAAAACTTAAATAACAAAAAAAAGGAAAGAAACAAATGGCAGCCAAAGTTGTTGTCTGGACTTTGACAGGATCTGAGATGAGACAGCAAGCCAAAGCATTGCAACAAATGTATTGTAACTTTATAATAAAATAATTCCGTATGACTGTATATTTGCAATATTTCCATCTTATTTGAGCTTTTTTATTTGATCAAGAAAGACTTTAGGGAGGAGGTGTGGAATATTAAAATTGTTTTAATAGTTATTATCTTATAGTTATCAAAGTTATTGGAGCTACTTTTCTGGAGTTTAGGACAGTCTCTTTAAATGGACAAATAGAAATGGGCATCACCTAAGGTACAGGGAAGATTGTTTGAAATCTTCCATTAGCAGAAATTTACAATGTCACTGAAGTGTTTCTCGACCTGATGCTCCCATTACTGCTGGCATAATCCGTCCTGTATGCCACCTGGATCCTCTTGCTGATGAGGCCATGCTTGTAAAGAGCCAAAAGCAGCTGGTTCCGGAACTTCTCCCCAATGAAGGCGTACAGTACAGGGTTGACTGCACAATGCATGTAGGCCAAGACCTTGGTCACTTTCAGCATCAGCTCCACTCTGTAGAGATTCTCGCACTCCTCAAGTTTCAGTGATCCACCTTTTATGAGAGTGTCAGTCAAGACGGTGATATTATGAGGCAGCCAGCAGAAAATAAATGCTAACACCACAGCCAGAATCACTCGCATGGCCTTATGCTTTTGGTGATTACGGCTGTGAAACAGCTTTACCACCGTGCAGCTGTAGCAAATGGCCATCACCGTCAGAGGCAGGAAGAAGCCCAACGTGTGCCGCAGGACACGCATGCTGACTCGCCACTGGTCCATGCTTTCACCAGTTAGGTTTTCATAGCAAATGTTCTCATCCAGCTCCTCCGCATACATGCTCTCCCTCTTGATCGCTAAGGGTAGAGACAGGACTGAGGCCACCAGCCACACAACACTGCAAACCACACTCACCAAGTGACGATGCGAGGACAGAACACGCGTGGCTCTCACAATGGCAAAGTAACGGTCCACACTGATGCATGCCAGCAGGAAGACGCCACCGTATACAGATGACTCCTGGAGTCCTGACAGGAGTTTGCACAGGAAGTTTCCATAAATCCAGCCAAAATGGGACTCAGTAGCCCAAAATGGGAGGGTAAGACAAAAGAGGAGGTCAGCTATCGCCAAGTGCATCAAATAGACATCTGTGCTTGCTCTTCTTTTCTTCATAGAGCAGACCACAAAGATAACCACACCATTGCCAATCATGCTGACGACAAAAACAATTAAATAGATGATCATCAAGCCAAGGGAGTTAAATCCAGGAATTCTTACGCTGCAGGGAGCAAAATCAATATCATAAGAAAATGTAAAATTGCTGAAGTTCTTGAGGTAACTGTCGACAAATAGTTGCTGATCTTCCTCTGTGTTGGTCTTCCACATGAAAAATGAAAAAATCAGTTGGTAAGAACCAGCATGCTACCACATCTAATATATATATATATATATATATATATATATATATATATATATATATATATATATATATGTATACATATATACATACATATACATACACACACACATATTGAGAGAAAGAGAGACTCTTGTCTTGACAAACATCTTTTTATATTGCTTGCCTTATCGATAAATGGTAACAATGTAAGAATTCCATACCAGTTCCTCCTTCTCTTCTTGAACAGTCCGCATTAAATGAATCAAAAGAATAACTATAAAAAGATGCAGCTTCATCTCTTCTGGTTTTATGTGCACAAGTTGATCAAGAATTCTGCCTCTTGTTAAGGAGCACTGCCTTTACTTCAGAGCCGATTCAGTTCTGTGTGATTAAGTGCAAACCGGGTACTGGAGCTGCTAAAGCTCTTACCACATGGTATGACTCGTGTAAACAGGTAAACCACAGAGATTATCTTCTGTAGGGGATCTACTTGAAAAACAAAACTTCACGTTTTCCATTTACTTGTACAACATCTGTTTTTTATTTTTTGTCATCATATTAGAGGCAGATTGACAATTTACTTGTCATAATGTGTTCAGTTACGATACATTCACTCAATCCTTTTGTCCTTGTTGGGATTTGTGTGGCCAAGAAATGGCTTAAAATCAGAATAACACATCACACATCACATTGTTTGTAAGAATGAAAATACAAGAGTTCACTGAACATCTTACAATACTGAGGTTGATATCCATTTGGGGATCTCAACTCTGCAACTTCAGTCCGAATGACAGAATATAGAGACATTTTGTTGCATCAGTTCAGGTAACGCTCAACAAGATGTTGTCTATACCAGCCAGCCGGTGGGAAAAGGTATACATTTAGATAGAGCTGTGTATTAAACTGTTCCAAATCTTCCACAGAAATCAAATTGAGCTAACTTTTTGCTAATGCAAATGCATCTTTGCACATGGACCATGTTTTCTTAAGTTTGACTATCTTAACATGCTTCTTCCCCTCTGATGCAGATTGTACAAATGAGAGCAAGCACTTTGGTCATTGAGACAAGGGCACTTTTTTATATTGGAACTCAAGTACATTTTTTCCTACTTTATGTAAATGGGTGGGTAAAAGTTGATCGATTTCTGAAACCAATACCACAGGTCAAATGGTCTCAATGGTCCAATGGTCAAAACAGTAAGTATGGTTAAAAAAGACCTCCCATACTAGAAAATTATCCAGCCATCCATCCATTCTCCACCGCTTACCCGGGGTCGGGTCGCAGGGGCAGCTGCCGAAGCAGGGGAAACCCAGACTTCCCTCTCCCCGGCAACTTCTGCCAGCTCCTCTGGGGGGATCCCGAGGTGTTCCCAGGCCAGCCGTGACACATAGTCCCTCCAGGGTGTCCTGGGTCTTCCTCTGGGCCTCCACCAGGTGGGACGTACCCGGAACACCTCACCAGGTAGGAGACCAGGAGGCATCCTGATCAGATGCCCGAGCCACCTCAACTGGCTCCTCTCAATGCGGAGGAGCAGCGGCTCTACTCTGAGCCCCTCCCGGATGGCCGAGCTCTTCACCCTATCTCTAAGGGAAAGCCAAGCCACCCTGTCGAGGACACTCATTTCGGCCGCTTGTATCTGGGATCGCGTTCTTTCGGTCACTACCCAAAGTTTGTGGCCGTAGACGAGGGTGGGAACGTAGATCGACTGATTAATCGAGAGCCTTGCCTTTAAGCTCAGCTCTCTCTTTATCACGACAGACCGGTACAGCGCCCGCATTACTGCCGACGCCGCACCGATCCGCCTATCAATCTCACGACTTCTCCAAGTCCACAAAACACATGTAAATTTGTTGAGTGAACTCCCATGCACCCTCCAGGACCCCGTGAGGGTATAGAACTCGTCCAGCGTTCCACGGCCAGGACGAGAGGGGAAGACCTGCGGGAAAGGGCCATGGGACGGAATTGAAACCAGGCCGCCCGCTTGCGAGCAGAGGCTCCACATATGGTCCGCCCGCTGCAACCGTTAGCCTACGCTGCGGCCCGGTCCCCATTTTTAAACAGGGGGACCACCACCCCAGTCTGCCAATCCAGCGTAACTGCCCCTGATGTCCACGCAATGTTGCAGAGTCGCGTTAGCCAACGCAGCGCCACAACATCCAGAGTCTTGAGGAACTCCGGCTGAATCGACCCCCGGCCCCGGAACCTTGCCACCACGGAGCTTTTTGACTACCTCGGTGACTTCAGCCCCGGAGATTGGAGAGCCCAACTCCAGATCCCCAGGCTCTGCCCCTCCAATGTGGGACGTGCCAGTGGGATTGAGGAGGTCTTCGAAGTACTCTGCCCACCGACCCACAACGTCACGAGTTGAGGTCAACAGCACCCCATCCCCACTGTAAACGGTGTTGTTGGAGTACTGCATCCCCCCCTAAGACGCCGGATAGTGGACCAGAATCGCCTCAAAGCTATATGGAAGTCTTTTTCCATGGCCTCCCCAAACTCCTCCCATGCCCGAGTTTTAGCCTCGGCAGCCACCTGAGCCGCATGTCGCTTGGACCGCCGATACCCATCGGCTGCCTCTGGAGTCCCACAAGCCAAAAAGGCCCAATAGGACTCTTTCTTCAGCCTGACGGCATCCTTCACCGCCAGTGTCCACCAGCAGGTTCGAGGGTTGCCGCCACGACAGGCACCGACAGCCCTGCGACCGCAGCTCCGGGAGGCCGCGTCATTAATGGAGGCGTGGAACATGGCCCACTCCGACTCAATGCCCCCTGACTCCCCCGGAACGTGCTCAAAGCTCTCCCGGAGGTGGAAGTTAAAACTCCGGCTAACAAGGGACTCCGCCAGGCACTCCCAGCAGAATCCTCACAATATGTTTGGGCCTCCCCCACCATCGGAGCCAACTCACCATCAGGTAGTGGTCACTGGAAAGCTCCGCCCCCCTCTTGACCCGAGTGTCCAAAACATGCGGCCCCAGATCAGCTGAAACGACAACAAAGTCGATCATTGAACTGCGGCCTAGAGTGTCCTGGTACCAGGTGCACATATGAACACTTTTATGATTGAACATGGTGTTTGTTATGGACAATCCGGGCCTAGCACAGAAGTCCAACAACAAAACACCACTCAGACTCAAGCTGGGGGGGCCATTCCTCACAACCACGCCCCTCCGGGTCTCACTGTCATTGCCCACGTGAGCGTTGAAGTCCCCCAGCAGAACAAGGGAGTCCCCAGGCGGGGCACCCTCCAGTACCCCCTCTAAGGACTCCAAAAAGGGTGGATACTCTGTACTGCCGCTAGGCGCATAGGCACAAACAACAGTCAGCACCCATCCCCCCAAGGTCCCCGACTCCGGCCGCCTCCCAGGGCACAATGCAATGGGGCCCGACCGGGCCCCATGGGTTAAGGCCCGGCCACCAGGCGCTCGCCATCGTGCCCTGCCCCTGGGCCTGGCTCCAGGGTGGGGCCCTGGTGGCCCGCGTCCGGGCGGGGGAACTGTGGTTCCATTAGTGTAATTCTTCATAGGGGTCGTTTGGGCCGTTATGAAAGACGATTTTCAAAATCCACTAAAAAGAATCAATCTGGCATAGTAATTCCTTTCATGATTAATAATAATAATCATTTTCTTATTTACTTAATGTCATACCAAAACTCTCAAATTGCATGATCCTTTAAAAGGAGAAAGCATGTACATGTCAATGCCAGTGAGAGATAAACCACAAGTGGTTTCATTGTATTTTTTTTATTTATTGTTTTGTCTTATTGACCTTTGTTTTAAATCAAAATTAGTCAAAAGATTTAAACAACCTCTATGGAGTATGTATCCATATTTTCTTAACATGATTCCAACGAGGTTGGTCTTGTAATGGAAATCTCTCTGGATTGTACCCTGTATGGATAAATGGAAAGTCAGATGAATTGATGTACTCATCTTTTTTCTCATCTGAATACGAATGTTGAGACCGCATTAGACCGACTCAAAAGAAAAATCTGAATGATATTTAGTTTTAAACCAGATTAAATGCAAATTGTATGAAAGAGCATCTGTCACAATTTGTCCTGGTTGTGGTGTGTTTGTGGTCAGTGAGTCGGAGGTTGAACTTAGTTAGCTGATGAAGTGATAAGCGGGGCCTCGCCAGCTCCTGTTATATCTAAATCTTGTCAGGGGACCATGAGAAGGATCAGCCGGAGCTGCCCACCTTTGTCAGATTGTTCTTAAACTTTTGTGGCAATCCTGTTGATTCCAATCCTTGTGGCAAACGCTGTGCTTCTCCAACTTTGCCCCTCTATGTGTTTCCTGTTGCCTCTTTTGTATTCCTATCACTATCCTTGAAATTTGAGCCCCTCTGTATATTTTGTAACGGCATATCGGCATAGACTCAAGACCCACACCCTTAGGCAAACTCTTCAGTTTTTGGAAATATTGTTTATCAAGTCTTCATATCACCAAATAATGCCCAGCCTCTCTGTGCCAGTGATAAATGTTTCTGGATGACCAACAGCTTTTTATTACTTTGCTACCCTACCAGAAAAGGAGAAAGTAAACCTCTTTTTTAACTCAGTTATCTGTCTGTGTTTAAACTCAATTTATCAGAATCAGAATCAGCCCCCATATTACAGCTGAATATCCCTGACACTCACTTGCATATGCACTCTAGTGAGTTACTACTATCCTCCATCCTTGTTTCTGTGGCTATACTGAATAGTAAAGTCTTTGGGAAATTTGGGATTTTGTTAGGATAAATATTTATATAATAAACCAAATAAAGGAAATGAGGTAAACAGCTCAGATTAAACACAACAGGCTGAGAACTACATACACAGAAACCTGACCCGATGACTGGTCCGCCAGACATGTTCTCTTCGTGGATCCAATTAAATTGTATTAATTTTGCCAGCCCTTCTTACAATGTTTCAGGTTGCTCCGAATATGATATGGTCTCCATTCATTGATACTGCCCACCCTCTCCTTTTTCTGGAGGGCTTTGTATTGTCCTTTATCAATGTAACTGTACCTTGTGGTGGAGTTCTTTTTCTTTTGGGAACATCTTTTTTTTCGTGTTTTTTGTCCGTGCTTTATTATCATGTATTAGTTTTTTTTCTTCCTATACTTTTTATTTGATTTATTCTCCATAGTTGTACTGTTATAACAGAAAAATATATTAAAAAGTCATATACAAAAAAAAAAAAGAATTAGGAGATCATGACAAGTGAGAAATGTTGTGTTTTTTTTTCCAAACATGGTGTTTGTAATAGGTGATGGTCGAGTTAATTTGGGTATTTGACTCTGGTTGCCTCCTTTGGAAGATTTTTAGACATGTCCGACACTATAAATATTATAAATATATATTTCTATAAATATATTATGGCCTGCAGATGCCCTGGAATCCCCTAAGAGGAGCTCGAGAG